GCTCGCGACGCCTTTCTAAGCTTACTTCTGATACACGAGATTCGGCACTCAATTTGCCCTGTCACGCTGTTCTCCGTGCTTTAGATGCGTACTTGCCTCGTCGTTCGCCCCTTTTGGCCGCCGCAAAGTGTCTGGCTACGCTAACCGCGACGGCCGTACATATACAGCAAGATCGATCTCGTTTTTATCGCGTAGCAGCTCGTCGATTTTCATTTGTCCCCCCCTACCCCTGTATACCGGCTGACATTATTAAGCGCCTCGTCGTTTGTTCATGTTTTGTCGAGCGATAAGCAATGAGCCGCGATGGACAAAAAGGACAAAAATAGCTTCGGTCCCTTTGGCCCTGGCATTCGAACGCAAGATCCAAGCGGAGATTGGCGTAGGCGCGAGGACTGGATGGGGATCGAAGGGTGCGTCGAGGTGCGGCGCAAATAGTTCTAATCTCGCTTGTATTATACGCCTGTATATAGTACGCTCCTCGATATACATACACTTGTAGGACACGTGTTACGGCATATATATGATTTTGTCATTTATCCCGGGCGTCGGAAATGTTCTCCGAGCCACGCGCGTGTATAACGCGAGTTTGGAAAAGTGCGCCTCTCGCAGCTACTGCTGCAGCGCACTTATACATCCATACTATGTATATATGGATAGACTCGGCCTCTCTTTCTCTCTCTCTCTCTCGCTCACTTACCGCTTGTGCGGCATCAAAAGCTCATCTATACATTTTTCGGCCCTTCCAGAGCCGATGTAGCCGAAGAGCCAGCTACCTTCCCTTTATACGCCGAGCAAGCTCTCCGTTAGCCATAAACAAGTGCTTATAGCGTAATCTAAACCCTCGCACTATCTTCCTCTCTCTGATGGCTATAGGCTGCCTACTGTGCTACCTACTGCTTCTAGCTCTATATACCTCGTCTCGTTCTCTCTCGTTCTCTCTCTCGGTGCGATTTAATTACTATGTAAATGTCGCTTGCTAGCTCGCTTGCATAAACCTACCCACCCACACACAGCCCGGATGTCCTTAATTACTTTGTACTTTCTTCCCTCTTTACGCAATTTTGCCCGCTGCTGCTGCTGCTGCTTTTGTCGTTCATGCTCTTGCTACTACTGCCTGCCTAAGCCTGCTAGCAACTTTTTTTTCTGTTTTCTGCGGCATTATATACATTAGGAAAATCGAGCACGGACGAAAGATGACGATCGTATTTGTTTATTTCTTTTGCTTTTTCTTCTCATTTTTTTTTTGTTTTTTTTTTACTTTAACGAAAAGAGCTAATTAATGATGATTTGTACGTGTGCGGTCAATGTCGACGACGATCTATTAGAGCCCATTACGCAGCTCTCGAGTGTGAATAAATGACATTGATTGATTTTTAAATACAATAATATATATATTATAATGTAATGTGCTTATTATAGTTTGGAATGATTAATCATCATTTTTTTCTCTTCTTTTTTGATTCCGAGTATATAATGCGCGACAGACGCGCGGCGGTGGCTGGTGGCTACCATATAATATAATGTAGAACGTAAGAAAAAAAGAGAGAGAGAGAGAGAGAGAAAATCACAGTGCTTGGCGGCAAGCTGTCTTGAAAAATCAGAGTGAGAAATTCCTTCGCACGTGACACAAAGAGACTATATACTCGAATAGAAAAATATTTCGACAAAATCTGAGCTAGGGCTAGGAGACGAGGTCGATGATGATGCTGCTGCTTGGCTGCGTGCTTGTCGCTTGAGTTGTATGCTATGTACGTGTGTGTGTGTGTGTGTGTGTGTATATAGATGTGGCAAGGGTGCTTGAGTTATGTATTCTCTGTGCGATATCGATGCATCAATTTGGCTAAACGAAGGATTAATTTAATAACGAGTTACAGAGGGGTGGGTGCAAGCGCGAGTGTGTGTGCGCGCAAGGCAGACACACAAAGGGGGATGAAGCAGCTCTCCGGCGCCCAGAAACTCTATCATGATCTATTACGCATAGAACTGCTGCACACTTGTGTCGCTTTCGTCGTTTTACAACACGCCCCACTTTATCTCGGCGAGCTGCGCACCGCATTATGTTGCACCAGCAGCGGCACACACACACCCCCGCGCACGCACACGCACGCGACTTTTTGGCTTTTAATACTTTTCTCTCTCTCTCTCTCTCTCTCTCTCTCTATCTCGAGATTACGCGCGCCCACCGAGTTGTATCTAATAAAATGCAATTGCGCTCGACATTATACGAGCTTGTTATCTCGTTGTTCGGACAAGATTTTAATAGTCGCGCGGCCGATAAAAAAGTCACATACAATGCGCCGTACAGAGAGATAAGATTTTTCATATTATTAATGCGCATCGTGCGTCCCACGACCGCATAAATAACTCGACTAGTGTATATTACTTAATATAGCTAGACGAATAGCTGCGAGAGGGGGAGAAAAATTAGACGAGTCGCGCGTCGAATCCCAAGAAAAATAATATTTATCGTGAGAGCTCGGCGTACTGATCACTTGTATCGCTTTGCGGGTCGAGGCACGGAATCGGCTTTGAATGAGTCGATGACAGGCAGACTCGTCCCGAGAACCTTCGTTGTTGCGGTTGAAAATCAAGCTGAAAAGAGCGTCGAGCACGAGGCTCACGTATCGACGGACGAGTACGAGGTAGGGCTAACGCGAGCCAAGAAAAGCTGGGCAAAAAAGGTCAAGCTCTCGCTCCTCTTTGCCGATCGGGTCTCTCGCGGCGCGACGCGTATCAATCAATCAAGCTCGTCCGTAAGTCGCGACCGTCGCTATAACTGCTGCAATAGCCATGCAGCTGCACGCAACGGCTGCAGGGATGAAATAAAGCTCTCGGATCGTCTATCCATCGCCGAAGCTGAGACGCGCCACGCACGAATCGCATACTAGTTTTGTGGCGCAATCGCGAAATCCTGCAGCAGTCACCGCGCCACGGACAAGTTTATAACCGACGGGCGAGCAATAAAAGTCCCAATAATAATGTCGCTCTCTCTCGTTGGTGTTTTTAGCATAGCTCCGCGTGGGTAGGAGGGCGTTTGACATGGTATACCCGATCGCGCCTCCGTACAACGCGAGCCTAGGCATTTGATTTAGTGGATGCCGCTGGTTACTGGCGTGTAGTTGGCGTATAGCTGGCAGTGCATACGTATAGCCGGCGAAACGCGCTTAAACATATATAGAGAGAGAGAGCGGCCAGGAGCAGCACGCGGCCATTTTGCCTGATCACATATCTGCCTCGTAAATCTCGAACGCGGCGCCAGCGAATATCAAACGTCGATGCTTTCCCGAATGCCCCGCAAGCGAGCGCTTATATAAAATATTACAAAACCCTCCGCCTGCCGCGAGAGACGGAAGAGAGAAAAGCGAGCGAGTGCCTCCCTATCCGACCCTGCAGTTCCCCGCATAGTCCCCGCATGTAGACAGAATCACATATAGAGAAAACGATATCTTTTCCACAGCCGTACGTGTATCTCTCTCTCTTTGTTCTTTATTTTCCAGCATAAATCCTCTTATTGCTTCGCGACGAGCCTCGGTGGGTGGGACGGATCTGCGGTCTGTTTAGACAGAGAATGAGCTAAAAGGAAACAACGCATTAGGAGGAGCTCGGGCAGCAACGGCCCAGGTAATAAATACAGCGAGAGGGGGAAGAAGGGGTTGAGGCACTATAGATCGTCGTTAGGGTCCATTTAGAGAGAGACACCAATGTCTTCTTCTTCTTCTTCTTCTCGTTGCGCTGCTTTCTCTCGGATAATAGCCGGTCAGCTTTTATCCGGCCATATATACAACGAGAGGGTAGAAGCACCGCCGGTATATAACAGTAGCTCGTAGCGAGCTCGTAGCGCGATAATAACGAAAGTATCGCAATACAATGTTTATCGCCACACGCCTCTATTAAATTAATATATTTATATACAGCGCATAACGTACGAGCTACAATAAACATAGGGCCGGCGCTCGAGCTCGCGACGCTTTTGACGTTTCGTTATCTAATTGCGCTCGTTACTCATATCCAGCTACATATAAGCCCTGACCGATTCAATTTTCCGTCTCTCGCTCGCAACGCGTACACTATCTCTATATGTATAGGATGTATACCCAGCAAAGTCCATCTCATAAAGTTTCTCTCGCTCCCGCGCCGGCTTCGCTCCTATATAGCTCGGCTATATAACTCCTTCCTTTCTGTATATACGCCTATAATATGCTCTATTTCTTTTGCATGCCTCGCGTATCGTCGAACGAGTCTATCGAGGTAATAAGCCTTGCTCTCCGAGCTCGAGACTCCTTCGGCTGTGTAGCGAAAAAAAAAGTTAAGAATTTATATTTTGAGCGCGCGCGAAAATAATAAACGAAAGGATGATGATTAATAATCCAGCTGCTGACAGCGAGCCAAGGTGCATAGTTGCTTATAGCCTGCCTGCCTGCCTGACTTACCCCCTCCAAGCCGATAAACGGAATAAAAATGCTCGTGAAAAATAGCTCGCTCATTAGGCAGTACGCGCGAAGGAGAGTCACATCTGCGATCCGACGACGACATCCTTCGCGCGCGACCGACATTTATTAAAAGGCCCGAGTCGAGCTCGCTGCGCCGCGCGTATCCAATATTTTCTCCCTTTTTTCCTCTTTCTTTCATAAAGCACGTCGGAAGCCCCGCAGCTCCCCGTTTATCGTTGTAAATATAAAAATCCGTCGGCGGCGCATGCAACGCAATAAAGTCCCTGATTGAGTCGTATCTTTGGCCATATGTGCATCAATAAAGCTCGATCGACGCGTGGCTTGCCTCGCGCATCGAGGCCCACTTTATTCCTGAGCCGCGCGTATATTATTTGCACGTATATTGTAGCATATAATATGTGTGCTTACACAAACTACTGCAATAATCATTGACGTCGGATCCGCGTATAGCTCTAATATCGGAAAAGTAAACACGGCCGATCTGCTGCGCTACTGATAATTATCGAGTGGGTGCACGGAGCCAGCTCAAACTTTTCCACAAGTTTATCCTTTGATTCGCCTAGATAGAGCCTCGACGCATCAAACGCGCCTCTCTGCACTTTCACTATTTTCATCTCTTTGCTTATATGAACCAAGGCTAATATTGATGTAACATTTTTAAAAATACTTTTTAAAGCACCTTTTCCTTCCTTCCTTCCTTCCTTCCTTCCTACCATCCTTCCCCATGCTCTCGTCCGTACGCGCCAAACTTCCAGAATGATATGCGCGTTAGAATCCGAGTTCGAGTTCGAGGCTATATAAGAGCTCCTCGCCTCGAGAATTTTCGCACTGATTTATGAGCACGGATATTCGACACTTCAACACGCCGAGGCTTTTAGTTGCCAGCGGTTCGCTCTTTTTATTTGCCAAAGCTTGATTTTTCAATAAAAAAAAAAAACGACAAAAAAGTTTTTACGTTTCAAAGACAGAAAAAGATTGTAATACGCATACATCGTCATGTCGAAACATTCTCGATTGGTCATCTGCTTCTTCTTTATCGTGTGCCTCCTTCAATTATCGATGTCACAGGTACGTTAATTTTCTTTCTCACACCCGAGTATTTCAATAATTTATGTCTACTTTTGATAAATATTGCTTTACTTATTATAATACTCACAATTTTATCTTACAATTTAAATTATATTGTTTATACGAGCGAGCGTGAACATAGAGTCAAAACAATTAACTTGTAAATTTACATTTCTGTCTCCAGGTAACTTTGTCAAGAGGATGGGGCCCAGGGGCTGGCAAGCGAGCAGTTTCTTACGATAGCGATTGTCAAGTGAATGCTAAATCTTTGCAGCTCATTTTTCATCTTCTCATGGTAATAATCTCGATTCTTTGTTCTTTTGTAATTATTGCAAAAATTTATTGAAGTAATAAACATTTTTATGACTTTTTAGCCTGAAGTTAAGCGTTTGTTAGGATGTGATCATCAGACCATGATCAATTACTTACAGGGCCTTGATCGTCCTTAGTCCGAGATTTTACAGTAAAAATTGAGCTTATGAATAACAAATTATTGTACTATATATTCACTATTATGTAGCAAAAAAGTAGATAATAAAAATCATGTTTAAATTTCATTACGTATTCTTTAATAAAATAAAAATTTTCATATATATAATTATATACGGAATATGTATAGTGTAACATGAAACAGTCACTACTCAAACATTTTTATTAAAATTTTATGAGCTTTTGGACTCTTTGTATATTATTAAAAGCATCTGCTTGAGTCACTTATTATTCAATTATTGTATATTTATTGTAGCAAGAAAAGATTTAATACTTAAATAATTAAAAACATCGCAGATGGGTATTGTCGAATACATGAACGCCAGTACTGTATTGGATTAATATTTAACTTTTTTACAAAATTTTACTTAAAAAATTATTTTCAATAAAATCTAATAAACTTAAGGGACTTGAATCTAATCAAATTTAACTTATTAGATTATGCAAGAAAATAATCGGATGCCAAATCATAATTACTCGAGTGTTTCGAATAAAGACGGGTTTATTTAATATACAGCGTTCGACAATTTTGTTCACAAATTTTTTTTACCCATAACTTTACATAATAATTTCATGAAAGTTAAAGTTTATAATAGTTAATTGACATTCAAGAAAGTACGGTGGAAAAAAATCGTGAGCTTATTCTTTCTCTCATTCCAAGCCAACGAGAGTCACGACTTGCCGATAAGGTCATACAGTGATACCAAGATCTCCAAGAATTTCTGATAGCTTCTCCACGTGCTTATTCACCATAGCATACTCCTGTTTGCTTCGCGAAATCAGATGCAAGGCGTTCATGTACTCGAGCTCGGAAAATTGAGGCCCATTCTGAAGAACCCCATTGAGAATGTCTTCAGGCGTCTCGTAAAACAACTCGAAATATTGGCGTGCGTAATCGAGAGCGAGCTCGCGAGTCATAGTAATATTGGTAAGCGTCTGTTGCAGCGTGAACACATTTCGGCACATTCGTTGGATTCCATTTTCGTCAATTTTGTCGATGAACTGCGCAGAAGTTATGAGAATTTTCGCGATCAAATGTCCCAATCCTTCAAAAATGTACTGCAATCGAGAAAGTAAAAATTTTATTTACTTATTTTTTGGATCAAATCTAAAAATTAAAAAATTAATACCTTAGTCTTTTTTGGATGAAGCGTAGACTGCAGAGCTTCATCAATATGTTGCAATACTCGACTGAACTCCTCTACTCTGGGATCGGCCTCGTCAGGATCTTTAGCACCAGAGCGCAATAGAGTTGTCGTTTCGGGACTCGATTGCAAATAATAAAAACACTGCACTCTGACTTCCAAATGTAAAGTTAAAATACACGTATTTGCCAGCTCGTCAAATTCATTAGCCACTTGTTCGAGTGACTGTATGAGACTTTGCGAAACAGCAGGCAGATTTGATGACTCGTTCCTCTCGTGATTTGATTTATGCAATTCCTTGACAAATATTCTGATGGACAATGAAAACCACTCGATGCTTTCTTGAAGTAGAGCTAAACTGCGCAACTGCTCAACGTCGGCCAGTATCTCGTTAGCAGCGATGCCTCCCTCGCCCAAATTACTCGCCAACATTTCGGCTTCACGCATATTTCTCTGTCTAATGTCTTCTGGACTCTCCTCGTCTGTTGTTTCTTGCCTGCGGGGTATTCTCCGACCCGATGGGCCCTTTCGGTAGTATTGAACTTCCGTTTTCAAACTCTCCCAATTAGGCAGTGATTTGATAAAGCGACTAATGTCATCATCCTTTAACCAAGTGGCCGAGCAAATCGAGCGGTCGTGTCTATCTGGTTGAACGATTCCACGATATGTGTTTTGGCAAGTCTCTCGATAGTTGTGCAAAATATTCAGTGCCAATGTGCAAAAGTGCTCCCCTTGGAACGGAAGCGAAATCATCAAAGATCGAATCTCCAATACACACTGTTGAACTTTTACCATATTCTACAGAAAGAAGACATGGTAAATAATTAAACATAATGATCGTTTATCGTTCATAATTGAGGTGATAGATATTCACCTGCAAAAGTGGCCTAGCAAGTCCAAGTTCCTTAGTGACTTCGGGAGAAGTTACAGCACGCCAAGCATCCGGGCTTTTAGTCGCTGTATCGATCGTCGTCGCCACCAACACGTGATGCCTACCCAAATAAACTTCTTTCACATAATCCGCCAAGTAGCTTCGCAATGTACACGGCACTCTAGAATTAAGTCACATAAATGCATTAATAATGCGTTTGTATAAAAAATAGAAAAAAATTTTTTAAATTATGGAAAATTTTTACCCAGTGGCGTTAAAGCCTAAAACTCGTTCCACTTCATCAATAAACTGCGATATAGGCCTAAATATGAGAGTAATATTTTTTGGATCTGATTTGCAGACTAGCCTATTAATAGGTCTCGATTCTCTTTTATCCTAGAGTAATTAAATAGTAATTATCGTTCGTATACGTTTAAAAATTTCAATTAAAACCTTACCATCAAACTGAGACTGCTATACCTATGATCTTTTAGATAATTATTCAAAGACATAGAATGGGTAGATGAGTCAAATTTGAAAAGTAAACCATTCTTTTGGCGTTGTGGTTTTCTTCTAGCAAAGTAAGCATTCACGTCGTTTGCTTGTTCATTTAAAGTCACTGAACTTTGATAGGGTCCGTCAACTACGTTTTGTATGTCAAGGTACTCTGCTAACAGTATTTGAAGCTGAAGGGTAAATGATCGTTATCAAAAAATGGGCTCATGAAATCAGACTAATTGTAAGTAATATAAAATGAAACGGATACTTACAACAGCTTGAATATTGTTCCATACATCAGTGATGCCATAAACAGGCACATCTAAATTATATTTTTTTATTACATTTGAAAATCCGCAAAGAGCTACCGAGTGTGAGGCAATGACTTGCTGAAAGCGTGAAAATATAACATTTAACAATTCTAATAAAGGTGATTTTTCAACTGGCTCTTCATTCACTATTGAAATAGTATTGTTTTTAATATTTGAATTATTGTCTTTGAACATTAATTTTCTTATTTTCTCAGATGAATCATCAATGATTTTCAATAACTCATTTTGCATTTGAGATTTTACAACCTAAAATAAGCATAATTTGTCTAATTAAAATTTATTTCTTTTTATCTTCTAAATTTTTAAGTACCTCAATAGCTTCTGGAATTTGTTTTAATAAAGCTATGCATTCGATAATGATAGCCAAAAAATGTTCTGAATTTTCTTCAGGATTAAGGTTTGTTACATCTTCAGTGACATTGTTTATATCCTCTAATCCAACACAACTGTTTTTCCTATTCAAAATAAATAATTAATAAGTGATAAATTTCAAAAATTTTTGTAAAAGCTATAATAATTATTAGTACCTTGAAGCTTGTCCAGAAAAATATCCAGGTACACTTACATCTAATAAATTTCTTTTGACTTTATTACCTTTAGAATTGCGTAAGTCAATTCCTCTTTGAAAATCTCTGGAAGAACCTGTCCTTTTCAAACCTTCTTCTAATGGATGTTCTTTATATAAGTGCTTATTTAGTTCATCCAATAATCTACTGCTAAGTTTTTGCTTTTTAGATTCTAATTCTGTTCTCACTTCTCTAAGAGCTTCAACTTCTTCTAAAACTCCATCTCCCATGGTACGGGCAGAAACTAATAATTGTGTTGCATGAAGATAATGTTTTTTTGACAAGTAGCTACTGAGTTTAGCAGGCATTTCTTTAAGTTGGTCACTGAAAAATTAAAAATTGTAAGAATTTTTTTCAAAACTGTTTTTGTAATTAATACAATAATGTTTATTAAACTTACATATCATTCAAAAGCTGCAGAGTATGTTTGTGTTCCACACCTTCAAGCCATAGTTTCATCAATTCCTCTCTCCTACAATTGAGCAGTTGTTTGCAAGCATTCAAATTTTCTTTGACACAATGAATTTTTTCTCGTGCAGATGTAACTCTTTCTGATAGTGCCCCAAATATCTATAAAACTTGAATTTCAAAAAAATTTTTCTAAAAAAATTGAACAAAAATAAAATACCTTCATGACTTCTGTGAGATCACCCTCGTGATCAGAAACAAGTTTATCAAGCTTTTGATCACATCGCTTAAAATCTTTTTCAAGTTTAGCTTTTTCAACTTCCCTCTGCTCATTAGTTTCACTTGCTGATAATGCTCGAATAACACTTATTAATAAACCACTCTAAAACAAGTGAATAAAAAAATTAATGGAAAAATTTTGAAAAATATACTCATTTTACAAGATGATTACCGTTTCTTTTGAAGAGGGTTTTATACCTCTGGGAGGTTTTACAGGTGGTGAGATATTTGAATCCATTTTGATTGGGTAATAATTGACTTAGCAGTAGTTGCAAAACCTCATTTTCATTTTAAGGTATTAATATTTAATTAATAATTACTGCTAAGAGGTTAGTACTTGATTATTTAGAACTCGAAAATCTAAAAATTTGATTTTCACGAACAAATCTCAAAGACTCAATCTGTAAACCGCCCACTTGACGCAACGTCTCGAGTCTCGACCCTCGGGTCAATAACTGAACATCAAGTTCGACAAGTAGCATTGGCTTTCATTCTTATGATGGAGTCCTCACTTCACTTCTAAATATTTTTAGGTTACAGATTGTAAATAGTGTACAACGTCAAAACTGTCGGCTGTCGCAATGCGAGTACTCAACGAGGGTCAGAAAGAACGTCATGGTCTGTCAGAGACTGCAGATGTCAGAGCATGCTGATAAGCAAACGTGTACGGGTAGCGGTAGTAATTGACAAGACCAGGCCACCCGACTACGGAAGCAGACGAAAGTAGGCGATACAACTGCATAGTGTTGGTTGACAATATTATACCTAGAGGTGAACTTTTTTTAAAACTTAAAAAATTAAATAATAATGATAATTTAGCTTAGTACGGCTGTCGTCATATGCCCCACTCTTTTCCATTGATGTGTTGTTTTCTTATACGAGCTGCCGAGCACTGTATACACTTTTTTTGTCAAACTACCAAATTGGTTACATGTAGTGTAAAATACAACTCTTAATAATTCAACTCAGTTTTAGACTTTAAAAGATTGTAAAATTTTACTTTTATTTTATAATTTATTATTTTCTGTTAATTGAACAGGTGACATAACATAGCGATAATTTATCGTAATTAAAATTAATGTACGTATTAACAGCTACAAACAGATGTTGAAATGTCTGCTAGACAAATAAGAAAGGCTCTAGGTAAAGACGCTTTGGTTGTTGCAAATTTGTCTGATGATGAGATCGATGCAAGTGATGTTCGAACTGGTGCTACTTCAAAAAACAAATCTTTTAATGTTTTTAATTTGGTAATATAAAGTTCGATGAATTTACACTTCTAGTTTACAAGAATTTTTAATCCATTGTATTTTCAATTAGTTAAATGACAGTGAAGACATTGATGAAGATGTTGATGAAAGCCAGAAGAAAACCTCAGAGGACGAAAAAGACCCAAAAAACGTAGTTGGTGATCAAAGAAAAAAAATTAAAAAAAAGAAGAAGAGTTCAAAAAAAAATCAAGAGAAAAAAACAAATCCTGTCATTGAAGATGATGTGGATGGAATTGTTAGAAAAGTGAATGATTTATTAGGTGACCCACAACCATCTACTAGTCAAAATGTCACTATTGAAGAGAATGACACACTTATACCAGAACATAGAATTTTAGCAACTGAGCTCAAGCATTTAAACTATGAGAATGAAGTAATACAGAAATATGGTATATCCTCTTTGAGAGAAGAGCAAAAGCAGTGAGTTTAATGAGTAGCCAATTATTGATAACCTATGAAATTTTTCTTATTTTATGCTAATATGCTTATTTTAACTGCAGTAATCAAAGGAGTGTAAAAAGGTATAAAAGGCTTTTGCGGAAGACAAATATAATCTCTTATGATTTTTCCATGGGACCAGCAGTACCAAGTGGAATATTCATGTGTTTTGATGAAAATAGTTCGGATGAAAATAACAAATACTTTTATTTTAAACACAGTAATGACTACTCTGAAATACAAAAAGAATTTCTTAGACTTGTGAATTCCAAAGTTGACATAAATGAATATCTTGTAAGTGAAATATTTTTTATTCATCAGATTAAAAAAAAGTACTTTGTAATTGCCAAAATTTGTTGTAATTTCAGAAATTCATTAGAAAACACCACTATCATACAGATTGCCTCTTACAGCTGGCACATTTTGCTATTGAGGAACAAGATGTAACTTCAGGTTGCAGTTTCATTAAAACTGCTATATTTTATTTGGAACATGTTTTTCATTCAAAGTTTAATCTTAGCTCTGGCAAATGTAGATTAGATTATAAAAGACAAGAAAACCGCGCCTTTTATATTGCAATATTTAGATATCTTATTCTAATGGGAAACCGAACTTTATATAGGTATTTAACAATTTAACAATTTGATTGTATTGATATATTTTTTTTCATAAAAAATTTTTTTTTTAAAAATTTTTTTTGAAAAAAATTTTTTAATAATTTTTTTTTTATACTTTGCTACATGCTACCGCACCTCTTGATTATGTATAATAAATATATTGAATTTTTCTTTTAGAACCAGTTTAGAGTTGTGTAAACTATTACTATCATTAAGTCAGCCATTGGATCCATTAGCTGTAATTTTAATGCTGGATTTCTATGCTATCAAGTCTGAGCAATATGAATGGTTCATTGAATTTTGTGATTTGTGGCAAGAAAAGAGAAATTTATCTAAGCTTCCAAATATAGCATTTGGTCTTGCTCTTTCTCATTTTCATGTTTACAAAAAATTGTTGAACTCCAAACCTAAATCCGAAGATGCGAGACAAAAGAATGAAAAAATCGCAAATGAACATAAGAAAATTGCTGATGAACTTTTGCAAACAGCCTTGATTAGGTATCCAGGTGTTTTGCTACCATTATTGGAAGCTATTAAAATGGACCCTGGTCAAATGGTATATTTTTAATTTTTTATATATCATCGAATGATTTTTGTATTATAAAATGATTAATTTTAGGTACTGAGTAACGAGTATTTTCAATACAATGCAAAATTGACGACATCAGGAGGTTTACAGCAAGTTCAAGAGTTATTTGTTAATCGTAGTTATCATGTTTGGAAAAACAAGGATGTTCTTTTATGGCTAGAAAATCAATACAATGCTGTAATAGCCAGAATCAATGTTGAGACAGATTATATTAATGAAGTTATTATGCAAAGACATAATGAATACCGTCATTTACCATTGGATATTAAACGTCACCTAGTCTTGTCTGGATTAACACCACCAAGATATATGTTAACAATGGTAAAAATAAGTTGTTATAATACATTATTATACTTATATTTGACTAAAATAATTGTTGTTAACAGACAAATGAAATTCAAGAACAACTTGCATTTGATCCATATCCTCCAAAGGGTGCAGATGTTCAAAATACTTATACTTATCCACCCGAAAGACCAACTGAAAGTGTAAATACTGAGACTAGGACAAATTCCAGTATCCTTACTGCTTTCTTATCATCTCTTATAGCAGGTACAACAGAGGGACAAGAAATAAATGGACCTTTTCAAAGGGTTTTCAGACGGTTAGTAAAAGTTGTTTAAATAAGCTTAATGTTTGTTAATTAAAAATATTGAACAAATTTTAATGGTATTTTTAGTCCTGAAAATTTGCTAGAAGAAAATGATGTCCAAGAGGAACGACTTCCGGAACCGGAATTCGATTGAATAGGAATTTTTCTTGTTTTTTTCTTAGTAAATATTGAAATTAATTTGAATGATTTTTCAATTTTTTTAACAACATAAATGTAAATAATTAATTTAGAGAAATTTAGTTGTTATATTATTAATGAATAAATAAAATTTACTTTTAATACAAATGATCAAGGATACAAATTTGTTACTTAGTTGGATTTTCCATTCAACAATAAAAAAAAAAAAAAATATTGGGTACAGATTGTATACCCTTGCATATGTACATTCACAAACACTTTCTTTGATTTATGTTTTACAAAACTTAAATTTAAATACTTATCAAAGTTGATTAGTACAGATAGTATTAATCATTTTATACATTAATTTTTTTTTCCATAGTAGGCATTTGATTCACCTAACTTATTTTTTTAAATTTATAATTTATTAAAAAAAGCTATGAAAATCATATACCTATAAATGCTCAGTCATTTCAAGTGGTTAAAATTTTTGACACATCCAAACAAGCTATACTCTTGAGTACCCTTCTAATGATTTATATCATGCTACGGAATACTGGATTGTAACGACAGATGCCAGGACCATGTTCTAAATAATCAGCTTTTGTGTGACAAACAGTATAAAATTCTGGATCACTAGCTAATAATGCTCCTCCATACCAGACAGCACAGCGTTGTTTATGATGCGATATTACACGAACATCAATTGGTTTAGGCTGCAAAATATAAAAATTAGTATTATAGTAAAGATCATATTGATTTATCAAAAATCTCATAAAATTAACCACATTGCACTTTCTAAAAATGAATAATTTTAAATTTTGATGTTAACAAAATGCTTTTGTTAGTGTTATATAATGAATGCAACATCATATATAGAACCATAACACTAATTTTGCCATAGATATGAGATCTTTACATTATTCTTACTAAAAATATCAATACCGTAATATGTCCTCCACTCAAGTCCATACTAAGTTTCAATCTTGCATCAACAGTTTTTTTAATATCTCTCTGTAATCGTCTTCCAAAGTCTTTAAACATGGTAGAACCACCTGATAGTACAATATTGTTATAAAGTGGCCTCCTCACATCTATTGGACAATTTTGTATAACATCATCGACAATTTCACTCAGTGGAGTAGTAAAATCTGGATTAGAAAACTGAAATACAAAAATGGTCAAATTAAGTTCTTCTATAATTATTGTTTTTAAAAAGAGTTCATACCTCAGGATGAAAAAAAATTTCTGGTCCAAGGAATCTTTCATATCCAACATCAACACTAAATGGTTGTTTAGTTATATTATTTATGCCATCATATTTTGCAAATTTACTAGGATCACTGTCAAATTTAGCAAACTCTTTAGCAATATCAGGACAAATGTAACAATATTTTTCCTTAATTGCTTTTGCAGTTTCTAATGATTGTTCTGGTGGAATTCCAATTTCTCTATCTCTCAAAAGACTTTGAATAAAGTATGTAATATCTCTTCCAGCAATTGGAATGTGCTTAATACAACTACCAATAACAAAACCTTCAGCCTAAAATATAAGTAAAACACATATTAGTTGAATCAAAAAAAGAAGTATGTCAATTTTACAAATTTAAAAAAATCCACTTACAACAGGAATAACGTGAGTAACCCCATCTCCACTATCAATAACAATACCAGTTAAACTTCTATCTTCTACTGTTTTAGCAGTCCAAGAAGCTGCAAGAGCTAGCACAGCTTGAACAGCAATGTATAAACCAGATACATTAAAAGATTCAAACATTATTTCAGCTGTATATTCACGATTTTCAGGAGTATTTAGCGGAGGTTCTGTCAGTAAAAAATAATGGTCCTCAGGCTCAGCTCTGAGATATTTAAAGATACATTGCTGCAAAAATCTCTCCATCAAATCCCAATCTTCAACAAGACCATGTCTGACTGGGTACTGCAAAGGCAATTAATTTTATGATGGAGTCTTTGCAAAAATATTTGAAGTAAACTAATATATTATAATTTGAAATTTACTTTGACTGCATATCCAGTTGCTTCAAAAGCTTCATCTCCAATGTAAAAATCTAAGTCTTCAATACCTTTAGTGACTCGTCGAGCTGAATTGTCACCTACTTTAGCAGTTTCCTTAATAGCAATAGCTGATGGTATCATCAACTGAGGCTCTTTATTGCCAGCAAAGCCCAGTTTTGTGTATCTATGCGAAAGAAAAAAAAAGTATTTTCAATTTGACGAGCATTTCTGACAGTAGAAGACAAATTAAATGAAGAAACGATGACTAGTACATCATCAAGGATTAGTCATAAGCGGAATGTGTGCGGAAACGATATGAAAACATGCATATCCTCAGTGCTGTATGTAAAATAACTTACCCGGTGCCGACATCGATAACACACGGGGGTAAATGTGACATGATTAGATGCTCGCGCAAAACTTAGGGCTTATCTTTTGGAAAGGAACAATCTCAGCGATTATAGTGAAATTGCCAAGCATGCGAAAAGTACACCGGAGGTACTTGTAGCAATCGCAAAAAATAAGTGCAGTCGCCACCGCCCGCAATTCGCAACACGTTTATACACACTGTAGGAGTGCGACTAAAAAGCCTCTGTAATTCGCATATATATATACACACGTATATAACACAAGGACTGCAGACAGTAAAGCTTCTGTCACACTGTTTTGGAGCTTCGCCGCTCCATACGACATCTCGCGAACGTAGGCAATAGGCTGGATTTGAATTCGCTTGTGTGTTTGACAAAACGTTATTTTTCACATTACGTTTGCAATTTGTCAACGAATCTATGGTCAAACTCAAACTTTTATCAAGTAGAGACGTAATTAAATCGAGAACTAGACCAAAAAATGTATTTCCAGTTTTACAAAACGGATAAACGCCGAGATCGATAGACAGAGACTTCAGACACCTTGTCCATATATCGCCGCGCAAAACATTCGCGAGCAGAATGCAATCGGAGCTACGGTGATCAGTTCTCTGTGTATGGGTATACAAACACGAGTGTCACGTACGTACACGTCAGCTATACGAACGCGTTTTGATACACTCGACATATCGTTGTACATTTAGCAGCTCCAAGACATCGCAAGCATAAGCGTTGATAGAAATTTTATTTGCGCCATACTCTTAATAATGAGGATATGTAGGATGCCTTACTAAAAATTGCAATACTGCTCCTTATTTCTGACTTACGTTTGATCGGTGCTGTGCGCTATTAAATTTGTGTGGGGAATTTCAAATAAACGCATGCCAAGATGGTACGTTTTTTTCGACAAGCATCTTGCAAATTCAAACACAATAACATTCCATTTAATGGGACTTTAAATCTTACTTGTCACTTTATTCATATAGGTTCTCATTGCTGCTGCTGTATGCACCAAAGGGGGTAAAAGTAAGTCGATGAATTTTGATAATTAATAACATTACCATAGGTTATAAAAACATTTTCATAAGTTGCATATGTAAATTCATAATGGGCAAATTTTTGATATTGCCTTATAATTTTTGCCTAGCATTAAAATTTGTTACTTCCCTTTTTTAGCAATCATTTCTCGGCAGTTTGTCGAAATGACAAAAGCTAGAATAGAGGGATTACTAGCAGCTTTTCCAAAACTCATGAGTTCAGGCAAGCAGCATACCTTTGTTGAAACTGAATCTGTACGATATGTTTATCAAATTATGGAAAAACTTTATATGTTGCTGATAACAACTAAAGCCAGCAATATATTGGAAGATCTGGAAACGTTACGTCTCTTTGCTAGAGTTGTAAGTTAAACTCATATACCTTTTTTCAATTTAATTAAAAGAAATATGTTTAAAATTTTTATTTTTATTCAATCATACAGATTCCAGAATATTGTAAAACAATAGATGAGTTGGAAGTCGCTGATAATGCATTTAATTTGATCTTTGCTTTTGACGAAATTGTAGCTCTTGGTTACAGAGAGAGTGTTAATTTGGCACAAATTAGAACATTTGTTGAAATGGATTCACATGAAGAGAGAGTTTATCAAGCTGTTAGATTCACGCAAGAAAAAGAAGCTAAAAATAAAATGAGAGAAAAAGCAAAAGAACTGCAAAGAATACGATTGGAAGCTAACAAAAAAGGAGGAATGGGTAAAAATGTATCATCATTTAGTAGTGGTTATGGCAGTGGCACTAGTTTTTCATCATCTTCGAATGTTGGTGATTCCGCCAACTATATTCCTGAACCTGTAAAGCCATCATACACACCAGTGCAGTATGTATCTATTTCAAAGAAACTTTATTTATTTTAAATAGTTCTCAATTATTAAATGAAATTTTTAGAAAAACTTTGTCATCTGGTTTGAGTGCTATGAAATTAGGAGGAAAATCCCGAGACGTTGATTCTTTTGTTGATCAACTAAAAGAAGAAGGTGAAACAGTGATTGCTGCTTCTGCTCAAAGCATTATCAAAAATACAGTTGCTCCTATTGAAGTAACCAGAAATGAACCGTAAGATAACTTTCTTTTCCATTGACCTTTGTTTTATTGATGAAGTTACTTGCAATGAAAAATTATTATTTCAGAGTTCACTTGAGACAAGAAGAAAAGTTAAATGTTAGAGTCAGTCGTGATGGTGGAGTACAAAACTTTGAACTTCATGGTTTAGTTACATTGAACATATCTGATGAAAGATGGGGTAGAATTCGAGTGCAATTAGAAAACGAAGACACCAGAGGCATGCAACTTCAAACGCATCCAAATGTTGATAAAGAATTATTCAGGACCAAAGGTCAAATTGGCTTGAAAGTACCAACTAAACCATTTCCATTAAATACAGATGTTGGTGTTCTAAAATGGCGTTTGCAAGCACAAGATGAAACAGCGCTCCCGATTTCAAGTAATTTTCATTAGAATCATTTAAAAAACTATCAGTAAATGAACTGTAATTAATAATATAATATTTTATCTATAGTTAATTGCTGGCCATCGGAAAATGGTGAGGGAGGGTGTGATGTAAACATAGAGTATGAACTGGAACAGAAGGATCTTGAATTGAATGATGTTCATATAAACATTCCATTACCAATTGGCAGCAACCCTGTCATAAGTGAATTTGATGGTGCCTATTCACATGAAGCGAGAAAAAATTTGTTGATTTGGTCTTTAGAATTAATTGATTCTTCTAATAAATCTGGATCTCTTGAATTTTCGGTTCAGAATGCCAGGCCGGTAGATTTTTTCCCCTTGCATGTTTCTTTTTCATCTAAAACATCATATGCCAAAATTAAGGTACAATGAATTGAATATTATTATTTATATTAAAATCTCTATTAGAGACATATCTAATTTATTAAATTGAATTTTAGGTAAGAGATGTAATGCTTGTTGAAGATGACAGCCCTGTAGCACATTCTGTGGACACAGTGTTCTTTACTGAAAACTATGAAGTGGTTTAAGATATAAGTCAATCACCACATTCATATTGTATTTATAGTGCTTTTTGTAACTGAGAACAGAGAGCAAAATTTATTAGCATTTAAAGATACTCATTTTCATTGTAATTTGAGTTGTCTATTATAGGCTAATACTGGATTTGATTCAATTTTAGATTTTCACTGTAAGAAGTCTTTTAACATTAATTATGTATAAAAAACTAATTACTAATCACAGAAATAATAAAATACATCTAAGCAAAATTTTTCTTAAATATAGTAATGAGTTTTTATAAATTGTAACAATAATATATATGTATAAAGATATAATTTTCGCCTCAATTCCACAATGAAAGCAAAATAATAAATGAAGAAAAAAATTTATTACAAAATCTCCTGTTGTGTATTATTACAATTTTCGATTTATACATTTTTGCTTTAATTATCAAGTCCATTTAGTAGAAAATATTCATTTTGAAGAAAATAAATTTTTGCCTATTTACTTATTTATTGTTTGACAAAATTTACTTTGGCTGTTGTTTACAAATTTGATCCTCTTGACATTCTACAAAAATGAATTTTTTACATCGAAATGCATTGGATAGCGCTGAAAATGTAATCATTTATTGCTGCTTACTTGGTTAGCCCTCTGACGGCCAGATTTAACGATCGTAAGATACAATACATCACTTGCAGACTGCAGTCGTCTGTATTTATTACGCATACAAGTAAATAATATGCGAATCACAAAGCCGCTGCGAAATAGTAGCAAGCTATTAACTATGTAATAAACGATTTGTTATAGTCTACTTAAAATGAATAATTATTGCATTTTTTTCGTGTAATGTTCTTAATACCTGAAAAAATAAGTATAGTATTTACGAATATCATTAAGAAAGTGCGATAGTTCTAGTTCTAGTATGCCACATCCATAAAAGATTATACCAAAAAGTGTAGTTACGTTGTGTTTTTTAATAAATTTTAACCCACAAGCAAAAGCAATACTACAAACGATCAGATGATGGAGGAAAACACTACAGGAATCAGTGATGTTGCATCAAACTGCAATGGAAATAACGATGAAAAAATTAACAGCGACGATTCTTATGCTAATATTGGAGAACGTTATAATAAGGTTTCTTTTTGATAATTTCATAATATTAGGATCACGAGTATGAACAATATGTTAACTTATCAAAATTTTAGCTCAGAGGTTTTGCTGTCAAACTAAAAAAAAAAGTATCAGACTTGACAGAGCAGGTCAAAAATTTGGAAACAGATAACCAAAAGCTCAGCAATGAAAAAGAAGAAATGCAAAATAAAATTTTGTTAATGTCTGATAGTGTAAAAAAATTACAGGTAACATTTTTTTATGAATAATTGATTAAAATTAAGCAATTTGATGAGGTTTAATCAATTTTTTATATTCAGACAATTCAATCACAATATGATAGATCTCAAGATGACGTGGAGTTGATAAAAAATGAAAACAAACGATTGACAAAGCGATTGGAAACTCTAGTTTTAGAAAATGATTCATTTCGAGATACTATTATGAAAGAAAAAAGAGATTTATCAGAAGCAACAGCAAAAATTAACAATCTTTTAGAAGAAAAAATAAAATTGGAATCCAATTGTGATCAGTTAGAGAAAAAAATTAAAGAATTAAATTATGAGCTTAAAGCAGAAGTGGTATTACGCCAACAAAAAGCCAAAGAATATGAAGACTTAAAAACTGCTTTAGATGCTGAACTGAAGGCTCATAAAGCAACTTTAGCTAAAATGGATAATATGAAGTTTGATCGCAAAAGTAACAATGTTTTATCTTTGGAAGTTGCAAATTATGAGGTATTCACCAATTTCTAATTACAGCATTAAAATGTTTTGTTCTTAATGAAATGATTTTTTATTTTAGAAAAGTATAGAAACAATCAAGAATAAATTAGATGAGGAAACAAATGAGAGAATAAGTTTAGAAGGAACTATCAAACAGCATTTAGAAACTATAGAAGTACTTACTGCAAGAATTATGGAACTTCAAGATTCTTGCTTAAGTAAAGCTACTCGAATAACCATCTTAGAAGAAAAAAATTCAACGTTTGAAATGGAAACAAGAGAAGCAAAATCTGAGGCAGCTAAAGCAGTAAATGAGAAAGATGCTGCAAACAGAGAATTAACTCGATTGATGCTTGCAAAAAAAGACCTTGAAGCAAAAATTGATTCACTTACATTAGAAATGGGTCGAGTTGAAGAAGAAAATAGGTAAAAAATATTTGTTTGTTTGAATTAATAAAACTTAAAATAATTATCAAATCCTTTTGTAATTTTTTAGTGCTCGCGTCAAAGCATTGGAAAGTTTAATTGAAGAATTAAAACGTGATATATCGCGATTGAATTTAGCATTAGAAAACAGTAAAATGGAAATTACCACATTACAAGCTGACTTTGACAGTTATAAATTACGTGCACAAAGTGTATTACTACGAACAAAGACTGCACCAAGCAGTGAACTTGAAGAAGAAATCGAACAGGGCAGGCATCAGATTCAGATGCTCAATGAAAAGTGTGAGTGTTACTCCGAAAGGATAGAATCTTTAATGCGGGAAATTATTTTACTGAAGCACGAGAGAAGTCGAGCTGTGGCATCTGAAGCGGAACTACAGGACAAATTATCTGTCTTTAGGCAAGATTCGGTCATGTTACTAGAAAAGATGAAAAATAAGGAAATTGAAGTGCAAAGAATACAAATTAACCACGAGAAGATTGTTGATACTTTAAGGCGAAATTATGAGGTAAGCAAACATAATACCCACTAAAAAAGTTTGATTTAAACAAAGGTGTAAAATTCCTGTAAAACTTTTACAGGAAGAATTGAGTAATCTCAAGAAAAAACACGAAGAAGAAATTAAAAACGTGAAAATAGAGGCGAACATAGCGTCACAAATGAGTTCGCAAATGAATTTAAACACTGAGGCGATAAAGCCATCAGTAGGATCTAGCTCAGTGCCGCCTTTAATTGAAAGAGAAGAATGCGAGGTATAAAAGTTGATATTTTGTTAAAATTTTCCGCGATTGAGAAGAATTTTTATTTCATGTGAGGGTTTTCATTTTAAATGATATAAATAATTGAAATAAATTAAATTTCCATCAAAGCAAAGTTATTTTGTTAAAATTTAAACATAAGAGTAAGTGAGTAAGGCAAAAAGAAGAGTATCATTCGTTCTAGAGCATTGTATTATTTGTAGGGTTCCGAAAGCATAGACTCTTTGCATCTCACTTCAAAAAACGTCGAGCAGCGGGGCCCTAATCCACTCAGGAAATCTTCGAGGTCAGAGAGTCCGATGATAACGCAAATCACCCCGTTGGACCAATTACTCGAATTTCCATTCGACGAGCACAACGTGGTCCTGGCGTCACGTGTGCCCGAGGACAGTCCCGAAGTAATAGCATACAAAAATCGCGTGAAACATCTGACGGAATTGCTCGCTGATGCCGAACGCGATATCGATAAACTCACTCAACAGAATCAATTGCTCAAGGAAGATATACGCTTACAGAAGCGTTACGTCGAGCGCGAGAAAGAGGCTGTGAATTTTGAGTACTTGAAAAACGTCGTGTTCAAGGTGATTTGTTAACATTATTATAATTACTTTTAATTTATTTATTATACATTACTTTTTTTCTTTTCTTTTCAATTCGAAAATCACATTTCTAGTTTTGTACTCTGGAAAATCGAGATGAAAGGAGCAGACTTGTTCCTGTTTTAGATACTATTCTAAAGTTAAGCCCGGAGGAAACGCATAAATTGAACGAAATCGTCTCAACTACGGGTGGTGGTGAGTTGAAATAAAACTTTTCTCGAATCATTTTAACATCTATTATTATTGACGTTGATATGTTCCAACAGTGATTCAAAAACGCATCTGGATACCAGGCTGGAGTACAAGTTGAAAAGAAAATGTAAAAAATTATCTTTAAAAGTAAAATTTGAGATTGCTGGAAAATATTTTTTTATCTAATAGTAAATAGTATTTTTCAATACACCTCGTTATAAAGATACAAGTAATCCAAAAAGTTAAGTTCTATATTGAATAAGCGATAAAAAGCTCGTGACTCGACATTTATCATCTGTATTGTAGATATATTGAATATATTGACTAATAATTCTGTACTTTAATCTGCCTGTTTTGATTGTATATTTATCAACGTTACAATGTAATAAAAGATAAACGAATTATAGTTTTTTGTCTAACAAACAAGCATTTTCTGTATTTTTCATCAATCTAACCACGTGTTTTTTTATCAGTATTCTTATGCAATAAAGAACGAGTTCTTAAGTTTTAAGTTCTCTGTGAATCTGAATGCATGGACCTTGATAATAATGAGTTTTTTTTCGCCGCGCACCCGTAAGCATTCTCAATTTTTGGCACAAACATCGGAGTTTTGGCAATTAAATTTAGTTTAGTAATATTCATCTGCCAAAAAATATTTCCTGCTGCGTTTATAATTGCATCTTTAAATGCCCGTATGCTCAAAAAAGTGCACGACACGATCATTTCTTTAAAAGCTTTTATCGATCTGCAATGATTAACCGAGCACCGCTTGAACTCGACGGAAAGTGTACTTGAAAACGAAAGTCGTAAAACTGCATAAGCATTATCGATTTGGAAAACTTTCATGCGCCTGCTGACTCGTTTTCTGTGAACGATATGCGGTCGAAGTTTTTAAAGTGAATTTCTCTCTTTAGCGGAAGAAAGAGAAAAAAATACTATTTTCGGCCTGTTATACATAAAACGTATGACTATCTCAAACGATACGAAGCACTTGAATTCATATAAAGAGCGCAGATTAATATCAATCAGCAGCTCTGGTAAGTCATTCGCCCGAGAGGCCATGAAAATTAATAAATGTTGTGCAGCGCGAGCAAAAAATCCATATGTCACATGAAATAATATAGGTACTTGATCGGAGCCGTCGTGGGACATGTCTGCACAGTAGTAGCAGTAGAACGTGCAGCAAAGCAGAATCAGCAGGAGGGCAGTAGGTATTACGCGCGCTAAGTGGTCGGATTGACTCGGGCCTCAAGTTTATCTGCCAAGCCAAGTGTTGTGATAAACTTTTTCCTCTAGTACAGTAGCGGTAAGTTGATCATTTTTTGGTTGAAATAAACTAAAAATTTACCCGTTTACATGATGGTCTAGCCGCAACTAATTATCTTATCGTTCGTTTGTTTGCAAGTGTAATATAGTAGTTCCAGCAGACGTGTGGTTTAATAATGACTAAATTTAGTCGACGTATGCGTGTAATGTGTATATATGTTACCAATTCTCACACAGAAATGATAAATTCGTGCATAGTCAGTCTATTTTTAATAATATCAACGTGTCATGTTTGATTTACAGATCGCGCGAACATATCATAGCAATCCGAGCAATTTACCAATTAGCCATGTCTATCCAACAAACAACTAAACTTGGCCTAGTGCAAACACCATTAGCGTCCAGCAATGATCAACAGTTCAAGTGAGTTGTGTGGGAGGCTAAATAAAAATGTTACCTACGATAGGAAAACTTTAAAATATGCTTCAATTATTTTTTCTTTTGTTTTTTTTTTTTTTAATTACCAGATTGGTACCCAAAATCATTAATGGAGGTATCGCTGGAATTATTGGAGTCTCCGTGGTTTTTCCTCTGGATCTTGTCAAGACCAGACTACAAAATCAAGTTGTCGGGCCTAATGGCGAAAAAATGTACAAATCAATGTAAGTCCAGATTTTCCATTCAATTATTTTTCAAATCGACCGTCGTGCTGCGTCGATAAAACTTTTGTAAACATAACACCCACTATGTGGCTACAGATTAAAATAGCACACTATTCATTGCTTCCATTTCAACAATGGTTGTGAGAAGCTCGAATTACTGTACCTGATATTACTTGGTACTCTTTCCAACAGTCATAGATTTATTTCTCATAATTATAAATAATTATATGTAAATTCACTATTGTCTCATTGTTTATTTATTGTGTACATTGCTTGGAATTATTATTAATTACATGATGATAAATTGCAAGATGTATTATCCATGTTATGTGATAGGTTTGACTGCTTCAAGCGTACATATCATGCTGAAGGTTATTTAGGGATGTACAAAGGGTCGGCTGTTAACATCCTCCTTATTACTCCAGAAAAAGCTATCAAACTTACAGCTAATGATACTTTTCGCCATTATTTATCAACAGGACCTGGGTAACTGACATTATAAAATAATTCATTTTATCCATCAATAACTGATTAGAATAATTTAATAAAAATTTAATTTTAGTGAACCTTTACCATTGATTCGAGAAATGATTGCTGGTGGTTCAGCTGGAGCTTGTCAAATTGTAGTTACTACACCCATGGAATTATTGAAAATTCAAATGCAAGATGCTGGTAGAGTTGCTGCTGCAGCGGCAGCCAAGGCTAGTGGTGAGTCGTAGTAGTATTTTTAATGCAGTTTTAAATGAAAATTATATGTTCTCACTTAAAAATATTTTTATGTTTAGCTGATGGCAAACCAGCACCAGCTAAAAAAGCCTCAGCTTTAGCACTAACAAGAGAGCTTTTACAAAAAAGAGGAATTTTGGGTCTTTATCAGGGTACTGGGGCGACTGCTCTCAGAGACATTACATTCTCAGTTATATATTTTCCATTGTTTGCAAGATTAAATGGACTCGGTCCAAAACGTCCGGATGGATCATGTAAGTTGACCTCTGACCAAGAGTTGAAAGAAAATCATTTTTACTTTTACTTATAATCGAAATCATTTTTTTTGCAGCCGTATTCTGGTGCTCATTTTTAGCCGGTTGCGCTGCAGGTTCAACAGCTGCATTAATGGTAAACCCATTTGATGTAATTAAAACTAGACTCCAAGCTATTAATAAAGCACCAGGTGAACCAACATACAATGGAGTCATCGATTGCATTGGGTAAGTTTTCTTTTCTGTAAGTATTACAGTATACTTTCCTTTTACTAATTAGTTTGATTATTCTCCTAGGAAAACCCTTAAAAACGAAGGTCCTACAGCGTTTTTCAAAGGTGGTGCTTGTAGGATGATTGTGATAGCTCCGCTATTTGGAATTGCACAAACCGTCTACTATCTAGGCGTAGCGGAAAAACTGATGGGTCTACAATAAATGGAAAATCTTAAAACGAAATAATTATGATAACTTTATATTGTTAAGGATGATTGTAAGCGTCTCTCTAAGTGTGCGTTATCATACGTCCAATAGTCAATTGCTCGATACAAATGACAATAATTAATGTTACGGAAATGAATCAATATTCCTAATGAGCCAAGTCTCTTGAAAGCTTATTTGTCGTATGTAAGAAATTGATCTATTTATGTAGTCTTTCTGTGAAATCGTTGAAGAGTATACGTGTATGATAATAATTAGAAAGCATGGATTAACTGCTTATCAATTTTTGCTGGGGGCAATTTATCATGTAAAGTCATGAATCTTGCACTCACTTGCTCTATATATACAAATATACATGAAAATTTTTGAAATTTTAAAACTTTATGATGCATTTGAGTTAGATGCATCAAATGAACTGCCTGTGAATCGTTTCTGCGTTTTGAGAATATTTATTCTGTATATTCCCACAGTTCTTCCATTGAAGTTGTAAAAGTGTTGTTGTGATTTTTCGCACACTTATTAACTCAAAAAATATGACAAAAAATATTTAATTATTGTATCGTTATTACTGGTTCAACCAGAGGCGTTAATATGTATATATAATGTACGACATATCTTATATTTATGTGAAATCGTTGATAGAAATTAACTTTAACTAGCACATTAATTTTTAATCTAATTTTAAACTTTCTGTAATTGTTATCTCGTGTGAAGCTGTTTTCTCTTTTTATTTTATGATACATTCAGTGCAGCTTACTATCAAAGTACATATACTAAGTTTATATAATAGTTTAATGCTGGAATATTAATCATCAAATAGTTCATCAATCAAAACAATAGAGACTTCTTGGGATATGTAGTAATGAATGAGTTCCTATTATATATTAGATGAGTAACAGTAACAGAAAAGTATTTTTTCGTGATTTTTAATTTTTTATTATCATTTTAACTGATTTATTAATACATCATTGTTTATATTTTTAATGTTTGTTATAGACTCAATTTTATGTACAATCAAATAACATTCCTTGAAAAGTATAATGTGTTTTTTTAATTCACCTGAACCACAACATACATGTCGATTTACAGTTGTTAGGCTTGGACATCGTTTTTGTTAAGTATAATATATTTTTTTCAATTTTCCTTTTTTTTGACTTTCAAGAACACCAAGTGCATACAATTATCTAATGAACTGACGAAGTTAATAGCTACATTTAACAATGAATATTAAAGCTGAGGAGCTTACTGGAGCAGAATAGCAGAAAATGACAATTTCATGTTATGTCTGAAACAACTTATTAATAATTTCATTTTCATGTTGAGATTTAAATCATGATCTTTATCATGATGAAATATCAGTAATACACCAGTTTAAAATTTTTATTTTAAGATGATTTAATTATGTTGAGTTTTTCATGAGGGTAATATTGTTAAAAATTAGTATAATGCTTTAATTAATTTGGTTTTTGATTAATTTATTAAACTAGAATAAATATTTTTCAACAGCTGAACCGAAATAATGTCACAGCTTGTAACAGACAAATAAAAATACATGACATTTTTAATGAAACTTAATTATTTGCCTTTTCAATAATTACAGTAATACATTCATTTATCATACATATAGTTTCAAATCTAACCATAGGTAAGCGAATTACGTGCGTTCAACACATCAATCGGCGCTTTCAAGATGTAACATGAAATCGAACCGTCTCAGATTTAGCATCGATTTACAGGAATGTTAAAACGCGATTGTGCGCGGTAATTTAATCGGTGAATTTGCGGTTAACGTTGCGACCGAATAATGCTGTGCGGATTTCTGGAATAAGTTGTTGAGCGATGAGTTCCAGTCTATTTTCCAATGTATTGACTATCTTTATGCGTCCTAGGATAATTTTACAGTTAGAATTATTCAACATCATTTAACAATGGCTTTGGAAAACAGATCTTTGACTGAAACTTACCTTTATGGGCCAAAAGTTCAACACCACCACAGCTGTCAGCAGCCAAGTAGTTATCTTGATCCAGCTTCAATGTAGCTTCCTTCTTGGTATGCTCTTTGTATGTATCTTGAATTTCAGGTAAAAGTGATTCGATCAAAGGATGGTCAACTTGTCTAGCTCTTATGACTACAGTAGTTTCTACCAGCTGGAAGATTTGCATATTATTTGATAATTGTTTTTAAATTTTATTGTATTATGATGATAATGATTAAGTAATTACTTGATATAATCCTTGAGAAATCAACAGTTTCAAGAGTCCAGCATATTTGCCTTGATCCCTAGAAATTTCACTGAGCTTCTTCCTTGCATCATCCAAGACATTCTTGACATGATCTTCACGAACTTTGAGAACCTTCAAACGAGCTTGATTAAGCATATTTGAAGATTGGCTAAAGAGAAACAATTAAATTTGAAAAATATGTATATTAATGACAATTATTATCTTCAATAAGATAGGCAACATATCAGATTGATATATTCATTTGAAACTAGATATCATTTTTCCACAAAAAATTACTCACATCTTCTTTTGGAGCTCAACTTGTTTCTCTTTCTTTTCATAATATTCCATAATCTTGAGACGCTGTTGCTGTACTAAGCGTCCTTTTTCAATATTAAATTCTTCTTCTGCTTTTGCATCAATTTCTTCAGCTTTTTCATTGGCCTCTTGTTCGATGAAGGCCATCATATGCTTGATCTAAAAATGCATTAGAATAAATTTTGATAAATAAATGGGAAATTTTTTTATTTTCAATTTCATCTTCAGCAAGAAAGTTCATTCTAATTTTCAACTGTTTGATATTTTGATGAAACAGTGAGTGAGCTAGTTGGTTGAATGAATTGGACACTGCCCAATATGAGTAAAAGAAATAAATGTGATAAACATTGTAAGGACGGATTTATTGACCCAAAAGCCATTAAATGTAATACCACACCCAGAGTTGTGCATGTGACTCCATGAGAGTCAAAACGTGTAATTAGTAGAGTAAAAGTTACGACGTACCTGCTTCTGGACGTCAGCATCGCTGAGAGACATTTTGGCTTATTTGTTTTTGGCTTGACTGCCTGCACTGATTCACGAAAGAAAATTACGCTCAAATTGATCGAGCTAAAATGGGTTAAAGGAATTTGTTCGCACAGAGGATGACTGCTCGGACTGCAAAAGCACAAAAGCACGTCGACGCCCAACAAAGATAGATCTGAAACTGCGTAAGGCCTCGGACTCGACGACGATATTAAAGCGATATATTTCGACGACGATGTCTTATGTGTGTCTCGTGAGAAGCACACGCTCTGTGATCTATAAGCTGACTTCCCCTCGGGTATAGCTAATAGCTATCCACGACTCTAGCTGTCACTGTCGCACTTGCGCGAATCGCCTTTTGCGAGTGTGTACGTCGTCATAAGCACCAACGCTGTCTGCTCACATGACGAATCATATGACTCGCTATGGTGGCGCTAACTAACGATTCAAATTGGTAGCTTTTTCACGTCAAAAATCTTACGAAGTGTTCAATCGCGATGTCAAGTCCGAACTATTTCAAATATCGCGTATGAAATTACGATTACTGAATCATCAGTCATTTACGATAGTCGAAAAAATGAAAAGTTTCGATCTATATATGAGCGTCACGATAATTAGTTAATCGATTTCTATTGCACTTGTTTTATAATTCATCAGGATTGGTAGAGTCGTAAAAATGACGAAAAATTATTTGACCATTTAAATGACTATACTTGCCAGCGATGCTTGTATTTGTTTTATATGAAAATAAGTTTTTCGGAAGCAAGTGCGAGATGTGCGAAAAAAAATCAATTGGTTGGCGTGCAAATTGAACGTGGCTGCGTGCACAGATTGCGAGCAGACTTGATCGGTACATGAAAAAGCCACCCACACGGTGGAGTCGCGTCGCGCCGAGTTGCTACAGCGGCCGAACTGGCAAAGTCTCGACTACATTTACCAACAAGAGAGTCTGTGTTTTGACTGTTTCGCGTTACGCCTCTGCAAAAGGCTTCAGTCTATTCCGGTACTCCGGGCGCATTGGACGCGCGTAGCAAGTGTTTCGCGCCTCGCAGCCCCCCGCATCGCTCATATACCTACACGGCTTTGTTTACCTTTGGCCCTTTAATTCTTGTTGTCGTAGCGTCACGAGTGTCTGATTGCGCGAGTGCCGAGTTTGTGATTCGCTGCCGCGTGCCCAAGTACGCGCACCTGTCAAGACCAATACATGTTATTTTTCACCGGCTGAGCCTTGCAAAATAATCGACAGATAATCGAGCAAACATGCCGGTGTTCCACACGAAAACCATCGAGAGCATCCTCGACCCGGTTGCCCAGCAGGTAAATAAAGCCAATAATAGGATCGCATTACTGCGTGTGCAGTGCTGCTATGCTCTTTTTGAAAAAGCTCTCGATAACGCGAAAAAATAGCCGCTCGCGATCTGTTTGTATACATACTCGCTGCAGAGCCGATATACCTATACCTACATAATTACGTGTCATCTTCTTTCTCGATATATTAACGCCTAATCGATACTTTCTCTCCTATTTACCCTCTCCTCGGGCCCGCATAAACACGAGCATAACTTCGGATGCAGATATGCAGTATAGGTTTCAACATGCATACATACACTGCTAAAGATTAGACATGTATTTATACGTACATACAACATGAAAACCGCAAGCCATCTAACCTCTCCATATATTTATGCGTACAGTGCCTTATATACGAGTGTCTCTCGTTTCTTTTGCGCTTGGCCATCTCGTACGTGCCGTTTGCCAATAATATATGCCGTCTTATATCAGTATTTTTTTCCTTCTCTCTTATGGATATCTATTCGTCGTGACGTCATTCGTGCAGACCACTTGACTCGACTACTACTGTAATATACCATGCCATTTTCAAATCTATGAAAAGAGGATTTTCACAAGCGCGGATATTTATCGATGAAATTACCTTTCCAAAGATTTTCGTCGAGAATTTGGTCGTGGGAAGAAAAAGCAAAACAAATAAAAATAAAGCCACGCCCGCGTCGTACGAATCGAAAAACCAGGCAGGGTTTAAAAAACGATGTTAAACAGGAAAGCCTTGTGTACGTTACGCATAGGCTCGATGAGTCTTGAATGAGAAATCGAGAGAGGGAGAGAAAGGCCTGGGCTTAATGTACCTAAAAATACATGGGGTTAAAATAGACACGCGTGTATAAAACATATAGCGGTAGGTATAACGTCTGCCATGCACAAGTTTTCAATGTTTATATATAGCTGGCTGTAGGAATATATATTAGCACGAGTTTATTGCTTTCTGGTAGCTTTCTTTGTGTATATATAAAATCATAATAGCGAGCTTGGCTACGCGGGCCGAGGTTGCACAATGGCTTTAGCTGCCACTCGACCAAGACGCGGCACGAAAAATCTCATATTATCTCGTCCTGGCGAAATTTTTAAAGAGTCCAAGAAATCTCGCGTCCGGTCCACTCGAACGACGATATGTAACGTCTCTGGCCTTTAAGCGAAAAAAAAAATCATTACGCTTCGCAGTTGCCGATCCGAAAGAGAGAACAGTCTGTGCAGAAAATGATTCATTCATTCGAGACAGCGAACGCGTTTCGTTGGCTGTCAACGCCGCACGTTTCGAGCGAGTCTTTCGCCGAGAGAGAAAGAGAGAGCATCGATCAAAGCACGTGCATGTTTGACGAATCAAAAGAATCGTCCGAGAAACGATCGGAAACGCGCGGAACTTTATCGAAACGCCACCGACTTTAATGCCAAAATTCTCACTACTCTCGACTCGGAAGAGCTTGATTGTAATTATAGAAAGCTAGACAAACATTGGCTCAGCTTTTGGCTAAATATTCGAAAATACATAAGATCGACTGGTCGCACACGGTAATCCAAAAATATGACCGTGCTCTCTAGCTTGGGCAAATTGATCCTCTCTTCGTTGAGATTTATTACGGCGTATATAATATGCATGGGCAGTATGGACACTTGGCATAACGACGTTAAAAATTACCACTTGGCCCGATTCGGGCACGCCTTGGCTCGAAGACAACCGCTACACACGATCAGCCTATATTTCAGCTTTTTTGCTCGAATCCAAGTCGTCCTTTTTGATTTTCGCGACTCGACTTTGAATTCGAGCAAATGCAGCAACGCGACGAGTTGGAGCAAATTAGGCGTCGTCGCGCTTGCGTCCCTAATTTACCATACAGTAATCGGCCCACGCCTATGAATACGCGCGCTTAACACACCCGTGGCCGTTTCATTAATAATTTAGGCCACAAACTACTTTATGCGTTTCAGCGGCGCGCGAGCTAGCTCGATTTTACCGCGCGATACACTCTATAAATTAAACTAGAGCCAAGACGTTGACTTTGCTCGCCTCTTGTGCTGTGTACGTTTGATTTTTCTAATCTGCTTGTAATACGTCAACAGGTTTCGCGTCTAGTCATACTACACGAGGAAGCCGAAGATGGCAATGCTATGCCAGATCTGGAGAGGCCTGTCAAAGCCGTCAGTCAAGCCGTCGCTAATCTCGTCAAGGTACCCAATTCTTTACCTTGCTTTCATATCCATTCGACATATTTATTTTCATTTTCTCCGTGACTCGACTGGCCACGATCTCTATTGTAAACTTGTCGAAATTGCCGATCTAGGTGGGTAGGGAGACGATCAATTCGTCGGACGACGCGCTGCTCAAGCAGGACATGCCGGCGTCTCTCAAACGAGTCGAGACGGCCTCTCATCTTCTGGAGGATGCCTCGGTCATGCTCAAAGGCGATCCCTACTCCAGTACCGCCAGGTAATTCATTTTTTCCAACCTCTATAACAGTGGCTACAGTTAATTATTAACGATGATTATCAGCTCGTACGGTAAGATGATGTATTCGTGCAGCTCCATTACTCGCGTCGGTGGCGTTGCGTGGAGGTATGTTTGAATCGAATAGTGTATCGCCTCAACCCTATGAATTAATTCATTGGAGTGGCTTGAAGTAACAAATTTCATTTCGACAAAACAATTCAATTTCGTAATCAATTACATTTTCATATGGTGTAATAATCATTCATCGTGATATTACTATTATTACGATGGTTATTATTTTAATTATTATCATACATAAATGCTTTCACGACAATTGATCGATTCCGAAGTATTTCCATTGACGCACAATCATCGCGAGCTCCGCCAAAATTGATACTTTTATTGGCTCAGCAATATCCATCAACACGATAAAAAAATTGGCTTCTACTTATTTTCTTAGTTTAATAAATAAACTCGATCAGAACATTGCCATTTATAATGTTGGCCGTAAAATGTACGCTAAACTTGAATAAATCAATGGCCCGAGAAACACATGGAGTCGTGAGTCTTTAAAAAAATGTCGTTGTACTCGCATACAGAAAAAAGCTGATCGAGGGCTCTCGCGGTATTCTGCAAGGCACTTCGTCGCTGCTGCTCTGCTTCGACGAGAGCGAAGTGCGCAAAATCATCCGGGAATGCAAGCGCGTACTCGACTACTTGGCCGTGGCCGAGGTCATCGAGACCATGGAGGATCTCGTTCACTTCCTGAAGAATCTCAGTCCCTGCCTGAGCAAAGTATCGGGCGAAATAAGCGCCAGAGAAAAGGAGTTGACGCACCAGGTCCATCGAGAAATATTGATTCGTTGTCTCGATCAGGTAAGATGTCGGACAGCTCGTCTGAAAATTATCCACAGCGAATAATCGATCGATCGTGCGCGTCCACAGGTGAGAACGTTGGCACCCATTCTCATTTGCTCGATGAAAATCTTCATTCATATCATCTCGAGCGGCGGCAAGGGAGCCGAGGAAGCCGCAGAAAATCGCAACTACTTGTCCGGCCGCATGTCCGAGGAGATCAACGAAATAATTCGCGTGCTGCAGCTGACGACTTACGACGAGGACGAGTGGGACGCCGATCAGATAACGGTGTTGAAGAAAGCTCAGAGCGCCATCGAGTCGCGCGTCAAACCGGCCTTCGACTGGCTCGACAACGGCCGAGCCTTGAGGGGCGGCGTCGGCGAGAAGAGTCTCCGTCAGATCGTCGAGCAGGCCGAGCGCTTGGCCGAGCGCTACCTAGCCCCGGCCCAAGCCGAGCCGATCGCCAAGCTGGCCTCGCAGCTCACCACCATGACGGACGCCCTGTGCGAGCTGCGCCAAAACGACAAGGGCACCTCGCCCCAGGGTGAGGCACTCGCTCGAGGCATCAAGGACAAGGTGAACGAGCTGCGCTCCAACATATCCTCGGCCATCGTAGCCGCGGACAAGTCGGGCACGGTGCAGACGGCTCATACCGTGGCCGGTCGTTTGGAGCAGGCCAACAAGTGGCTGCTCAATCCCCAGCACGACGACAAGGGCCTAGGACAAAAGGCCATTGCGCTCATCATACAAGAAGGCAAGAAGGTAAGCACGTTTTTCCTTCAAAATACAAAAGCTCGCTGTAATTACTTTTTTTTATCGTATGCATATAACATGTACTATTATTTATTTAAATATAATAATGCTTATTAACCAGCTCTATCCCTCTCCCTCTCTTTCTCTCTGGTACGCTCAAAATTTCTCCGTTTGCTTCTTTCATTCTGCTAACCATAAACTCTCGCAAATTTTGGGACTTTTGACTTATACCATTGCGCACGAGTATAGAATCTTGGAATCGTGTACACGGTAAGTGCCAGACTGACTAATTCTACCGATATATTGTACACTTAATTAGTAGGCAGAAAAAAAAGTAGGAAAATGTCAGGCGAATAAAGAGGAATAATGCAATGGTTGGCAGGTGGCGGATGGCTTACCCGGTATCCACAGGGTGGAGATTCTTCAGCTTTGCGACGAGGTAGACAATCTGTCGCACCAGCTGGGCGAGTTGTGCGCTCGCGGCGAGGGCAACAGTCCGCGCGCTCAGGACGTGGCTCGGAAACTGTCGCACAGCTTGCACGAGCTCAAGAACAAGATCCAGCAGGCCGTGGTGTCGCGAGTCGTCGAGGACTTTATCGACATCACGACGCCGTTGAAGCAGTTCACGGAGGCCGTGCTCGCGGCCGAGGGCACGCCTCACAGGGAGCAGAACTTCAACGACAAGACGCTGGGCCTGCAGAGCTTCTCGAATCGCGCCGCCAAGACCGCGCGGATGGTCGCCGCCGGTGGCAGCGGAGGCAACAAGAAGCTCGCCGAGGCCCTCAACGCGACCGCCTCGCAGCTCGAGTCTCTCACGCCCCAACTCATCAACGCCGGTCGCATCCGCATGACCTATCCGGAGAGCAAAGCCGCCGACGAGCACTTTGAGAATCTGCGCCTCCAGTACGCCGACACGATTCAGCGGGCTCGGAGCCTCTGCGACGAGGCGACCGACAGCGCCGATTTCGTCAAGGCCAGCGAGGAGCACATGAAGAAGCACACGATTCTCTGCGAGGACGCCATCGCCAAAGCCATGCCGCAGAAGATGGTCGACAACACCTCGGCCATCGCTCGACTGGCCAACCGAGTCATACTCGTGGCCAAGCAGGAGAGCGACAACAGCGAGGATCCGGCTTTCATACAGAGAGTCAACCAGGCCGCCGATTGGCTCCAGAGCTGTGAGTATCGAGTGACCGAATCGACACTCGTATGTAATTCCAAGCCAACGACTCAAACACGTCCACGTATCAATTTACTTTTTTACCCGCGCGCAGGTGTGGCTCCAATGGTCCAGGACGCCAAGGCCGTGGCCATCAACATGCACGACGGCCAATCCATATCCAACTGGCGCGACAGCAATCGAGCCGTATGTATCATATACACGCATCCCATTCATTAGTCATGCATACTTGAATAACATAACTATTGTTTCGTCTGATCGTCTGATCGTGTGTGTGCAGCTACTCGGTGCGGCTGGCGCAGTTAGGCAGGCCATTACCGTGGAACCTGAAGCTTTATCACCTGTGCCACCACCTCCGCCGAGTCTATCGGCTCTTCGCATCTACGACGGAGGTAATCAATTCTTTTTTCTCAATACGAATATAATTATATCATTTACCCTTACATAATTACATGAATGTTGCACATACATCATATATATTCATATAGAAGATGTAGCCGATTTTACGAAAGAACGATTTATACCCGTTATCGAAGAAATTCAAAAAATCGGTAGGACGAGTCAAGCCGAAGGTAATTCGCGTGATATGAGAGTGATGCATGGATTTCTCGGCATTACCTCTATCCTTGTGACTCGATACTTTTTGACGGATACAGAAATAATACTCATATCCACTCCAAGCTAACTAGCTCGTTTCATATTGACGTTTAACATACTTCTTCGATTATAACAATGCATCCTTTTTTTCTTTTCAAGTTTTAACTTTTTTAATTTTTATTTAGTTTTATTGAGACAATTTTACAGGCTATTCGTCGCCAAAACACGTAAATGTATACTTCAACAAAGAATAAGTGTATTTTAGGTAAAACGTTAATTTATTAATCGGCAACCTTTTGTTTCCACATACCTTACTAAGCTTACGATGTTAACTCTGTAAGAACCACACTGTAAGTACATTTTCCGATCCCCGCACGTACCGCGGTCTAACTGCAATACATCTTATAAGTACAACGATTTAAATGTCATTGTACAATAAATATAAATTTTGAGTATAGTTTTTCCCGTTCATAGTTCTCTCGAAATGGATTATATATAAGATCATCGATATAAATCGTCATCTCCAGTTTAGGTCTCGATCCCAAATTTCTACGTTACTTCGATCGATTCGATGCCTATTACAAACGTTTAAGTGTATGGTAATGACAAGATGAGCACCTCAGCGATCGAAATCCACCTAAACGATTGTAACAGACATCAAATTGATTTAAATAACATGCAGCTTCTGGATTGAGAATGAAACTGGGTATATGAACCATTGCCAAAGAACTATGAACAGCAAAGAAGACACTCAATGTTTGAATCTATTGTACACTATTGTACACTATAAAGTTAAAACCGTTGAATTTATAATTTTTATTGTGGTTAGATTGCATGTAAGAAAGTACATTACATTACATTGTACATTAGAAAGTTTTTTAACTTTTGGACGTTTTCTTTATTGAAATCCAGTCACGTATTTTGGAGAGCAATAGCCATTAAAAAATTGCATTAATAAAATTCAATAGAAACGTGAAGAGTGCGAGTGCAAAAAATACTTTTTTCCAATTTTCATCTGCTCATTCGAAAATTATGTGATAGTTAATTTGCGATTTGATATAGATATGGCTCCACCTCGGCCTCCACTGCCAAGTGGAGAGCTACCACCACCAAGACCACCACCGCCAGAGACTGACGACGAGGATGAGATGTTTATGCACGCCCCTCAGCCTAATCAACCGATTATGGTAAAACGATAAATTCTCTTGAACCAGCACTATATCACTCGAGCGTGTAAACGTTATTAAATTCAAAATTATAGATGGCAGCCCATGGCCTCCATCAAGAGGTGAGACAATGGTCAAGCAAGGACAACGAAATCATTGCCGCAGCCAAGAAAATGGCTATTCTCATGGGCAGACTGTCTGGTCTCGTGAGAGGCGAGGGTGGCAACAAACGTGATCTCATCGCTTGCGCCAAAGCCATCGCCGAGGCTTCTCAAGAGGTCACTCGATTAGCCAAAGAGCTTGCCAGAGAGTGTACCGACAAGCGTATTCGTACGGTTGGTATTTTCGTATTGCACATTTCATGCGCGTGAAAATTCGCTTATAAATATAACGTAATTTTGTGTTTGTGTAGAATCTTCTCCAAGTGTGCGAACGCATTCCGACGATCGGAACGCAGCTGAAAATTTTATCCACCGTCAAAGCGACGATGCTCGGTGCACAAGGTAATGTGATTACTCAGCAAATTATTCCTTTCATTGCGAATTTTTTAATGCAACGAAAAGTCGACGTTTGTTCATGACAATGACATTCATCAAAACCATTATTCTCTATTACTAATAACATGCCACAAGTACTAACAAATCATTACTTTCATTGCTCAGAGACGCTCCTCACCTGGGAAGAGTTGATGTTATACGGTAATTGCTGATGCTAAGCAAAATACTATACTGCTTTCATTTACTGAAACGTCATTCATTTTGCATTTATTTTTTCGACAAAGTATTTTTTCCACAACAGTAGTTTCTAAGTTGATTGTATTATTACCAACTTATCATAAAAACGCTATTCCTCAATGAGCCTCTTTCAACATCTAAAATTAGACTTCTCTTTCATTTCATGCTATATGTATTAATCACTGTATGCAGAAAATCAACTGAATAAAGTATCAAATTGTTCGTTGATTTTCATGAGTATTGGCATGTCTATTTTTGTCAGATAGACATACTTATAACCGCAAATTATCAATTATCAATTAGTAGCATATTAAATTTTACAAAAAATGAAAAAACTATTAATAATATTTACGATTTTATAGGTACGGAAGAGGATCAAGAAGCAACAGACATGTTGGTAGGTAATGCACAAAATCTCATGCAGAGCGTAAAAGAAACGGTCCGTGCGGCCGAATGTGCAAGTATCAAGATTCGCACTGCCTCGGGCATGAAATTACGATGGGTACGCAGACAGCCCTGGTACCAGTATTAATTTTTAAGTTTAATAATATAATCATCTGCAGAATAGAAAAGAAACAAAAAAATATCGTGAATTGTTATAACTATTAAATTTGTGCATCAATGTTATTGCATTGAATAATGTCATTTATGAAAATTGTATGCCATTTTAGAAGTTAATTATTTAGTTATACATTATTATATTGTGCATTTGCTGACGAATACAAACTTTATGTATCAAATTATATCAAGTTAAAATTTTTTCTGATTTGCGTGAATGAGAGTCTTGAATTTCAATTTAAAATCAAACAATATATTGCAGATTCAACTGCCGAATTGATCGGTTGTAATTTGATCAGAAAAATGCAATATCAATTCGAATTACTTCTGCGATCGAAAAACTGAATAAATATAAGTATTTTTTTTTAAGTATGGTCAATCAACGTGAAAGCGCTAATACGAATAAATTTTTTTATTAAAACGATTGAATCACTTATATATATATTTATATAAAAACAACCTACTCACACATACATAAGTATTTAGCAATAAATGGTGCAGTGAGAAAACTCAATCGTACTTTTAAATCACGAGGCCGCTATTTTTCTACAATTAAATTAAAAAAACGTGAGAGTCACAGCTTTAAGTTATGTAATCAAGTTTAAGGTTTATTTTTGTAAACAATGTAAATGTGCAATAAAAATAGAAAGAGCGAATAATCCCACATCGTTTGTCATACTAATGAAAAGCCTTCCCGACTTTAAACTGAATATATTACAATGTGGTGCTAAAGTAATTAATCTTATTAATCAGCCTACTGACGTATTAATAATAATAATAATAATAATAAAAATAATAATAATGATAATAATAATGATAATAATCATACAATTACTTTAGAAGTGAGTACTTGCATTGAGCTTGCCACAAATGAAAATTATGAGTCTTTGACTATTTACAAGATTATGTCCGTCCTCTGAAAAGATTGGTTCGGAATGTTTTTAAATCTAATTTTATACATATGCCTCATAGAAAATATTGTAACTTGTACCTAGAAATGAATTAATGATAATTTTTAAGATAATAAACTGAAAGTAATTGATAAATAACAAATGTACTCATTAATTTTAGCTGTACAAAATATTTACAAAACTCATTTATAACACTTTCAGATTCTTTATAAAAAAATCCACAACCCCATAAATAAAACTATTGTATACCTAATTTCTTATAATGCTATTATCTAAATTTTTACCAACGGCAGAAATTTTTATTTTGGGCATTTTACTTGGTCTTAGATATGGATTATCAATAGCCTCTGTTTGGGTACTATTTTCTTCACTTTCTTCATTTTTGTCATTCTCTTTCTTGGTTTCACCTAGAAAAAAATTTTATATAATTAATAAAGTTAGTACTGTCGAGGAACATGCCCCATTTCAAGGCCCATCTAAATAATGTACTCAATCACATGAGTATAATTGTATCAAATAATACATTGATGCACATCTGAAAAGATAAAATTACCTTCTTCTGCTCTAGTTCCATCTTTAGTTGGCTTAACTTCAGATTGTTCTTTTTTCTTCTTGGGGCTTAATTCTACATCACTATCTTCATCGAAAATTTGATCTTGAGGCAAAAGAGCTGATAAATATGTAGGAAATTGAGGAGTACATGCTATTACTAAAAAATAAAAATATATTTATTTTATTTTTATAATTGTGGTAATTAACAAATTATTTGAAGTAACTAATTATTGTATTGTACTCACATGGAAACATACTATTATCATCTTTAAGAAATAAACTATGTGTTTTTTGAGTCTTTGCTGTAAATCTTGTTAATGCTCTTTCAATATCTCTTTTCTGTTGAGCTGCTTTTTCTCTGATGGCCTCATATTCAGTGACAGGCTGCTTATGAGTCTAAAAAATATAAAAATTTATAGCAACTTCATCTTGATTGAACTTAGAACCTCCTAACTTACCGGTGTCCTGATATATGCATGTGGATCTGGTAGTGGTGGCAAGTGGCTGGGTATGTGCGGTGGATGATTTTGTTTTACTCCAGCCTGCAAAATATTCAACTGTTTTTGTTGAGTTTGTACTTGTAACGGAGGTAAAATTGACCTGTTAGGACGGTGAACATATTTGTTCAAATTGTCAACTCGGATTCCACTGTTTGTTAATGCCAAAATAACATCAGCTATTAGTACTTCTGTTCTACCAGACAGCTCACAATAATTTCTGGACATAGTTCCCAAATCCGTTATGACTAAAAAAAAATTATAGATATTTTTAAAATAATACTAATTACCACAAAAACGTTTTATGATTAAGTTATGAACTATTTACACGATTGGCACATCTCTGTGAGTGTTTCTAAAGCAGCTTTTTCACATGTTTCAAAACCAGCTTCGTGAATTAAGCATGCGATTGCATGGCTAAGTATTTTGCGACGTGAATTCGTTATCTGTTGATCCATTGTGACAAATTTATAAACAACAGGTACTGACAGTTGTAACAGGAGTCGTTAACCAACTCTCTAACGCGAGTCGACGAGAAGAGTGCGAGCGCAAGACGTACTGAAGCTTGATTTAACCTTTTTAAAACATAAACATTGTCACACGTTGCCTCTGCATTACCTGTTGAGCAGTTTAATGTACTATTTTATCGATACATACATGTTATATACATAATTCTTTTTAAATTTCATACATATTTTAATTGTAATTAATTGGGTAAACTGAATTTAATATTCATCTGATTTTTATTTTACAAAATGAATGTATCTCAATTTGTTAAATGTTTCATATCGTAAAAAGCAAATGGGTCGTGGGAATAAATAGTAGCACTATTGGCGTTATTATAGCAATAAGAAGTGTTAGTAAGTAGTAACAGGCGCGCGAGCGCGACGCTCATGCCTCATAATATCTCGGTTCTGCGGCTTATAACCTCTGCATCATAATATCTGCAGAGTGCAGACATCTAAAGTATAGACTATTACCTACTCGTCGATGTATAGCTTGTTAACGAAATCAGTCACTTTCAATATCAATTGTACTCGCGTTGAGAAATAGACAATAAGTTTAAGTGCATCTCACTCAACTTCTGCAGTTTTTACGTGAATCGGCTGTGTTGTCAAATTGGAACGCAACAAAATTTTATAAATGGAATTGTGACCACGCCCAGAACATCAAATCTATGGTTCATCTATACAATTAGTATTGCTGATACACTGTCGAGTAATTGATATATACTTCGTCAAGTGTTGCTTGTTTTAAGAATTACGAGATTAACGCATAGTTTTTTCTATAAAAACAATAAAAAATGGTGATGTCTACTGTACAAACGAGACGTCAAGAGGTCGAACAATTGCGCCGAGAGGCCACTATAAAGCGAGAAAAGCTCAGCAAATCTATGAAAGAAATGCTGGATTTTATTCGCGAACACGAGCAAGAGGATTGTCTGCTCGTCGGCTTCTCCTCTCAGAAGAGCAATCCCTTCAGGGAAAAGAACTCGTGTGCCATACTCTAACACTGGGTTCTTTTTAGCCCATTAAGCACACAGAGACGTTACAATTCATTGAATCGGTTGAGAGCTGTGCAATGGTGTCAGGTTAGTGTTTATGTTTTAATGTTTCATTGATATCTTCGATTGTATGACAGTTGGATGAATACATAAGCATATAAGTTATGACTGTTAATTTAAAAGGTCCAAAAGAGATAATTCTTTGAGTAAATAATGTATCATTTAGGCAGAATTTTGGCAGGTTAAATAAAAACCAACAAATAAAATTCAAAAACATTTCTACATTTTATTTTTTGGACATTCTTTTTTTTTTGGTGATTTGTGTGAGTTAAATTTGGAATGACTGAGTAAAACTTGAAACTAAATTTTGCTCATTAGTGATGACGTCCAAATAACTTAGTGCTGTGAATTAAAGAAAAATTAAATATGTTAATTTTACTTGTTTCAGGGGCAAAATACCTCATCCTATTTAAATAATAAAACTTTTATGGCTTGGTGGCATGTGTGTACAAACTTCATAAGCATGGAATTGACTCGTCTTACCAGATTGTTTGCAAGTACTAAAGTTCGTATACAATAAATATAAACTGTGGAATCATTTTTAATACAGCGAAGTATATTTTTGACAAATTATAAACAGTTCATATAAAAAATATTTTCAATATAAAAAAAAGATTTTGATAAAGTAATAGTATTTACAATATTGTATATTTGTATAAATTATTTAGAAAAAGTCAAATGGCATTTTTTAATTTTTTTTGACATAAAAATTTTCTTTATACTTTTAAACTTATCAACAACATTTTGTTTCATAAGTTTTCCAATAATTCAATTAAATCATACAAATATGGAAGTTGTGCACTGTCTCTCTGCGACTGAACTCTTCGATAAAAAATAGGACAATCTAGAGAAGTACAACTATCAGCATCCATTATGCCAATGCAAGAGTTACAGATCTAAAATTTAAAATTAATAATTATAATAATTTTACTAAATGTTCAGAATTTAATTTAATTAGTCAATATTAAGTTATACACTTAGATTTGACACAAACCATTTTACTATTTGAATGGATTCTTTCATATTGCCTGCATTTTTCATGTAGAGATACTAAACTTCTACTTTGATTTTTAACGCAGTTTTCACAAATGCCTTTATCACAAGACTGTCCACAGGATGGACAAGATGCATTACATAAATATTGAGATATTGTAGTTTTTTGCTTATGATATATTTTCATCAAAGCAGCTGCAGGCATTTTATTGGGTGCCTGGCGGTGAGGCATTTCCATAAACCTTTGTGCAAACATAGTACAAAATTTCAAGGTATATTTTATAATATTGAGAAATGATTAAGATATATCAATTATTTATTAAATTCGAAATTTATTGTCTAATGATGAAAACTTTACCAATGTTAAATATATTTAATGAGAATATGTAATAATAAGCAATACTTATGAACGGAAATAAAAAAAAGGTAATAAAAACTCTTTCAATTATTTCTATCCTTACCAAGTAAGAGCATCAACACCAATGAGTTTTATGCATCTATTTAAGGGAGGAATGATAACTTTAGTTATGTAGTATATGGAATTAGGCCTTAAAAAAGGATCCTCAATTAGTTCCATTGGTGATTTGACGCATTTTATTAGAGGCTCATTTGGTGCACCAGCCACTATGATGTAAGGTACACGCGCACCCGTTCTCGGCACGGCTCGTGGATCTTTTTGAATCATACGCTTGGTTAATTCTAATGAGGGTACACAAGCTGCTGCCTTATATCCTTTCATGCCCCGAAATTCTTTGGCAAACGTCAAATCCTGTATTGAGGCTCGGCCGCTAAGAATTTTATCTAGTTGACGAGTTACGTAGTCCTTTACTTTCGACATATCGTTCGTATCGAACAGTATCCTTAGAGACTTTTCTAATATCTAGAATGTAACGTTATATTGTATACTATTAAGGGCTCAAAGATCGTTTGAAATAAAAAAAAAAATGATTCAATTTTTAGAAAGGATTTTGTCCTCTTTTTTCACAAAACTTTTTAAAATTCCAAAATTTTTATTTACTTCTTAAATACAGCTATTTCTGTGAGACTTTTTTGTGCCAATTTTTTATTCTTGCGCATTTGCTGGCGTTTCTTGTTTTTAAATAAACAACAACGTCGTCGTAAGAGTAAGAGCGAACCGCGTTTGAGCTGCGGAGCCCACTTCTTTGGAACATGAATGGTTACGGTTAAAATTTTCGGCAAAGTGGTAAATACCGAGACCGTAGATTTATTATGAAGATAACAAAAAAATTGTTAAATGAAAAAAAATATGCCCAAGTTTTTTGTGACCTCGTGCGAAGTCTTGATCGGAACAATTTACGTTCCAAAGAATGGTGTATGCGACCTGGGCGCTGTTGCTGAAACGCTTCGCTCTTAAAGTAACGAGAAGCGAAGTGCATTTTTAAAAAATGTAATACGCCTACACCAACAAACGCAAAAGAAGAAACAATTTAACACCCATAAAGACGGAAATGGTGGCATCTCAGTGAAAAATAAACATTTTGTAAATTTAAAAAATTCCATGGAGAGAAGAAAAATCCATTTCAAAAATTCACTAAAGGATTTTTGATTTATAGCCCTTTTTGAGCGCTTAACAGAGTGTTCATCGGAATTTCTTTTTCAGAGAGTTCTAAAACTTTATAAATCATTATAGCACTTGCTACAAGCGTTCGATCTTCTTTGTTACGCTTAAAACAGCGTGTTCACATTGCATCTGTAAATTCTATAAATAATCCACTCTTACCTTGGCTACAGCTGGGCACCCATCTCGCCGTACAGTCTCAATCCCTTTCGCTAAATAAACTGGCTTGTCGTTTACATTTTCGTACATGTAGCCGCAGTATCTTTTTTTGGTCTGCAAAGATTTTTGATTGCTGGATAAGTTTTTGTTATTTTTCATATTTTTTTGTATTTATTATGAAAATCAAATGTTAGCTTACTTGAAGAATACATGGGTGCATGACTTTTTCAAATTTCAATTTGACCGGTTTAGGATTGGCTGCCGTAACGGCATCAGCCATTTGGGCACCAATATCGAATGCCTCTTCGCGTGTTTTATCCTTTAACAGAATGAATAGAGAATCCGTATCTCCATAGATAACTCGAGCCCCCCATTTGGATGTTGATTCTACCAATTTTATTGCTCGCTCAAGCGTTTCTTTACCTTTGCTCACGACACTATCCCCTACCTATACGATGGTGTAGTATCCGATTAACATTGCGTTTTTTCAAATAAATTATTGATAAAATAAAACTGTGAAAAACGATAGAAACCTCGATACATGGCATACGGCCGCTAAAATTAGCAGCGGTGTATCCGTAGGTAACATTGGCGATGAGCTTCAATCCAAGCTGCCTTGAATGCAAAGCCCTTTGCAGAGCTCGATCACTTTTTGGATGATCTTTCATAGCTTTTTTCACCATAAACCTAGTATCGAGAATTTCTGTCAACATACGTGGCAAGATTCCCTTTCTCACATCTTCCCTGACAAATGCAACCCCACATGGTGCGTAATTAATTCTGTTTTGTAGGTGCTGAGCCAATTTTTTTGGTACCTTTAAGTTTGTGCAACCAAATTCGAAAGGGTGGAGTCTAAAAAAAAAGTTATGATTTTGATGATACATTTTACGCCTTATTAATTTATTCAACTCACGATCCGATGAGATCCACGCGTCCTAAACAGGTGGAAAAACAATAGTTGTATGCTATAATTATACTTGGATACAAGCTCTGAAAATCCAAGACAACCACTGGATCGTGATACATGGTTGATTCGGGCTCCATAATGAGAGGTAGTGATTCAGGTGCTCGCATACAAGCGCGTTGATGAGGTGACGGTGAGACTGGAATGTAGTTCATCGGCTTGGCCAGACGTAACATCATCGACTCGACTCGAAATTGCGAGCCACGGGAAAAAACTTCGAAAAATTGTACGCCATAAAGTCTCGCATGTTCACTTGTGCGATCTGTAAAAAAATAAAATTTTTGATGCAAAAAAATGATCGGTAATGATAAATTCAATATAAGACGAACTTATGATATCGAGATGATGAAGCAATCGATGGACGCCAATTACTCTATTGCAATAATGATCAATGACTCGCCAGCGAGAGTTTGGGGTATTCCACCATTTGGTGAGGACGTCGAAACTCCAATGAGGTACGCGTTCGCTTAATACGTTATACATTAAGCTCTCGTAAGTGTAACTGTACAGGGCTGACATTGAAAAAATTATTACATTAATTTTTAGTATACTTCACTGATATTTCTTACCGATTTCATGCCTCATAATTCTCCATATATCAAGTACGATTCTTCCAGGTAATCTGACTTCAGCTAATATTTCTAGATGTATTTGTATGGGTTCATCAGCAGCTGTCTCCCAATTACACTTAGCGTTGGGTATTCTTGATATTTTACCGCTCAATGACTTACCCAACAGCGATGCGCGTTGAAACATGTAACCCCAGGACAGAAACTCCATGTCCCAACCGATCAGAATATCCGGATCACTGCGGGATATGACATCCACTACGACCTGAAATATTTCAACTTCATTTGCCACGTAGGTGAGAGTTTGTTCGTTCTCTGAAACTTGTTTATTTTTAGCATTTGGATCGACAATTATTACGCCGCACTCGAGGGTTTTCGCTTTCGTCCAATCCGGAGGTACATCGTTGTGAATGGCGTAAAATACAGCGCCGATCGGATCTTGCCGCGGGTCTGGTAATAAATTCGGTCGCGTTATCACGTGCACTTCCAAGCAGAATGTTGTTAAGAATTGATGCTGTAAATAATTTATAAACGTGTTTAACGAGCAAAAATCGGTAAGGCTTTATACTTACATTCGTCATGGCTTTATCATTTCCCAATTTTTCGTGGCCTACGTTAGCCATTGAAATACGATTTGTGAACTCGATTTGTCCACAAGATACTCCAAAATGTTTCGAAATAATGCTACTCTCAGTGTCGTAAAATATCCTCGATAAATCAACACTGGGTTCAAAGACAACACTTTTAGATGACAGTCCAGATTTTTGGGATTTCAAAACACGAAGTTTCTTTTCTTCTTTAAGCTTTTCATTTTTTTGTTCATCTTTCCTTTCTTCGAGCCATTTTTCTATGCTTATTCTATTAGGAGGTGATTCAACCGGTACTGTTTCGATATACTCATTAAACTCTGGAATTGAATCATTAGAGCTGGAGCTAGCATCTGTGGAGGTAGAGGTAGTGGTGGAGGAGGAGGAGGAGGAGCTGGAGCTGGAGTTAGAGTTGGAGCTAGAGTTGGAGCTAGAGTTGGAGCTAGAGTTGGAGCTGGAGTTAGAGCTGGAGCTGGAGTGGGAGCTGGAGCTGGAGTTGGAGCTGGAGCTGGTAGAATCATTTGTTTGCGAAGAATTGAAAGGTATGCGAAGTTTGCAATTATCGGAAATTATGGGGCTAGTCTCTTTATCTAAATTTTTTTCATCACTATTGGACTTACAATTGATCATATCCTCATGAGTCGTAGGAATCACTTCTTCGCGATTTAATAATTTAACACTATGTGATGCTTCTTGGGATAGTGGCAAATTTTCTTGATTAGAGAAAATTCTAAGCCTATTACCCGTTAAGTTTGACAACGATGACTCTTTATGCAAACTATGCATAGTTTGGCTTGCAAAGTGGTGATTATGAATTTCGAATCTAGTACTTTGTGAGTTACTCAAATCGCTATCGTTAATTATCACAGAATTTTTAACTACGACTGCTCCAGTCTGCGAACGAGTAATCGTGTTGGTTGACTCATCGGAATCTTCAACCAATGTCATGTCGCTTTCAAAGCCTTCTTCAACTTGAGTGTGTGGTTCATTATTACTTAGCTGAGTGAGAAATTGGGCTTGTAAACGATTTTCCATTGACGTGCCGTTGTCATGATCAATTAAACCCTTTTCATTTCCTTCTATAGTAGTTTCGCGTTTTGAATTATTTAACGGTTGTGAGACCCATTTGCCATCAGAATCTTCAGCTAATCCGACATCTTCTATTTCTATAGATTTATTTTTATTTACACTTGAAAACATTAGTTTTGGTTCAGATGCTGGTTCGGAAGACGTAAAATCGTTTAAATTTTCCGTCGATTTGTCTTTTACTTGTGAGGACGGTAAATTTTTATTGCTTGTACCAAAAAGATTTGATTTTATCTTAGATGCTATTGATGTATTAGTTTTACTTGATGACTCTTCCTCTGAAAAGAGAGAAGTATCAATTTTATATGTTCAAAGTAAAGTGTAATCTTTAACTTACCAGATTCTTTAATTGGCGAAAAAATATTCTTTCTGTAGAAAGCCCGATTAATAATATTTTTATCGAAAGGCATGTTACTTTTAGCACCAGTAGTTGGCGAATTCATAGGCGAATTTTTTGGAGTTTTTGTTATTTCGACACAAATCGGTGAATATGTACGATTAGGACAACTTGGACTCGTCAACTTACTGATCATCCTTTTTAGTGGTGACGAACGCGGCGTGCGGGGACGTTTTTTTGCACTTCCGTTTGAGGAATCATCATCTTCACTACCAGAAATTCTTTTTCGTTTTCTTGGCGTTACCGTTGTAGATCTACTCAAACTACCGGTTTTTCTTCCTCGATCAGATTTGTAGTCACAAATTAAAAATTCTTCACTAGCCAATGTCAAATCAGCAACTTCTGACGGATTTATTTGACTGTTTTCATCGTCTATAGGTCCATCCACTTGAGGAATTTTTTTGTTTGAAGAATAGGTAGATTCACTGTTACTTAAAGATTCTAGTTCAAGATCTAAAAAATAAAAATTTCAGCAACTCTTCCAATATGGATGCAGGGGAAGTAATAACATTGCTTACTTATTTGAGAATCGCTCTGACGCGCAGCTTCTGGTTGTGAATCATTAAGATTTGTAAATTTCTCCCACTGGGTTCGATGAATATTGTCCAATTGAAAATTGGTCATATTGAGATCATCAGCTTCATCATAATCGTCTTCTTCATCTGCTCCATCAATCTGCTCCAGAAAGTGATCATCTAAAGGTGCTTGTGAATGTTGGGTACCAAGTATACTATTTGAATCTATAGGATTTATGTCTTGATTTTCTTCATTGTCGCCTAAACTTGAAAGCATATCCAAAATACTAACTAAAAATAAAACATAATTAGAAAAAACCATCATTCATTTTTGTTTATAACTAATTGCATGTTTATTTTACAATCACTTGTATCCAGAGAAGCTTCTTCGGAAATATGTTGAGTTTGTGTTAGCAATAATGAGTCATCAAGAATTTTATTTTGAGATTTAGGTAATACTGATGAGTCCAACGGGCCAGCGTGGATTTCTAGTTGAGATGCATCGAGTAAATTACTATTATCAGGAACTTGAATAGGATATGGTATATTTCTTGGACTGGCAGATAGCGTACTTTCATTACTCTAGAAAAGGGTTAATTTGAATTCATGAAGTGTAATTAAAAATTATTTGATGATCACAATTTCCCTTACTGGAATTTCAAGTACTGCTAAACGTCGAATCAGTCTTTTGTGATGATAAATATCATTTTCAGTAGGAAGTTTTGATTCTTTTGGTCTTTCTGGACTTGGTGGATTTGTTAATTGAGAATCACCACCTAATGCAGCTCTAGATCGTCTGGCTCTTTCTTCTGCCCAAATAGCAGCTATACCTGGATTAGAATCAATTCCACTGTCAATCACTTCTCGATTTTCAATATCAGATGCCCATGCATCTATTTCAATTTGACAAACACTTTGCTTTGTTACCGAATGTGGTAGGTAGTCTTTATCATTATTCAGTATATCAGAGACTGAATCAGAGTTTGGCTGTGATATATTTTGACCCAGAGGAAGTGATTTACTATGACGACGTTTGGCATGTTTTAAATTTATCATGCTCATTCCGTATATATTGTAATCCATCATAAATTGTAACGTGAAGGAAATATGAGCTTCGTAAGGTTGAAAAACCTGACCCATTACAGATCCAGTTTGTAAAAGATCAGTAGCTCGTTTATGCATAGCAGGGTTGTAATAATAAACTTTGAAGAAGTGATGTTTCTTTCGATGATATCCATAAAAAGGTCTAAAAATTGTATACTCTATAAGTTATCCTTCTTAAAAAACCAAGTTATTGCTTAAAAAATATTATAGGTATCCTCTGATGTATAATTTGTTTACATAAAAATCATTAACTGGAATTGTGGAGGCAGTGTAGTTGCTGTAAGAGACCACTGCACAAGCTGACAAATTGTTGCATAAATTTAATTAAAGTCTATGTGACCCACCATAATTCCAATTGATTATTTTTTAAAATAAAGTTATTGATTAAAATAGCTCACATTCCAGATACTTGCTGAATTTTGTAAACATGATGTGCATTCGTTTTAGCTGATCCCAAAGTTACATTGATAGCTGAATCAATAGACGCAGCTAATTGGTAAGCTTGAATATCTGCCCTTATTTGACCAGTATAAGGGATATACATGTAGGGAAAAACTCCATGGATATGAAGACAAACTTTGTCTCCTATGTAAAACAAAGCATTTTTTAATTAGAGCTAAACTTAGCATGAAGAATAACGTAATAGCATCATACCATTGGCAGTAATGCCAAAGATTCTAATAATCGGCACTTGCTTGATGTCACTGCCTCGGAACGGTGAAAAAGTTGGATCGACATCGGGAATGGGTACTGCTTGATAAGAGTCAACAGAAACTACCCTTATGGAGTACATTATTGTTCAGATGCATTAAATGTTTTCATGCATCTACGACTCGAATGAGCCACACGCAAATGGAAATGTAAACAAAGGCGCATTGCCGCGTTATTCACAATTTCTGTCTGCTAGTGGATGCACGCGTCATCTGCTATATAGGACCATCTCTTTTTATTGAAAATACAAGATCGCGAGATGATACGATAGATTTGAAAAAAAGTAATAAAGAAATCCAAGTTGGCTGGCAAAGAAAGAACGCGTCTTTATAAATAAAACAAATTAGTTGATTTATTTAAAAATTGCTGAATAGAATATTTCGAAACTTTCATTGTTCTATTTCAAAGCGCAAAATTAGCTTAAGCTTTGTTAATGATTGAACAAAACGCGAGGAAATGAAAGTTGTTATTGAATGTGCATTGTATCATATGGGGTTAAATGAAACATCAGCAATAATTTCTCGCGATGTACTGTCATCGAAAATTTTGCAAAGCAGCGGTCAATATCCGATTGGTTATTTATAAAAAAAAAAAAAAAAAAAAAAAACAATAATCATGATGATAATAATAATAATAATAACAATTACATTAAAGTGCACATTTGATTTGTGGTAGAAAATAGCCTCGGATATAGTCGTGCGCTATTGAAAGAGAAAGTGCATATCTTTCGAAATGGTGAATTTCGCCAACACGGATTATTTAATGTAAAAACGTGAAAGTGCATGTAATGAAATAAAATAACTGAGTTTTGTAGTTCGAGACTATCAAAATGATACTTGTGCTTTTGTGAAAATTATAATTATCACTATGTAAGTAATATCTCATGTTATGGAATATATATTTATGCGGGCTGATAAATTTTATGATTTTTAGACTATGTATACAAATGAAAATACAGGTGAGAAAAGTATGGAATGCTTCATCAATTAATTAATTTTAAAATGAGTGTAAACAGCTGCGATAACTCGAGAACTTAAAAGTCAACGTATATATATAAAACAATCTTAACGATAGTTCAAGTCGTGAAATCAAAGGTAGATAAGTGATTTGAATTTGTTAACACGATAATAATCGAAACTGATGATTGACGAGATTGTGAATTAAAATCGTTAGAAAAATGACAAGTTTTAAAAAGTTAAGGAAGAATCATCGACAAGACTGTATGAGTTGGTTGGTATGAAAATTGATAATTCAAGAAAGGAAAGGTATAAGCAACATGAGTAAGATAAAATTAGTAAAAGATTTTCGAATGTTCTCTCGATGCTGATCGATGAAAATTTCACGACGAACCATGAGTCAGTGTATTATGTGACTACGTCATAAAAGCAATCTGAGCTAGGGGACAGAGCGCCGAAAAAGTATTTTCATTTCAACAGTGTACATATAGATTCTTAGTCGCTCGCTGTAGCGTCATTTCCCTCGCGCGATCATCATTATAGCGAGCGAGCATGTGAGAAACGTGTAAAGCTGCTCGACCGATCGATGTGCAACAAATACCTAACGCAAATATTATTATTAGTCGACATCGAAAGGGCAGGCTTCGAGTAGCAAGATGTGCGTATATAAAAATTGTCAAACGTCTATATTTAAAGTCGGAGCAGAGCGCGGACAAAAGCCCCGGCGTATCATATAGCGGTGAGCACGACTTTAACTTACACGGGTGCGCTCACGCGATCGGCCGCAATTGACTCTCTCGCGCAAAGTCTCGCCATGCTCTATAGGTATACGAATACGTCGTCGTGTCAGTGTGTATATATTCACGCATACGCACACACGTACACGCGTTGTAAGTGTATGCATGCGTCCCTATACGACAGATAATGCCGAGTGCGACTTCGCACTGACTCACTACGACTACAGCCCACGGCGGCTCCGGCGGGGCAGCGGCTGGTGGTGGGGCATGCACTGCACTACAGTCTACACGCAGAGGAAACGCGCGCGCGAGAGCGCATAATGGGCAACGATCTCGTTTGATTCAGTACACAGTAGTAAGGTTGCAAAGCCTCGCCAGGGACGCACTACATCGAAAAAGCACGCGCGCGACACGCTGGCGGCTTATACACAGCAGTTGTCGCGTACACATACGATAGTGACAGCTGGATTTTTCACTCGCGCTGCGCCTTTTCGTTGCAGCTCTGTAGATAATATCTAGTCCGACAGTCATCGCAAGCAGACGACCCCTCGCCTAGTGTTGTCGCAGCCAGTGTCGCTGCTCAGACAATTATTTTATTGTTAGAGTAGAATAATTTTTTCTCCATACACGCAGGTGAGTACATGGCTCAAATTAGTATACATATCCAAGGGAATATATGCACGCATAAAAGAAAGGGTCAGTGTATAGGTAGGGCAATGTAACGGTGAGGAGGCCGCAAATAAACATTGCTTAGCCGTAGCTCGAGTCTTGCGCGCGTGTAAAATTCTTCTTGGCATTCACGTGATCCGCGCATCGTATAACTTATGATACTATGCCTACGTTTTATATATATGTAATATCGCCAAACAGACAGTCACCACTCGCTAATTTACTCTTTGCGGCGATTATACCTATGTTATAGTTTCGTCTGCGGCGGATGTTCACATTACTCTCACTTTTGCATTACGAGAGTGAACACGGTGTGATAGCCTCGCGTCTGTGAACCGTACGTGTATTTCGCTCGCGTGCAAATCTTACAATCTATTTATTTAGGTGCTTTTTTCTCGTCTGCAGCCGATTGGCTGTATCAAATGATTTTTATTGTACTTTAAGGAGGTACCTCCGCTCAAAATTTACCGAAGAGATTCGACTCAAACTTCGTACACTAATCCTTTTTAATGATACAAATGAACTTGCAAAATTGTATGCAAGTTCAGTACTTCGTTTAGAAGATATTCGTATTTCAATTTAACATTGAGTCGAATGAGAAAGTCAGTTACAAGAGAATATCTCAAAATTTACCGAAAAGATTCGAGTAAAATTTTATGTGTATCATAATTAACTACCAAAGAACGTACGGTTAAATTTTCGTAGACATTGGATACCTTTTTAATGCTCAATTAATTAATAATAATTTATTGACACTAATCTCGGGACATTTGACCAGAATTTCGCCGGCGGGAGCGGATGACATAACCTAACATTTTTGAATTTCTCAGCGAAACGCAAATATCTTATATTATTTATAACGAAGACTATAATGACCTATCATTGATAGAAATTCAAAATTAAATAAATAATGGGTTGTTTAATTTTATATCAATAATGTTTTATGCAATATAAACATTTTTTTTTATAAAATATGATTGAAAAATAACAAAATTTTACAAGTTTAATTATAAACTTCTTGAGATTAACGACACCAGCCGAGCAGTAAAAATATTGAGTTTTTCACAGTTGGTAGTTCTGCTCGGAGGTACCTCCTTAATATCGCTGCACAACGTCGTCTTATTTACGTAACCTGCGATACATGAAAAAAGTTTTGTCTGCTGATGTACGCTCATACGTGAGTTAAATTCATACATATACATACGCATACACGTTGACACGCCGCCCGTATAGCTATATACATAAATATAGTAAGTATATAGTATAAGTGTGGATTCGATTCGGGTGTGGATGGATAAAGAGCGGTCTAACGCTGACTCGCCGCTGACTCGTTGTGCAGCTGTCGTTAATTTCATTTTCATTTTATGATCGATATCGTGCCTATAAATGCCATAGAAAATCAAAGTAATGCTATTACTATTATCCCCTGACCAAATGCGTGCTTTAATCTTTTTTTGATACATACACATACAAATACATCGAATGCTTTGTATACAATACTTACTTATATACCTGTGATATATTTTATTTTAAGTATCACGCTTCGTTGCAACTTTTTATGTAGGTTTATATACTTTGTTCTGACGATTATTTTTATCTACCATGTAGTCTTCTGCTTGTTCTATTTTATGTTTTCTTCATTCTTACCAATCGAACTTACAATCAGATAATCTTCGTTATATACTACACAATCAAATTGAAAAAAATTAACAAAAATGTTTCAGTAAACGTCTTTGACTGTTTAATATCCTTGAATAAAAAAAATCACTCACGACTCTTTTTATTTGTTTGATATATATAGAACGTTAATGCACAATTATCGATTTTATTTTTGTTAATGTCGCGACTATTTTTCCTCTTTATCAGTGGAAAATTTCCGATCTAATGTTCATGAGTTTTATTTAAATGAGCTTGCATTTGTACAAATCTACTTCTTTGAACAATAGTGATTGTTGAACAAATGTACACCTGAGCGGTATGTTATCTATTAAAGTCTAAAATAATTATGTGAGAATCTATACTAAGTTACCCTCCAATGAGTTTTAAAATGTTGGCAACATATGCAGACAGACAACACTCTTCTCTGACCATCCAAGCAATTATGCATTTCAAGTAAACTTGAAAGCACTAAATTTGTCTCTGTTTTGTCAGGTATAATTAAAGATTTGTGCCAGATTGTACTAGTAATTTCAGACGTGATGCAGTTAGATTTTTTTATTAGTCTTTTATTTTTACAAAGAAGTCTAAAAGTTATATATAATATCAGCTTATTTCATTTTAATTAAATGACCTACATGTTTAGAGTGAATGAAACTAAGTTGTAAATAAATTAAAAACATTGATCAATCATTTGCTGTAAAATGATCATTATTATAGTAAATTTGCAACAACACAATGGTGAGGAAACGTGTAAAACGAAAGACTTCTGCTGCAAACAATGCAAGTGTTGCTAGTCTAATGGGAAACAATGAAAAGAACTCCAATCAAGTTTTCAAGGAAGATGTGAATTTTAAAAAGAAAGTAAATAAAGACTGCAGCAATCTTGATATAATTTTTAAAGGACACTGTTCACCTTCATCAGAAAATCTTATGAATGATATATCATCAATGGTATTTTCAAAGTGCACCTCAATAACCATTGCTTTTTCAATTTTTATTTTTAAAATATTGTTTAATTTTTATTTTCAAGTATTGTACTGTTCTTAATATTATTTTCTATTTTACAATTGTTGAAAAGCTTTTTAACTTACTTATTTCAATTTAGTTGATTGAATTTTTAGCTTTGATATTTTTTTTCATGAAAAAAATAATACACTCTATTGTATGAAATATTACTGCAAAAAATCATAAGACATTGGTATACGTGTAATATAGTTATAACCAAATCATGACTGATAACACACTTTTAATTAGTTTCACGATTTCATGTAGTTATTTTAGTTAATGTGCTTCTTGATGATAAGAATTGTAATGCAAGTTTACAATAATTTTTTTGATAACCATTCTAAAACTTGAACTAGTCTAATTGAAAAATTTCATTAAAATTCAATTTTAAAATTTTCTATTTTTCTATGAATTTCTGGGAAAAAGTATAATGATACGTCGGTGTAATAATATGATAATGAAATAAAATTAATAATATTTTAAAATAAGAAATGAAAGAATTGTAAAAAATAATTTTTATTTAAGTTGCTAGTTATCACTGGTAGTTGTGTAAAAACTTAGTGAAGTGAAATGATGATATGAGTTATAATGAGGGGGGGACCCTTGATCCCAAGTGACCATTACATATGTATTTCATCTTTTCAAGATAAGCAAATTGGTTCTTGACTAGCAAGCTATACTCAGTAAACATCACGAATCGTTCTCTATCAATCAATGCCCTAAAATATATTAAATTTGAGAAGTATCTTTTTTTTTAAATGAAAGAATGGTGTCAAAAAGTGAATATGAACTAAGTGATATCAGCTACATAGTAATAGATATGAATTTTTTAGAATTAGAAGTAAAAAGTTATAATTATTTTTCACTTTATTTAAATGTTTCAAACACATCAGGGTTTAATTTATTTTCAAACACTTATTAATATTTTGCAAGTTTGTTTTGTTTGCTCCTACAAACTCTGATATTGCATAGGGATAAAACAAAATTTAATTCAAATTGTTATTACAGGCTAATAATAAAGCAGAAACTACAATGTCTGGGCGTACAAATATCTCACGACGTACAAGAGATGTGCCATCAACATCTACAAATGGTGCTCGTTCTAAGTCACATCAAGATAATAGCAATAAATCAAAATCAAAATCACAGGATGATATTGATTTAGATCACTTGACTCTGTGGCAACATCCTATCAAAACTCTCAACTACTTTTTAAGAGAACTGCTAATCGACTGCCTTAGTTTTGCAAAGAAGACTTTTCAATATAAGAAAATCGTATTTTGTACAGTAACGTTTATCACTTGTTTTTTCTTGCTGGGTAGAATATCAGGACCACAACAGCCTGTATGTTAAATTTATACTATTAAACGTAAAACAAACAAAACAAGTATTTCATCCAATTTCTTTATTTACAGCTTTTTATTGCATGGGAAAGTCAAGTAAGATGGTGGCTATATTGGGTAGGTTTAGGAATACTTTCAAGTGTGGGATTGGGAACTGGACTACACACATTTGTTCTGTACCTGGGTCCACATATAGCATCTGTTACCATGGCTGCTTATGAATGTGGTGCTTTGAACTTTCCGGAACCGCCTTATCCAGATGAGATTTTATGCCCTATAAGTGTTGATACTAATTGGACAGTAAGCATATTTAATATTATGAGGAAAGTGCGAATTGAAGCTATGATGTGGGGAGTCGGTACTGCCCTTGGAGAACTGCCACCTTATTTTATGGCTCGAGCAGCACGTACTAGTCGACAAAGTAGCAAGGATCAGGAGTGTGATGAGGAACTTAAAGAACTCGAAGCTCTCGAGGCACTTGAAAATGGTGAAAATATTTCAATTATCATGCGTGCCAAATTAGCTATGAAACATTTTGTTCAGAAGGCGGGATTTTTGGGTATTTTAGCTTGTGCATCTGTAAGTATTCTGGAAATTTTAATAACCATCAATAATTTTTTGCAGCTAGCTAAAATTACTCTTAATTAATTTACAGATTCCAAATCCATTGTTTGATTTAGCTGGCTTGACATGTGGCCACTATCTCATTCCATTTTGGACATTTTTTGGAGCTACCTTAATCGGCAAATCAATAGTTAAAATGCATATTCAGCAATTGGCTGTGATAGTAGCATTTAACGAAGATTTATTAGAAAAAGTAATTAGTTTTTTGGTATATGTGCCTGGTGTGGGAACGAAATTGCAAGAGCCATTAAAGAAGTACCTTGTGGAACAAAAACGTAAACTCCACAACAAAACTGTTGTAAGTATCATACGATTTTTAAAATATAATCCTTAAATTAATTTTTAATTCATTCTTTTCAAATTACAGGGAAGTACAACGACAATATCTTGGCTGTTTGATAAATTCGTGATGCTCATGGTGTGCTATTTCCTTGTAACAATTATTCACGCACTTGCGCGGAATCATCATCGGAGACGTACAAAAGCTTCAACTGATTGATTTAAAAATGTAGATTTAATTTTTTTTTATAATTGAGAGTGTATACCACACACAGAAACAAAATTAAGCATAAGCAACCGCCGCAATCTACCATTGTTGATCATAAATACGTAATTGGCAAGGAGGGAAGAAGTTATTGTAAAAATATAAATGCTAACTCTTTCCGAATCAAGTCCTCCAGATAATACGTTTCGGTGCGATGCGAAAAAAGTCGGTTGTAAAGTATTTCGTGTTTTTTTTATCAAAAAATATAGAATCTTCTTAAAGCTTTATATTTGTTTGTAAATGCTTGTTGAGGTAAAAGCTATTTTAGTGTTTACGGTAACATTGCCCAATTTTAAAATGTATCCTGATAATTATAACAAGATTTGAAGTTGAATGCATTTTTTTTGACGTCAAAAGTTTGACATCTTTAAAAACGATAATTTTGATATTTGTGATGCAATCGTACAACTTTAAAGTACTAACTTAAGTTTACTTCTTCACTGAAAAAGCTGATTTAACATATGAAATGAAATTATTACACGTCCATACCTTACACAGATTTACGTTTTTGTTATTTATCGTATAATATATAGAATGTACATGATATAATTTTCTTCGAGTACTTTGTAGAATGTAGAATGAACGATTACATTCCAAAAAAATGGATGATGTGCTAGTTTTACATGAATAAATGAGCTTGTTCATAATGTTGAATAACGATGTATTTGCTTGATGAGTCAATTGAATGAAGTATGGTTATATATATAGCCTGTGTATAATCATTCATTACCAGTGAGTTAATTTTAGGTTTATTTTTTACTGTTATTTGTTATTTTTTGAGATCACTTATGAGCAATTTTTCGTTTCACGTTTTTTAAACACAAATTTCATCTGTTGAATAATTAGTCCATGATTAAGAAAGTTATTGAGTTTTATAAAACTGCGTGTCAACTTTTACTAAAAAATAAACGTCTGTTCCTTGGAATATATTTCTACAAAATTGCAATTACAGTTTTTACAATACTTTCTATTATGTATTTAATGAATACTAGTGATAATTGTGACATTTAAATTAATGTTCTAATAATGAAACAAACTTAAATATGGATGTGTAAAGAAACTTCTTGTTATATATTTCAAGTGAGTACCTACAATGTTATAAAGATGAATTTCTAATATTTATATTTTAAAAAATTGTATGGCATGATATGTTTTGAATATCTATTTCATATGTACACACCATGTGAGACACATTGAATTCACATGCATTCAGTGCAAGTGTGATCATACTTGTATAAACCAATATCAATATTATCATAAGCAAATAAAACATTTTTAAATTTCAAATAAAGTTCAACAACTACATTTATTTAAAAAAAAAACATGAAAAATTTTATTTTTTTTAATTTAACGAAACATAGACCTTATACAGTTATCTTAAATAATATCAGTAAATTTTGTGTTACTTTATAACGATCACAATATTATTATTATTTTTTTCATTTTTTTTTCTCTCTCTATTACTCCTTCTTCTTAAGAGGATAGGGATATAGGATAGAATCTCTTAGGAGGAGAAAGATTATATGCAATGTCATCTATCATATGACCATAAAACACTGCTCATGAACAAGTCAATTTTATCTTGTTACTATTTTTTATCACCACTATCTTTTGGTTGTTGCTTAATTCTGTAATCTGAAAGAGCTGCTTTTATGGCATCTTCTGCAAGCACTGAAAATATAGAAAAAATGTCTATAGTAATATATTTTGAGAAGGACAAGCAGTTGTAATTCTTTCTTACTTGAACAATGTAGCTTGACAGGTGGGAGACATAATTCTTTAGCTATGTCAGTATTTTTCAACTTTAATGCTTCATCAACCTATATTAAATTGAAACATCATAAGTACATTCTCTAAGGCATTATATGATAATAATATGAACAAGAACAATTAGTTTTATGAGAACTTTTTTGGAAAATTGTTGTTCATTTTTAGGAAAATTATTTTTAAATTCCAGTTTTAAAGCTTTTTGACGAATGCAAAGTTAAATAGTTTACAATAAATTGAACTTACTGTTTTACCTTTCACCCACTCTGTAGCAAGAGAACTGGATGCAATTGCTGAACCGCATCCAAATGTTTTAAATTTGGCATCAATAATCTTGCCATTTTCATCAACCCTGATCTGAAGCTTCATAACATCACCACAAGCTGGTGCTCCAACTAAGCCAGTACCTACGCTTTTATCATTTTTATCTAGACTCCCGACATTTCTAGGATTATCATAGTGATCTATGACCTGAAAAAGGAGAATGAATATCAGAATAATAATCTTTGTAATAAAATAATATTTGTTTGATACATAATGAAAAATTATGATAATGGTAATTAGTTACTTTGTAAAAATAAACATTAAAATACTTTAATATTTTATTATTGAATTAATACTACACAGTGATAAATTATTTTTTATTCTTCAAATTAAGAGAGAAAGCATTTTTTCTTAACAAAAGTGTTGCACAACGAATTGCAACGTTATTTATGGTTCTCAGTTAATAAAATATACTTTCATATTGATGAGAAATTAAAGAATTAACTACGATAATTTTCAAAAAAGTGATAGAATATTGAGCAAAATAAAATGATATTTTTATGAATTAATGATAGAATAATACTGCAATACTTTTGAGGTTACATTGATTGATTATAAACTTACTTTTGGGTGATAAAAGACGCATGGTGTACTTGAAAAAACGTTTTTTGATGCTTCAACAATTTTAGATGGAACTACTCGCCATAAAGCCATATTTAAAAGTAAACACTAACAATTTTATCGATAAATGAAAGTCTGAACCGACGATATTTGACAGCACGAGATTATATATTCTTGTATTGCGCTTAATGTACTAACACACTAAGGTTGTTCGGTTAGCAGAACAGTTCAGTTTGACATAAGTATTGGTACAGATCAGTGCGCTTGCGCCATACTGTCTGAGACCGCGTGTGTGCCGCCCGCAGTACGCAGTCAGCGGGATGATAATATGATATGGCACTTTTCAAGTTGTATAACTTTTGATTTAATGAAATTTTTTCATTTTTAATTCAGAAATCGTGAGTTTAGGTCTGACACTACTAGTAAGTCGGGATTTTAAAAATGTTAATTAAAATTATTATTAAAAATCATCTCCAAACTTGCCTATAAAAATGCATGGTACAAATGCGATAAAATTGATATTGATATAGCGCTAAAAAGAAGGATTTATTTGTAATTCCGGATTTCTTGGCCTCTTAGCGCAAGTCCATGAGATATACTTATTCAGTTTTGGGGAGGAGCGAGGGTCAAAATACATGAGAAAAATTTGTCAGGTCGACAGCTGCTTTCATTGCCTACGAAAACCCTCTAGTGGGTCACCGAATCAGAAGGATTCGATATGACTTAACGCATCATTCATAGATATTTTACTTTTGTATTCTATATAAAAATAATTTTCTTGTAAAAGAAAATTGAACGTAATCTTAAATAATGCTCTAGACCGTGTGGGTACGATTTTAAAGGTAAAATTGAATTTAAAGTTTCACAAATTTCTCGAGTTTGAAATTTTGTTTATATTTTAATGACATTAATTCTGCAAGAAGAAATAATATAAAAGACAATTTCCGCAAATAAAAGGGAATTAAAAGAGCTATCACCGAGCTCGATTAATATTTTTGAAAATTTTTGAAAATTTAACAATTCTGCACAGAGGCTTATACAGAGTCAGACATAACATACACACAACACAGCTGAAGTATATTAGCGTGTAATGGTATCGGGTAACTGACTTTTGTGAAAGCATAAGATGTGATTCTCATCAACTGATTTATTTCTATGTACTAAAATTAATAAATAGCAATGAATTTCCAAATGCAATTGATTTCTCGGCTTGGACATCACACAAAACATTTGTCACTACTTAAACAAGTTTATGTGCGGCCTCTATTACAACGTTAGTTTGTATTGATCGATCAAAATTTTCATTCATGAGTACCAAACAAAAAATTAATTTTTTCTTGAGAGTAAAATTCAATTGTTTGTTAATAATTTCAGTTGCTGTAAAAGCTATCAAGCAAGATTATGTTGACGAAGGTGCATTAGAAATTTTGAGTGAAAGTTTTGAAATTTCTCAAGCAATTGTGGATGAATGGTACGCTGCTATACTAACAATTGTTACATTGCATTTGCGCTCTCCTAGTATTACAATTAAACCTCCAGAATTCAAGCAATGTTTGGAAGAATTGAAGTAAATTTCCAAAAAAAATAACCATAATGAAATAAAAAGTAGCAGTAACTTATTAGATTTAATTATTTATTTTTTCAGATTTTCACCAGAATGTATTCAAGATATATTTTCAGTTGTTACGGGTGCAAAAAGACCTGAGCTCATGTTTGGTCTACATAGCAGAATTCAATTTCTTCCTCATGTTGTTGCTTGTAAATGGAGAATTGATATTACCATTTCTTCAAGGTAAGATTATAGAGAGAAATCATGACTTATAGCGACAGAATTATTTATTTTTTGTTTTATCCTGTTATTTCAGTTCAATGTCTAAAGTAATGGAACCATGTATAATAATGGAATGGATTTTAAGCAACAATTATACATATGTATTTGAGCTATCAGTTCCATGTTTTTACAAATTAAAAAATACAGTGATAGAATCTCTCACAGAATTAAAAAAATTAGAAAGTTATAAAGTAGTTCAGAACTATTCTTCATAATTATAATAGTAAAAACTTGTGTAAAATAGATTTTTTTCCAAGGAAAATTGTAAATTTGAATAAAATTATTTATTTATTAATTCATTATGAAAAATCAATTTCCAAGAATTTGAAAAGCACGTTTCGAATTTCGATGATTCGATTTCTCGAATGTTTCCGAGCCTTAACCCTCCCATTCCCATTCAGCAATGTTGATCGCGGTATAGGCTATTGTGTGAGCTAGATATACGTTGCTTTGACGTGTTTGCAAAGCGGTGTCGCAAATTTTCCCTGTCTTGTCGAGTCGTCGTCAGCCCAGGCGCAGAAATCATAGTATACGAAATCCAGTACGTTCAAGATGGCGGCAAAGAGCGGTGGTGTTGTCGACTGGAATGCAATAATAAAACCGATTTTATCGGTGTCTCATGGATCTTTTAACAAAACTGATATCATTGAACTAGTCAAAGCCATCGTCCAAAGGTACGTGAGAAATTTCATGCGAAAGCATCTTTTGAGCTTGGAGATATTCGTAATGCAAAGAGTCGTATATTTACTACATCATCAAGGTGACAGTACAAAAATGAGATTCCAAACGATATGAACATTTTTTGTAGAATCTTCATGCCTACAACTGCAAATCATGCCATTGTTTAGGAATGCATCAAAGTTTTTTTTCAGTTATTGCTGAAAAAATCGAAATATGAATTTTATTCAACTGAGGGTTATGAATGACTTTCGTATTTGTCGGGTCAAATAATTCTCACTAAATTTATGTTTGTGTACTTTCTACGAATTGTTTACCTTTTGAGAATTTATCGTATATAGTACCGTTTGATTTGTCATTCTTATATAGTTATACATATTACTTATTTTTTTGACTAAGTAGAACAATCAGTAGTCGATGAGTTGAAGAATAACTTGAAAATAAAAAAAAAATAACATCACATAAAAAGTTAGCATTTTTTTATTAAAAATAAAATGTATATAAAATAAATATTGTTTGCAGCGAACATGAATTATTTTCGCACGATGACGAATATGAAGCTTTTTACTCATGTTTTGCTGCGTTGGTTGCTGATTATCTCGGTTCCTGTGCAAATACATGTACGTTCTCATACTTTTTATTCTGCTAATATCTGAATAAAAATGTTCCATTAATTATCAAAAAAATATTCTTTTTTTAATATAACAATTATTTTCAGTTAACAAAAGTCAAGTACCGCTTGTTTGGCAAGCATGTCAAATTTTGTTGACATACTTGATGAGTAAATTAACTCAGCAAAACTCACAATCAAATGACAACATTTCACCATTGATATTGACTACAAAGCAAATACTTTTGCCAATTCGAGCACTATGCATTGGTCAGTCATTACTTGCCAAGTCTGAAGAGGTGGCTTTAGTTGCTATAATGAAAAATTCAAAACTACCTCAAAATGTAAAAAGTTCCCTTGAAAAAGGAAGTGGAGAAAAAGATAGTTCTGTACAATCTGGCAAAGAGGCTAAGAAAGTTCGCAATGATTTATCTACTTGTATTTTAGAACAGTTAACTATGCCTTTGCAAGATTTTGGTACTATTAATGACAGTACATATGACAATGCAAACAAAGCTAATTTTGAAGCACAAAGTAATGAACAAGGAAATGAAATAAAGGTATAGAATATTAATATTGATACAGTATATATATGTACTGATAAGTAAAAAATAAAATCCAATTTATAAATTCCAGATGATGTTTATTGCCAATAACATCAGTATTTTGCAAAGTATGGGTGCTGGAGATACTCTCTTATGTATGTGTTCTAATTTACCAAATTTATCCAGATATGCTAAAAAGTACCAAACGTACCTGAACAAAAAAGTTTTTTGTCTACCGGCTAATCAATCGGATGCACACATCATAAGGCATAGTCTTCACTCAGTTGTTAATGATATTAATATATTGCATAATGTTGTCTCTCTACCAATATTGGAACCATTGACATCTGCTAAATTAGAAAAATTATCTTTACTTACAATGTCTTGTCTGTATTATTCTGTTGCTAATGCTATAGCATCAAGTATTGTATCAGTCACAAATGCTACATCTCCAAAATGTAGTTCGAATACCAATGTTAATCAACAAAACAATCAGAATGCCAAAAGTTTTGAAGAAGAATATGATACATTGGCTATAAATGTGGTTGAAAGAAGTTTGGAAATTTTTAATTTAGTTTCAAATGTAATCAAACACAGTACCAGAGCAGGAGGACATGTAAGTTGATTTTTATTTTTTTAATGCTGTTTCACCTGAGTTTTTTTATGAGATGATTTCAAAATGTAGATCCTTCAAAATCATTTGCTGCTTGGAGTGTGGCTATTGAATAATGGTTTACAAACTCAAATATCTCTCAGCAACGTTGAAAAAAAAGAAGATAAAGGTAAATCACCTAGCAAATCAACTAGCAGTAATACTCGAATCAACCTAATGAAAGTGTAAGTGAAACTAGTTGAAATACAAGAAAATGATAGCTTGTAGTTTTGTTGAAAGTAAGATGAATGATAATATTAAAATATGGTTTCAATTTGAAATTTTATAGACAACAAGGTTTTGGTGTTTTATCTGTGGCTTTGGCATCTCATGCTCTTACACTGATGACTGCTTTACTCGAAGATGTTTCTGTAGAGGCAGGGATTGAGCAAACAACTCCACCAGAACAAGCTCCATTAAATATTTTAGCTACATCAACAGCTTTAGAAAGAGTGGCAACATTGTTTCAAACAACATCTTTGAATCACCTTCTTTTTTATCTAGCAACTATAAGTTATAGAAAAGCTTGTTCACTGAAAAGAGTAATAAAGCATACTTATGATGGCGAAACTACCAGTCAATCCGAAACATCAACAACTTATTATGAAGATATATACAGTCTTTCTGAAAGTTCTACTGATCATGGTATGAAATATGATTATGACTACTGACAAAAATTATGTTACAACATTTTCACGTAAATTTCAATTTTTCAGAAGAAGATAGCGAACCGATTCTAGGATTATGGTTTGAGGAAACTCTAGATTCTTCTGATGCACCACCAAATACTGTTGCAAAAGAAACTACGGAGGAATCAGCTGCAGATCGTAGTGCAACTGTTGTCCCTGATAATCGTGAACCAAATGGGGTATTTTATTGTTTTAAATATTTTATTTCTAATATTAAATTAGATGACATATTTTCATACTACTATTTTTTTATAGTATATTTCTTTGGCTACGCAAATATTTCAATTTATGAATTTACATTTAATTGGAAGTAAAAGTGCGTATGTTAGAAATTATATTGTGAATGGATTAGTTGAACAGCAAATGGGGATTCTTTCTACAATCATTAAAGATCTAGATCATGAAGGAGCACGAGCCGAATCAGGCACTATTCCGTCATTTTACGGCCCTGCCATCGTTGCTATGTATACAGAATTTTCGCAGGCCTTGAGTAGATTTACTCACAATCTTTTGGCTAGAAATAATCTCAGTGAAACATTGCAAAACACATTACTTCATCATTTAGGAGTAAGTCCATGGTCAAATGAAAACGCCAGTCCTTCATCATGGCCTTTGGAAGTTTACCCAAGAACTCTTAGTGCTTTAGCACAAATACTTTTATCCAAACCACAATCTGAGAAAGAAGCAGCATGTATCAGTATATGGCAAAGATTAATTACAACATTGGTTGAAAATGTTTGCAATCCTCCAGCATCCTTCGAAACAGAATATGATGGTAATAAACTTTTCATTGAGAGTTGTGAATTCAATTTTTACTTAGCACAATAATATAAAAATGTTCTAAAATTTTCAGACCTCAATGTTGAACACGCACAATTTGTTATTTTTCTTTTCCATTCGCTAAATTTGATGCAGAAGAAATCTGTCCTTCTTGTAACAGCAGGAGGAGTTGTAAGATGTAGCGAAATTACTAAAAGCACAATGAAAGAGTCTCAAACTATGCATCTATCAAGAATACTTTTATTATTAGAATATATGATGAAGCATCTTTACGATGCTCCTTCTAGTTTGTTGGAACAAGTAAGATTTGAAAAAATCATTTTATTTTATTTATTTGTTAAAAGCATCAGTCACTGGTAGTGCTGTCTTTTCAATGTCATGCACATGATTTATAATTTTCATCAACGTCATCACAATCATTATTTTCATCTACTTTTCATTCTTCATTCATCTCTCATTATAATTCATAACACTGACGATGCAAAATTAAAGTATTAGATTACTGAACTAATGTGAGATAACAGGGCCGCCTGTCTGAAAGTGTCAACTGAGCGGTAGTAAACATCTCGAACAAATTTTCATACTTTCTAAATGATCGATCATTTTTTACCTATCGAAAGTTTGCTAAATAGTTAAAAATAACATTTTAACAGGTTCAATGGAATTTATTTTCGGCCACAAGCTTGATATCTGATGCAAAAGAAGGCAATAAACCAAACTCAAGAATTTATACGCCATGGAAAGAAGTAGAAGATTTCTACCGTAAATATGGATTGCACGACGAAATCATATTAAGACCTAGATTTTATAATCTCACTGTACATGATTTTAACAACCAAGATACTCCCAAGCTCGATGGACTGGTGAATATTTTTATCATAGTAAATAGTGTATGATGAAAGCTCGGTTAAAAATTAATATTATTTTTTGTGATTCAGGCATGTAATTTTATATTGGGCACTGCAGATAAACTAAAATATCCACTGCTGATTGATGCCCTCATCGACATTCTAAACATTCTTAACCAATTGAGTATACCAAGAAAACGTGCTCCTGATGGCCGAAATAAACTAAATGCCACTTTTATGTGCGGAATACAATATACTTTTTCTATAAGTTGGAGGTATATTAAAAAAATTATGGTACTACGCATTAATCGGAAATATATAACAATAAAATTCTTATTTTAGGTTGCTGCTTATATTACCACCATCTACTCCGTACATGGATAAACTGGCTCTTGGTGAAGAAATTCCAGCTGGTCCTCTTTTATTACACTCTTTAATTTGGGGCCCTCGAGCAGCTTACAAAACATTTACCGGTTGGATGAAAGACTGTTTAGTTAAACAAGGGATGTACACTCAATATGCTGAGAATTTATTGAAAACTGTTTCAACGACTGTAAATAATTTAAAATACAACGTGACGCTCGCCAAAAATTGCATAACAACATTGAAACCACCAATAAATTCAAAAGATGCAATTGTGCCACTTGCGACCATGCCAAAATTAATTTCTGTTACCATTTTATCGGCGGTAATTGGCCAATTACATGTTTTAATGGATGAAACTATCTGGAAATCTGGTAATGGAAGCGATATTATAGAATCACCAAACAAGTAAGAATTACTTACTATAGTTATAAGAATTACATTCTATATAGTGTTTAAATGATACTTTAATTATAACATTTTACTTTGAACTTATGATTATTTTAGAGCACCTCCAACACCGGATTCTGCTGTTACAAATAATGTGAACAAACTAATTATGGAAATTTTACCTCCCTTGGTTTCACTAACGGAAGCATTGCTAGCTTGTTGTAAGTCGAATGTTTTGTACGAAATTGAAGCGACATGTGTCGGTAAAAAATATTCAATGAGAGATTTCCATCTATTAAATGAGGTGATCAGTATGAGTAGTAGCTTGAGTTTAATAGCTGATGCTTCGTTGATTAATCTAACATTCAGCACTGTTAACACATTCTTAACAAGATTCAGAGTAATGGATGTAGCTCATGTTCCTTGGGTATGTTTTTAATAATTATTTAGTTGTCACGCATTAGTCGAATAAATTAAAAGAAACATTAATTTTTTAGAATACCTATGCCAATGACATTGTTCCCGCAGAAAGCTATGTTCTAGCCACTATAGAAAATCATGTTAATATGATTCCAATGTATGGTAGTTTTTCAATAAATCCATCTTTGAAAAATCTGTTATTCACGATAGTTACATTCCTCATGGAATACGTTAAGTAAGTTCAAATCAAACATCAATCATTTTTTAGAATGAAGTATCAATATTCGTAAAATTGTTTTTCTGTTTGCAGTACTACCACTTGCCCTGAAGAATCCGAAATACGTACCAAAGTTATCGATCTTCTTATTTCGCTTACAATGGATGCAAGGTTCGAGTACTTGAGTGAAATGGCACAGAAGCCACTTAATATTTTAGTTGGTGATCGTGACCAAGAAGCACGTCAATTACGTGATCATTTAAACATATTAACACGAACCTATAACGTTATAATCGGTTATACCAACAACGCCGATGAGCCTCTCATGTAAATATTCTTAATTTGAATGAAAATTTTGAAGTTAAACATTTTACAAAAATTTGGTACATTTATAGGATACAATTTGATATCATGATTCTGAAGCATTGTATAAAATATTGGGAAAAGTTACTTGAAAAACCAGTTGGATGTAAAGCTCTGCATGAATTTTTCACAAGTGACAGTAACCGCACACTGGCATCTATTCTTTTATCAGTGGCATCGCCGCATGCATCACCAGAATTCAGCAAGCACGTATTACACTTTTTCAATAAACTATTCACAACTGGTAAGAAATTGGTTTTATAATTATTGAATTTCATACGACAAAATTTGTATGCATTTTGATATATTTTTATTTCATAGCTGAAAAAGATAATGATGAATCACTCGACCGATTATGCAGATCAGTTGCTAATTTACCAAATGTAGATCGTGAAAAATTACAAACATGGTTGGCCCATGTTATACTTGGTTCGGCTAATTTATCTTCAAGCACATGTTCAGCAAACATTACTGAACTTTATATTTCAGCGCCAGCGGAAATGTAAAATAAATTATTTTAACCTATCAATTTCAAATTGACTATAAATTTAAAAGTTATCTTTTATTCCAGATCAGCTCCAGAAACTTCATCACCTGCTGCTTCCGAAGAAACTCAAAAACCCGAAGTCCCTAACGATGTAGTTAACAATGATCAAGCTTCGAATCAATGGCAGGCCTTGCTAACTACTTCAGAAACGACTGCCCCTAATAATCTACCATCGATCTCGACCTCATCATCGGAAGAACAACAAACAATGCAGCAAAATAATCAGTTACTTCGATCGCTCACAAATTACATTGTTAAAGAAAACGAGTAAGTAAAGACAAATTGACAGCTTTAAATAATAATAATTTAATGACCTTATTTTAATAAATTTTTTAGTAATTCAGCTGATGGAAAATCGGTTGTTATGCTCCAAGCTCTTATTCCTATTGCTTACCGAAAGTTGTCAAGTGCGGCTGAAGGCGTTAGTTTTACTGACTTGATGCAAGTCATGTTTACACTAGCTGATTCTGGATCAGACAAAGGTCATACTATTCTTTTCCAAGCTGCAATTGAATGGATTGATATTTGCAAGAAAAAGTTACTTGGTGAAGATCCCGAAAATCTCGATTCTAAATCGTCGTCATACATCGAAGCTGGATGTTGCGTATTAAACTACGTTGCCGATATAGTAAATGCTGTATGCCCACAAAATCAGTTTAATGAACGTGAGCGTGCCCTTTCACCACCGTGGGAAGGTGCCCAACCTGTTAACGATGTCACAGATAGCGATTGGATCGATGAAATAGCCCATGACGAAGAAGAAAGTGGTGCTGAAGATTCTGACGAGGATAGTCTGTGCAATAAATTGTGCACCTTTACTATAACTCAAAAAGAATTCATGAACCAGCACTGGTATCACTGTCACACTTGCAACATGGTCGATGGAGTTGGCGTTTGTTCGATATGCGCCAAAGTGTGTCATCGTGGCCACGATGTCACATACGCAAAATACGGTAATTTCTTTTGTGATTGTGGAGCAAAGGAAGACGCATCATGCCAGGCTTTGGTTAAAAGAAGTCCTCAAAATTCTGAACAGCCACAAAATAGTAGTACTTATAATACTAGCTCGAGCAGTGAAAATATGATGTTGCCAAGTAGTTTAAGAAGAAGAGCTGCTAGTCCAGTTCATTATAGTGAAAAATATGACAAGAGTGGCAAGGACAAACAAAAACAACTAGCCTTAGCTAAACAATTGGGTAAAATTCATCGTTTATCATCGTGAAACAATTTTTTTACATCATTCAAAACTTTACTGTATATTTTTAGAAGGGTCGAAAGATTGGGTTCTATCTAAATTATGGGACAGTGGTCTCGTTTCATCATTGGTTGAACTAATACGTACTCTGATACCTGCAGTCGTTGCATCTTGCAATAAATTCTCACCTGTTGGCTGCCATGCACGAGCTCAAGCGGCTCTCTCGCAATTGCACTATCTAAAAAAGAAGTTTGAACATACCGATCAGCTCATGGTACATGTATGATTCATCTGCTGCTTTTTTTTTATTGCTTTTGCATTACAATTTGCGTATTTTTTGAATATTTTAACACACATATAATTTTTAGTTGCCTACATTGGGATCTCAAGAAGGAGCGTTCGAAAATGTGAGAATGAATTATTCTGGTGATCAAGGTCAGACAATACGACAACTTTTGTCAGCTCATATGATACGCAGAGTGGCTATGTGCTGCTTATCTTCACCTCATGGAAAACGTCAACATCTTGGTAAATTATGAATTGATTTACTTTTTACATAGAATAAATTATAAAACTAAATATACGTTTTACTTATAGCTGTATCTCACGAAAAAGGCAAGATTACAGTTCTTCAACTTAGTGCCCTTCTCAAACAAGCCGATTCATCGAAACGTAAATTAACTCTTACTCGATTGGCTTCTGCACCAATCCCATTCACCGTACTATCTATGACGGGAAATCAATGGAATGAAGATTTTCTCGCAGTGTGTGGTCTTAAAGATTGTCACGTTCTGACTTTCAATAGTTCAGGAACTGTATCTGATCATTTGGTATTGCATCCTCAGCTCGAAACTGGTAATTTCATTATCAAAGCCATTTGGTTGCCAGGCTCGCAGACTCAATTAGCATTAGTTACAGCTGATTTTGTCAAAATATATGATCTTAGTAAAGATGCTTTAAGTCCACAGTATTATTTCCTTGTGCCAACGGGAAAAATTCGCGATTGTACCTTTATTTATACGGAAAGTGGCGAATTCCATCTTTTGCTTATGTCATCAGCTGGTTATATTTATAATCAAGTTATGGACGAAGATAGTCAGGCTAAACATGGACCTTTCTATGTAACTCACACTCTCGATGTTTTCCATCCTGACATCAAAGATAATGGACAAGTTTGTGGTGGAGGAGTTTCTATTTACTATTCCCATGCACTGCAGTTGTTATTTTTCAGCTATACCAATGGTAAAAGCTTCGTTGCTCCTCTCAAGTATGTCGATGATATCGACCTTGTTAATTTAATCCAAATATCTTCAAATAAACTTAATGGAGGAAATAGCAGTGGGGGTGGTAATAAATCAAATAGCAATCAACCTCAACCACTTTGTCAATGGAGCGAAGTTCCAAATCATCCTGGCTTGATTTGTTCAGTTTTGCAAATATCCAACAATCCTGTTATTCTTATGATAAAACCGGAAACAATATCAATTCAAGAAATAAAGGTTGTTCCAGCTAAAGCTAAAATTATGGACATGGTAGCTATTAGGCATCCAAGCTCCAATGCTGAGCATCGAACGACTTTGATTTTACTCTGCGAGGATGGTAGTTTACGAATTTATATGGCTGCAATGGGTCAGACTGGTTATTGGATGTCTTCAAGTGTCCAACCAATTGGTCCTAATACATCCTTGAAACAAACTAAAAAGAAAAAAACAATGAAAACCGGTAAAATGAATTCCGGATCAGTTAATTTCCCGATTGATTTTTTCGAATACTGTCAAGCTATGAACGATCATGAGTTCGGTGGTAATGATTTGCTACAAGTTTACAATGTGACACAAATAAAAAATAGGCTTAACACCACTGGCATGTACGTTGTTTCAACAAAATCGATGGGTTTCAACATTGAAGTGACAAACAACGATACTTCCTCGGTTATCACAGGAATACGAGTACAACTTGGTAGTCAAGATATTCAGCGCGCACCCATGTACGTTGAAGTTTTTGGAAGAAGTGTCAGAACGATTTTGACAAGAAGTCGGTGGTTCGATATACCATTAACTAGAGAAGAAAGTTTACAAGCTGATAAAAAACTCACGATAACATTTGGTCCTTCGCAAGATCCTGAAGGTGTAATTATGGTGGACTCAATCAAAATGTAAGTCCCATTCATTCAACGTTTTGAATCTTCATGAGTCATAAATGAACACACTATCTAAATATTATTTTTCTGTAGTTATGGAAAAACTAAAGACGCATTCGGCTGGCCTGAAGAATCTGAAGATATACCCTCAACGCAGGGTGTACCTACCCAAGCTACTACTGGAGTTTCTTCTGTAACCGATAATACCGAAAATCCAACAGTTTCTCCTACACCACTGCCAGCTGTTGATAAGTAAGTTTAAAGTGTTTTTTTATAAATTATCCTGATTATGAAATTTGATGACCAAATATACATAGAAAAAAGTAAATGATTTTTGTTTGATTTTAACTTTTCTATTTTAACGCTATCAGACCAACTAAGGATGAATCGATTAATATCGAAAGGTAAGATGTGCAATTGTCACAGTTGTGTAGTCAGTAGCGCCTGTAATTTATAGAAAACAAAATGAATTAGTGGAGTATAAACACGAAGTTGTATCCATAGTAATATGATCTATTTTATATATGACTCATTATGATTTTCAGAATGGTTTCTAGCGTACTTGATGTCTTAGAATATTCATTCACGCTATCGAATGATGATTCCAAATCTGAACTGAAGCAAAGTGCCATTGAAGTTGCTTCCAAACTTTTAACTTTGCCAACACCACCTCCAGTGCAAATGCATACAACGGCTCTTTTATCAGCCTTACATGTCTCAAAACCGCAGTATCACGCCCATAAAGATCAAGTACTTTTGAGTCATGTTATGGATGTCTTGAAATTAATGCGTGAGACTGAAGATCCTAATGATATTGATGCGGAAAATTTCTATCGGCTGGTATTGATTGTCCGTGGCATAGCTGTAACTCGTCCACATAATTTGCACAAGTTTGCCGAACAAAATTACACAAGACCGTATGACGCTAGCATAAGTAAGTCACATCTTATTGAAAAAATGATTAAAAGTAACGATCTAATAACTTTTAAACTTGCAGTACCTGTATACGAGCATGAACGTCTAGCATATCAGATTCAGTACCAAAACAATTTTGAGACTCCACACCTTATGCTTCAATTAATGGAAGTCATGTGGCTCTTACATTGCGCTTATCCAAAGAATCTGGCATTGGCCCCTGTAGTAGTACCAGGCTTAACACACACCGATGCTGTGGTTCATGCTATTATCGAAATAATTCATGCTTTTACAATTTGCGATATGAATGGTTTTGCACCGATAGCCGCCAAGCTTTATCTTCAATTGCTACTGTGTTGCGATACTGCCATAAGCTTCAATGCTAAACAGGCTATTATCAAAGTCCTTCGACCAAGATACAAAAGACGCAGAGTTCATATTCCCAGTCCACCTCATTTCAATATCAGCTCCGATGTTGATAAATCCCCAGTTTCACAACCACAGCCTCAACAACCACCACCGCCACCACCACCAGCCGTTGCTTCAGTTGAAAACGAGGCTGATGAGAATTTCGATGTTGACAATGTTGTTTCGATGGTACTACTCGGTGCAGAAGCTGCAGCAGCAGCGGCAGGAAACCAAGGAGATGGAGGGGCTGCAGCCAATAATTTCCTCCAATTACTTGACATGCCACAAGCCGAAGATGACGAGGCCATGGTCGAGCTCGCGATTGCTCTCAGTCTTCAAGAGCACGAAGATGGTCCGGGTGCAAATGTAGGTGCTCCTCTACCAGCATTGATACCTGGCCTTGAGGGACTGCAAAATTTCGGTGGTCAAGCGTTGCAGAGCTTACAGGCATTAGCTGCCCAAGTGCAAGTCCAACAGGCTGCACAAGTGCAAGAGGCTGGTCATTATTCGGACACCACAGCGTCAGCTGCTGGTTCCGACGATGAAGGTTCTACTGCTGCGACTGATGGAAGTACTTTAAGAACTTCCCCAGCCGAGCAAGGTGGAAGTGGTGGTAGCAAAGGCAGTGAAAGTGGTAGCAGCGAGAGTGGTGGCAGTGCCGTTGATAGTATTATGGGCGAACATAATGTTTCTGGACGCAGTTCAGCTTACGGTGATGCCCAAAATGATGGTGTTTTAAACACTAGTGGACAATCTAATCAGCAATCACGTTCGGAAACTGGATTGGTTAATATACCTTCCGTAAGTTTAGTTTTTCATTTATATATGTCAAATTTTTCTTTTTTTTTGTTCAATTTAATAATCGAATCGTTTATCATATTCAGGTTTCTTCTGTACAAGATGGAAGTAATGAACAAGGGGCAGGCAATGAACCAGAGAATGATTTCGTCGGTGAAGTAACAGCTAATTTACACGACGTTCGATTAGTGATTCTTGATAAATTGACGGAATTCTTACCAAATTTGGTTAGCGTACCCGGCGTTCAAGTTATTCCATTCATGCAGGTTCTTCTCATGTTGACTTCAGATCTGGATGGTTCAGACGAGAGAGATCGAACATGTTTTGAAAAACTTTTGAATTATTTCGTTAAAGAACTCAATTTAGAAAACCCTGTAGTCACAGACGTATGTCAGCGATCTAGTAAGAGAGAGACACATCTGGTTATAATGCGATTATTGAGTGAGTGATTTATATCGAAAAACTTTTTTAATTAGAAACATTATAAATGTAATTCATTACTTTTTCAGGTGTTCTAATGTCAAGATCCAAGTACAATCCCAAAAGTCAAGCTGAAACTTCTAACTTTATATCACAAACTACTGCATCAGTTCTCAATAAATCTGGTGTTATCAATTATTGCTTATGTTTATTGAAAGCTTTAATTGAGTATTGGAAAACGTGAGTTACGATTATTTCTCTCAGTTAAGATTTAATTTGTAATATTTCAATTGTATTTAGTGTTAACACCGATGACACGGGCACTGTTATTGGAGGACAACTTCTGAAAGAACATCTTTCAACATCGCCTCCAGATATGTCTCCATTCTTCTTACGCTTATATGTTAAAGGGCACGCGAACGATGTTTTTGAGCCATATCCTCAATTATTGACGGAAATGGCTTTAAGATTACCTTATCAAGTTCATAAACACGCAGAATCAAATAGTGCCTCACCTGCTTTTGATCAGGTAACTTTTTGCTGAATATTTGAAAAAATTTTATTATACATTAAGAATTAAAACACAAACGTAATACTTTACAGAAATCTTGGTACTATTATTTGTGCGAATATATGATGACCTATCAAACGCCATTTGTCCGACGTCAGGTCAGGAAATTATTATTATTCATTTGCGGAAACAAAGAAAAATATAGACAATTACGAGATCTTCACGCATTAGTATCTCATGTTAAAGTTAGTCATATTCAATTTTATTTTTTTCTTGCACCATAATGAACAAAATAATAGTATTTCAATTGTTGCAGGCCGTTCAACAATGTTGCAGTAATGGTGGTTACGACCCGTCAGAGCCTATGCCGCTCACAATTAACTTGCCGTATGATTCTTTAGTTGAACTTATTGAACATCTGAAATGCTGTGTCGAAATAGCTACTAGTCGAACTGGAAATTGGCAAAGATTTTGCATTAAGCACAGTACCGTGTTATCGTACTTGTTTACGATTTCGACTCTATTGGACGAAGGTGTTAGTCCGACTGTATTGCAACTGTTGCAGTGTGCCATATGTTCTTCGTCCAAATCTAAGGACGTAAAGAGCAAGGTTCGTATAGCTAATACTAAAAAATCAAGTACAAGTCCTAAGGTAAATATTTTTTTTATATATTTTTTTCTTAATAATTCTTTACGAACACGTGCATTTACTTAAATTATTCTGACGATATTCTTTATTTTTAGGAAATAAAATCAGCTTTAAATAATAAAGAGAGACGTGATAGAGAAAAATCGGAAGATTCCGATACCGACGCTAAATTTGAAGAAACTCAAAGTGTCAATTTAGTCGAACAAATACAAAAGCAAGTCTCACCACAGTTGCTTGTCAAATTTATACAGACATTCTTATTAGAAACAAATAATACGAACATTCGTTGGCAAGCTCATTCACTTATTTTAGCAATTTACAAGTAAGCTGTTTTTTTTCAATTTGTGACAATGATCTTAACTGCAAATTCATACTTTTTAACGCTCAAATAATTTTAGAAACTCAAATCCCACTGATCAAGAAAGTATTCTTGATCATCTTTGGAAACTGTGGCCTCAACTTCCAATTTACGGTCGTAAAGCAGCTCAATTTGTCGATATTATCGGATATTTCTCACTAAGAACTCCACAAAATGGAAATAAAATGAATTCATATATGGAGCAAGCTGTAGCAGTTTTATGTGCTCAAAATCAACTGCTGTCCCGGCATCCAAACGCCAATCTTTACTCAAATCTTGCTCAATTTGTTGAACTGGATGGGTACTACTTGGAAAGTGAGGTTTGTAGAATCATTAATTTTTTTATTGTGTAATTGAATTATTTTTAACACGTTTTGTTTCTTTAATTAATAAAACGGCCTTTTCAGCCATGCTTGGTGTGCAACAATCCAGAAGTACCCATGATAACCATCAAATTGTCTTCCATCAAAGTCGATTCTAAATTCACGACAACTACGCAAATAATAAAATTAGTTGGCAGTCACACGATCAGTCGAATAACTTTACGTATTGGAGACTTAAAGAGAACAAAAATGGTACGTTCGATAAATGTGTATTACAATAATAGAACAGTACAGGCAGTGGTTGAGCTGAAAAATAAACCAGCGATGTGGCATAAAGCTAAAAAAATTGGTCTGATTCAAGGACAAACAGAAGTAAAAATGGAATTTCCATTACCAATTGTAGCATGTAACTTGATGATTGAATATTCTGATTTCTACGAAAACATACAAGCTTCATCGGAAACTCTTCAATGTCCTCGTTGTTCAGCCAGTGTACCCGCTAACCCAGGTGTGTGTGCTAACTGTGGTGAAAACGTATATCAATGTCATAAGTGTCGAGCAATTAACTACGACGAGAAAGATCCATTTTTGTGTCACGCTTGCGGGTTTTGCAAGTACGCTAAATTCGATTACACTTTGACCGGCAGACCATGCTGCGCCGTTGATCCAATTGAGAGTGATGAAGATCGTAAAAAGACCATTGTAACTATCAACACTTTGCTCGATAAAGCTGATCGAGTTTATAAAACACTAATTTCTAACAAACCAAACCTAGAAATGTTACTTGTGAAGATATCCGACCACCGTTTGGACCGTTTCCTTGACGAAGCTACAGCTCCTCAGAGTGCTAATTCTGGTACCAGTACCCAAGTTAACCGAGCTATTCAATTGCTAGCTCAAAGATACTGTGGTGAGTGTAAGACATCTTTTGAGGAATTAAGCAAAATCATTCAGCGAGTTTTAGCATGTAGACGTGAGCTCGTTGCCTATGATCGTAATCAACGTGGTCAGAGCCAAGGTCAGCAGCGCTCAATGAGCTTAACTGGCAGCGAGCAAACATTGTCGGTGGAACAAAAATCAGGCTCGACACCTGTGGTCGGAAGATGCTATGGCTGCGCTTCATCTGCTACGGAGTACTGCTTGACTTTACTCCGAGCTTTAGCAACTAATACAGCTGCTCGAGAAGTACTATGCAAGCAAGGCCTTATTCAAGAGCTTATCGAGCATAATCTTCGTCGTGGTACCGTACTGATACAAGAAGAAGTACGGCAGCTCTTATGTCTGGTGACTCGTGATAATGCACAGTCAACTAAGGAACTGTGTTCGCTTCTGACAAATCGAGTAACCATGACTTTACGCGGACGAGTAGTTACATCTGATTTATCAACGGCTGTTCGTCATGAAATGGCCCTGCTAGGCGCGCTTATTCAAAAAGAGGACAGCTGCTGGGAGCAGAAGTTGCGATGCGTCATGCAGCTCTTCCTGATGGCTTGCAAAGATTCTAAGAGTCCCGTGGTTATGGAGAGCATTATTTTGCCGTGCCTTAAGATTTTACAGTGTCTCTTGAAACCTGAGCAGCCTATTTCGAAAAAAAATAAAGACAAAACGATAGACTCGCTGGCAACGGTACAACCGCCCGAAGGTGTGAGTATTGATCTCGCCAAGTGGCTCAACGGAGAACCTAAGCATACCTACAATGAGTGGATTCAAAGAATGCCCAATAAAAAAATCGAGACAAAAGAAAACAAACCACTGAAAAAAGAAGAAGCTCGAGTTTTGTATCTTAGCGAAAAGTATGGTCAGCGCTGGTACTATCGTTGTTTACGGCTTCGCGGTGTTCAACCTTTGCGTCTAGCGAATGGTTCTTGGTTGAAAGAAGTAATTTTCAATCCTAGCTCCCGCCTCGCACGTCAAGTCGTATGCAATATGGTTGAAAATCTTTGCCAAGGTACCGAGCGTAAAAAGGAAGTACTTTTATTACTCACAAGTTATCTCGATGAACTGTGCACCGCTGGCGAGAGCAGTGCTGAGTATTTGACGTTATTCCAGAATCTTATTCGTCAAGGTCCTTGGAAACAGTTCCTAGCCGTGCGTGGCGTTCTCAACACTTTAGCAGATCTGCTTAGTAGAGAAATAGCAGAGTTGCATAGGCTAGAAGAGACAACACTGACCAGTGATTTAGCACAAGGTTACTCGCTGAAAATGCTCACCGAGCTCTTAGCCACGTTTCTCGATCAAGAAAATATCAAGCAGCACTATAAAGGTCGTTTAGTCGGTGCCGTCCTTAATGGATATCTATCTTTGCGCAGACTTGTCGTTCAACGCACTCGATTAATCGACGACACGCAAGAGAAATTGCTAGAATTGCTAGAAGAGATGACCACTGGAACAGAAGAGGAGACCAAAGCTTTTATGGCTGTTTGTGTTGAAACAGCCAAAAAATACAGTCCATTAGATACACGTACACCTGTGTTTATATTCGAAAGACTGTGTTCGATCATCTATCCTGAGGAGAACGATGTAGGCGAATTTTTCCTAACTTTGGAGAAAGACCCACAGCAAGAAGACTTTCTGCAAGGCCGTATGTTGGGTAATCCTTACAGTAGCTTAGAGCCTGGCTTAGGTCCTCTTATGCGCGACGTCAAAAATAAAATTTGTCAAGACTGCGAATTGGTCGCTCTACTTGAGGATGATAATGGAATGGAACTGCTAGTCAACAATAAAATCATCAGTTTAGATTTGCCAGTAAAAGAAGTTTATAAGAAGGTGTGGGTCATGGAAGGTGGCGAGTGCGATGCAATGCGCGTCGTGTACCGCATGAGAGGTTTGCTTGGGGACGCTACCGAAGAATTTGTTGAAACTCTAAACGCCAGCAGCGAGCAAGAAGTCAACAATGAGGAAGTGTACAAGATGGCGAATGTGTTGGCAGATTGTGGTGGTTTGCAAGTAATGATTGAGCGACTCGCCGCGATTCAAGATGTCAACAGGGCTAAACCATTGCTGCAAGTTTTGTTGAAGTTATTCAGGCTATCGGTGAAAGTCAAGAAAAATCAAGAGGTCCTGAGTAGACCTGAACTGGGTGCAGTTACAGCTCTTCTCGATGTGTTGCAGAGATGTCTCGCCGCGGATGTTGATAATTCGCAATCTAAAGTGACCGAGCAATTACTCGATATAATGGAAACAATACTAGGAAACGCAGCCGCACAACCTCTCAATAAATTTGAAGAATTCTCTCGAACGCTCGGAAGTCCCGAACACGTTAAAGCCCTCTTATCATGCACACAATCGTCCGCTGTTCGTCAGAGCGTTAGCGTCTTGCAACATTTGGCGCGCGTTCTTGCTGCACTGACTTATGGCAATAAGGAAAAAATGACTCTCCTGTGCGATTACTTTAAACCTGTGTTGAATTTTTATAAATTCGATTTTGAACATACTCCAGAAGATGAGCAGAAGATGGAGCTGTTTTGTGTTTTAACTCAGGGTATCGAGCGCAATGCCATTGGTAACACCTTGAAAGATCACATGATGGAAATGGGAATCGTAAAAGATGCCTTTGAGTACATCACGTTTCATGCTCCTTGCGTTAAACCAACATTGCTTCGAACTGATAGTGACGAATTGAAGGAGTTCATATCGAAACCTGCTTTAAAGTATATTCTTCGAATCCTCACGGGATTAGCTTCGGATCACGAGCCGATTCAATTAGCAGCATCACAATTCACCATAAGCATTATCCATCGATTAGAACAAGTATCGTCAAACGAGCACGTTGGATCTTTAGCAGAAAATTTGCTTGAAGCTTTGTGTACTAATAAGCAAGTAGCCGAGATGATTGAAGAAGCACGCCAACATACCCGCAGCGAAAAGAAACGAATGGCCATGGCCATGAGAGAGAGACAACTCGGGGCTTTGGGTATGCGCACGAACGACAAGGGACAGGTGACTGCTAGTGGTACAATATTGCAACAAATGGAAGATTTAGGTGATGAGACTGGTCTCGTCTGCGTTATTTGTCGTGAAGGATATAAATTCAAGCCTGCCATGGTTTTGGGAATCTACACGTTCACCAAACGCTGCAACGTCGAAGAATTTGAAACTAAACAGCGAAAAACGGTTGGATACACAACTGTATCGCATTTCAACGTTGTTCACATTGAGTGTCACATGTCGGCTGTTCGTCTAGCTCGATCTCGCGACGAGTGGGAAAGCGCGGCCCTACAGAACGCCAATACCAAATGTAACGGGCTGCTGCCACTTTGGGGTCCTCAAGTGCCTGAATCGGCCTTTGCCAGTTGTTTGGCGAGACACAATACGTATTTGCAGGAATGCACTGGTCATCGTGACATATCTTATTCCTCGACTGTGCATGACTTGAAACTTTTATTGCTGAGATTTGCTCAAGAAAAGAGTTTCCACGATGATACTGGTGGAGGTGGACCACAATCAAATCTTCATATCATACCGTATCTGATTCACATGGCTCTCTACGTTATCAACACGTAAGTTATTTTTATCACAATAGACTTTTGAATTTCAACATAGTTTTTTTTACTTCATTCTTTTATAACTCGTAGAACGAGATGTTCGTCGAGGGAAGAAAAAATACTCATGTCTTACATGGAATCATCGCCTAACTCTACGTGGCTTGATAACTGTTATGAGGCCGAAGGTCCTCTGTATCATTGTACATTGGCCATGTTAATTTTATCACCTGCCCGCTGGAGTCAGTATAAATTAATGCATCTTCGAAGACTGATACTGATGGCTCAGCAAAGATACGTCTCTCCATCGTCAACGTCTAAAACGCTTTCCGATACCAGCGTAAAAGATTACTCGGTCTATAAGAGTGTTCTGATATTTTTCGGACTTGTTGACTGCATCTACGAACATTTCTTCAAGGTATTTAATTTTTCTCATTAATAAAGTAGTTGTGACTTAATTAAATTGTTCGACTTACAATCAATTCTTTTACAGAAAGTAAATGTTACAACCGATGATCAATGGCCAGTTGCTTTGGCGGAATATATTAGACACAATGATGAAATGCTTTTGAAAGCCTCTGAAAAAATTCTTGCGGCTTATCGAGATGAGTTGTTGCCTTGTGCCAGTTTTGATGAATTTTGCGATGTTTTGGGTAATTTGATTTATGAATATCTTAAAAGTCTAAATAACTAACATTTTTTCATATTTATTTATTATTTTCAGGACTTCTTGAAGAAATAGCTGATCCACCATCATTTTTAGCTGACGCTTTACAAAGCCTCGCTTAGTGTCCGAGCATTTTCTCACAATTTTTTTATTTATAAATAAAAAACAATCGTACGAATAATCAGTAGTAACAAACACTCTGAGGAAGTAATTTTTTATCTATCAGCTTTCATTAATAATTGTGATAGAAACCAAACCTATAAAATACATGGAGAATAAAGTATAAAAACTCGAAGCGTCGAGTCGTGGTGATGCATTCTATAAAAAAGATGACGAAGTACTTTGTATAAACTGTAAAACAATGATTTTTCTTTTTCGTTATTTTACTAATAATAAAAAATTGAATAAATTACGTGTGTGTGAACCATGCATCACGCGTTTAAGGTTTGTTACTGTGCTTATATAATTATTGATAAAAAATTAATAAAAAATGTGTAATATTACGAATATTGTAATTTGATTACGCGTATATGTATTAAAAAATGATAAATGTTATAAAATATTTTATTCGTTTACAATAATTCATAGTTAGTCATTTCAACTATACAACAGATTTAATTTATTTCTAAACCAATGCATTATTACCTAACGCCAACATACATTGTCTAACGCTTTGTTGCGTTAAGTGATAATCTCTTATAGGTAAAGCTAAAGTTTCATCAAGGATCTTTAAAATGTCGAGTAATGATGTCAAAGCTTCTTCGGCTTTGCCCTCTTTGATCTTTTCTTGCGCACTTTTGTAAAGGGCGTCGGTCTCTTGCATGGCTTTTAATCCTTTTAATATGTTGGTACTCTTTCCACATTTGACGCATGGTATCATGAAGAGGTCGGTGTTGATTTTTACTTCAAGTATATTGCCACAAGATGAACCAGTTTCACATTTGAACCTGCAACGAAGATTATTTAGATAATTCATCGAGGGAATTCAGATTAGGAATATTTTTGCAACGTTCACCTTAGAATATTTGGATCAATGTCGCCGATGAGAGGCCAGTGTTTAGAGCAAGGTTCGCATTCACAATCAAACCAATAATGCAGCCTCAATACGCGCTTCCGTTCTTTTTCCGGTGTTTCTGTAAATATAGGGCCATAATTTTCATTCACTTCGTCGCCAGCTGATATAGACTTTACAGTTCTGACGACCATGGCATCTTTGACGAAATATCTAAAGAAAATTCAAAGTTAATAAAAGAAATGTAATTTACGTAGTGATGAATAAAAGCATACCTCACAACACTAGGGTTGCAAGAGTGATTGAAGAGTGCCATGGTTGTAAAACACCCACCACCTATAAACTGATTGGAACCTTTACTCAAATCTATTTTTTTTCTTGATCTGGTGAATTCTGATATCTGTAGGAATCAAGTGGGAAAAAAATCAGTCATGTCGATTATTTTTAAAAATAAAGTCAAGTGTTTACCTCGTGAGCATTAAACTGCAGTAGTTGGATATGATGAAGTATAGAACCAGCAACGAAAAGTTCCTCTTCGGTGAGCGGTACTTGAGCCGAATCGGGAGTCCTAACGTGAGGAGGGAAATAAGAGGTCATTTGTAAAATCCTGAATAACCAAGCGGCCACGTAAGACCGATGAAACAGGTCTTCGACGGTTCGCTCGTCTTGGTGAGTAACTAAATTCGTAAAAGTTCTGTAATCCTTGCCGAGATAGGGTTTTTCTTTACTCGGGGTTTGCCTTTTAACCAGCTCTGGATCTTTAAGTTTGATAAATTGCTCGAAGGGCTTGTGGGTAATTGCCCGCAGAGCCAACATGCACGTGACCGAGGCGTTGGAGCACCACAAAGGCGGCAACATGGCGCACTCGATTTCGTGGACTCGTGTGTCTTTGTCGCGGCAATCTGGACTGCAGTAGGCTATGCTGCTGCACTTGTAGCAAGTCGCGGGATAGGCGACACCGATGCGAGTAGAGCAGCGATGGCAGTGCGTCAGACGATACTCTCCGAGCAGAGCCAAACAGTGGGGCTTCTCCACGGCGACGAGCTCGCCGGGCGCTATGTCTCTGGTGGCAACGGCGTATCTTCCTCGGCTAGCGCCTCCGTCGCGAATCTCGATAGATGCGCTTAACGCCGGATAAGCTGGATTGACCTCGGGTACGCGCGGAATCTCGTCCTTGTCCTTCAAGCGACTCTTCTCCAACTGTTTCATCTTGTTTAGGTCAACGCCTTCCTTCTCGTTCATTTGTTGGGCCTTTTGAAGGACCGACGCCATGACTCTCATGTCGGTCTCGAGCTTTTTCTTCTTTTCCGGCGCCACTTTGGCCTCGTCCAAACTCTTCAAAGCTCGCTGGAAAGCCTCGATAGCCAGGCTATGGCACTTGAGGCCGAGGAAACAACGAGCCCGGCGTTCTTCGACTTTGTAGCGCAGGTGCGCCGGATATCCGACTTTGAGCGCCTCGTCGCAGTCGCGCAAAGCCAAACGGAAACGCTCGAGATGATAGAGAGCCGCAGATCGATTGGCAAAGATGATGCCTAGTTCTGAATTTTGGAAAATGGAAACTTTCGTTATTCAGCGATACGTCGAAAAGCTCTTCAATAAGAGTGTTGTCTCACCTTCTTTGGGTGCCACAATCGCAGCATTGTTGTAGTCCTCGATAGCAACTGGATAATGCTGCAAACTAAAAGCTGCATTTCCGGACTCCTTCTTGTCCTTGGTCGCCATGGGATCCTTGAATTCGTCGTTGTCGACTTCGAGTGGCAGCTCGTGAGCCAACGGTATCGACAAGATGAAAGCAACGCGTGATGAGTCATCCTCGAGTTCGGTAAATTTTCGGAATTCACTGGGGCTCAGGGATTCGCGAACTTGACGGAGATTAGAGCGGAAGAAGGCACCTGCCTCGTATTCTGGATCATTGTCCAGTTTTAGTAAGTTTCGCCCTTCTTCCGTGAAATAGTCGTCGAACTCGTCGTCCATGATGCCAATGAGTGAGCCGCCTCAACGTACGAGCTGTGTGGCAACGAATTAATGCGCGCTGAGACGCCGTTCAACCGAAATAGCTTGGAGGATTTTTACGTCGATTCGATTTTTAAACAAAGGTAAAAACACTCAACAGTTGTAGTGAAATCGTCTTTTTAACTTTGATACGCGCGTCCAGTGCAGTTGGCTTATAACTACGGGCGAGCGTTTTTGTAGATACCCGGCACTTTGCGCTCTACGAGTACTGTGTGTGTAGCTATTTTAGAATAGAATCTATTTTGGCCATCTACTACGAAACTACAGTATACGTGTTACTATTAGTTCTTATTTAGCTTCATTTTGCACTTTAGAAGACTATATAGAGATGGACTTTAAACGTTTTCGAAACGTTTTCAATTGTTTGTCTGTAGATCGATGACTCTTGTAAAAAAATGTATTATTTCCATATGAAATCTAATATAATTTATAGTAATTGACCGCGAGCGTACTATTACTTACCTAGCTGTGTGGCTATTAATAATTCAAAGTAATAGATAAAAAAATAATGCTATTCAGGTTTGTGCATCCGATAGCACGCCCTAATCCAATATTATGTGAAATGATTATCATGACGATTTACTCTACAATTGGATTTGCATAAATAATTACATTTATTTTAATGTATGTATACAAATTACGTCAGATTGGAGTTGAAAAAAAGTTGTTTTAAATAGTTACTTATAAACATTTATTGTTACAACATAAATATAATTTTTGTTAAAATTTTTTTACAGCATAACGATGAATTTCCTTCCGTTTTCTAGTACGAAGTAGTCCTGCTACTTTATCCAAAAATTCTAGCGATCACAATGATAATTAATTTATTAAATTTGTAAATCGATTTCTGACAAATGTTCAACATCAAGTACTAAAGTACGAATAAATGATTGTTCATTATTTTTGAAAATGCAGCTTTTAACTTATGGTTGAATTGATATTGTATAATATATGCTTATAACACAGATATAGATATAAAAATCAGCGCAATAATCAGTAAGTATAAATATTTTACGGACACATCTAATCTAGGTAACGCTTGCTTATCACGTACATCGTAAATCATTAAATCGAAATATGACACGCTTACAGTCGAACAATTCTCAGCATCGGCACACAATTTCACAATTGCGCATACACACTTACACACACACACACACCACACACACTCACCCAATTAAACGCACGACTCACAACGGACGAATCGAAAATATTAAAAATCGTAAGAAGCTTCGTCATCTTTGCTCTTGGCTCGGAGTCCCAGCTTGTAGACGACTGCGGCTAGCAGAGCACCGAGGCAGGGTCCAATCCAGTAGATCCACTGCAAGTGCCAGCTACCTACAATCACAGCCGGGCCCAGCGATCTAGCTGGATTCATACTGCTGCCGGTCAGAGGGACGACGGCCATGTGGGCGACGCCGATGCTCAAACCGATGGCCATGGGGGCCCATCCTTTGCAGTCGTCCCGGCGCGAGTCCGTCACGGCGTGAACGACCAGCACCAGCAGGAAGGTAATGATGGCTTCCACGAGGACACCCTGTCCAGCGCTCAGGCCGGGATTGAGCACGGTCATGCCCAAGCTTTTGGTGAATTTGTCTGGCAGTACCGCCTGCGCAAATAATTATGTTTTACCTAGTCCAGCCTAAAGAATGAAGCTTAGAATGAGAAGACTTACGCGAAGAATGGCCGAGCCTGCGATTCCTCCGCAGCACTGAGCCACGATGTAACATAGTGCTTTGAGTATGCTGCAATTGCCACTAGCCAGGAGGCCTACAGTGACAGCTGGATTCACGTGGCAACCAGAAACTGGCCCAAGTACCTGACAACAAAATCAATGTAAAAAACAAAATAAATCTGGAAATAAACCTAATAATCGATTCATACAACTCGCTCAAAGTTAGTCAACGATTATGCACCGAATAATATGTGTCGAGGTAATGTTACGATTACCTCAATAAGTCGGCTTATTATTTCGATTAGTCAAAATGTTCATCTTCTCGAGTACATTCAAGTACAATCGGGTATAAATAAGCTCAAATACACGTACAAAGATGATAAGTAAGGCTGCTTTGTATTTGCCTAAGGGTCTCTCAATCTCGGCTATACTATACCTATAGATGTGTAATGCAATTATACATAAAGACGCGCGGACTTGAGATCCCGACGCACAGCCCGAGGGTATATTGCCTCCCTATTTTCTACGCTCTCGATACACATAACGTATTGACTTTACGTTGCCTTGACCGTTTAACGATTCGATTCGCCGCTGAAAATCAACAGACTTTGGATGATTGCTTTTTTCAACGTCGCATTTCAAGGTGAAAGATCCAAGCTAAAAAACGTCCAGCTCAGTGGTAATTTGGAGCAACGTAATAATCATCCGAAAATGTAATTTCAGTTTTCATTGGTAGGTACGCGAGCACGTGCCGTAAAGCGTGGGCGCGAGCACTGACCACAGACAAACCGCAGCATCACGAGAGGATTAACAACAAAATTATTTTTTCTCGAGTCACCATGTCGAATGAATTATTATTATAGCCAATCTTTTGAACGAATCAAATTACGTGCATATAATACGATTGGCAAAAATAATTATGATTCTTTGTAAAACTGCCTGCGAAGATTATGTACATTCGAATGTTGTTTGCATGCATCGGTGCAGGTTTGCTCAAACATATTAGGTTTTTCGATTTTTATCACGCGTGGAATCCAAGAACTGCCCGTAAAAATCGATTTTTTAAACAATATAAATTATCTTCAATTACGCAAATAGAGTAGGGACGCTTGTTGTAACGCGTCAAAGATCCATGGCAAGATAATTTAACGTTATATATTGATTTATCATAATTTATTGATCGTGAATGACCATTTTATTTTCAAGTAGCTAATGTTTCAATGAGAAGAATCACTGTATGTACAAAGCTGTTCTATTTTTGTCACTTTCATTTTGTGACTACCTCGGTACATTGCCTTCAGCCATTATTTGAATAGATCATTTTGCGACTTCGATGAACATTCTCAAGACCCGAGGTAATGCAAATGAGCTTTCTCGAGGTGCTCGTTATCGTTAAGTACAGGCTTGTTTTCACAAGGATGAGATAATCTAATATGAAATTGATGAAAAATCATAGGTGCAAGGAGGCCCTACACGGAAAAGTAAAGTGGCTCGTGAAGTAAGGCATGGGAGAGGAAAAAGCATCGTACGAACTGTAGGTACATCGAGGCCCGCGATCGATACAATATATGAGCAATTCTTTAAATGAAACGCATTTTTGGAGATAGAATCAAATTTTTTTTCGACTCAAAAAATAAATGAAGATATGTTTTTGATAGGAAATTTTTTTGGCTTTCTTTTAGTGTAGTCAGATTTTCCGATAAATTTCATTTTCACATGGAAAAATCGAAAATAAACCATAAAGTTTACTTTTTTCGTACCGAGTTTTTCGAGATATTTAGCTTGGCACGTTTGATGGCGATTTTTTCGGCGAATGTGCTACTTATCAGAAAATCTGATATCACCATGAAAAGCTGAAAAAATTTCCTATCGAACACTGTTGCCAGTTATTTTTTTTTAGATGAGTTTTGATACTTTTTCAGCGCCTTAGAAATTGAGTAATTAACCGTATTTACGAGAAAACATGATTTTTCGTCCTCTAAATCACAAAAGTAGCTATAAAAATAAGCACTATTGAAATTTCAATGGTTCCTACGAGGTTACATGTTCCTAGGACCCACAAAAACAGTTCCCGTGGGTCCATATCCGCGTAGGTTGAAAAAAAAATTTGCCGCGATTCTACCTCCAAAAATGCGTTTCATTTAAAGAATTGCTCATATATATGCCGGGATATGAAATTAGTTAAACTGTCTCGAATCACCATGACTGTATTTAAAACTTATTTGATCTAGTGGAAAAAAACATGGTAAAATTCTTTAACATATACTCACATATGCGAGACTAGCTACGGCAAGACCAAAGGTCAGTGCTATATGAAGAACGCTCGCAGGAATATCGTTCCATGGGATGCACGAGGCGCAGCCTATGAAGACCAGTATCGCTGTGCCAAGAATCTCGCCAAACAACGGCACGAGGAAGTTGAGCTTCGATACTTCTTCGATGCCTATATAGTCCTTTGTGCCTGCAATCAAACAATTGAATTTCATGAGTAATCTTTGCGTGCTGATGAAGACTATTTTTATTTTAGTTTTACACAATACTCCGAAAGTGCTCACTTAAAAAATCTATTGTTACATCATCGAATTTAACACGTCACGTAAATTATTTTCTGTCGAATCATTCGCAATGCAACGAGCAAACTATGATTTCAATCTTTCTCGTACAAATTCTAATTAATGGTGTACGCGAATGACGAACATAAGCTACTACGTATTGATTCAGTAAAATATCATTCAGCAGCTGGTTGACCAAGACTTGAGTAGCTACTAATTAAACAATCAAAGTATGGATTTTTTCTTCCTAATTATTTAATTAATCTTTATCAGCCAAATTTATGCCTTCAATTTAACTAAACGTGGCTGTATATATTTTCTATTATTGACTTTTTATAATTGACTCAAATTAATCTTCGTATGATTTGATTTTATAACGGAACTACTCGATTTATTTATAATCTAATTCGATGAATAAAACTACATTTATGAATAAACAGCTAAATATTAATATTTTAATTTTGGTGATTCATTATACCATAAAAAAGTCACAATTATGCAGGCACAATAATGTCAAAATAAAAGTTTGGATGGTTTTTTATCATGTACAAATACAAACGAAATAATAGGTTAAGGTCCGACCTCGGCCGCAATAATTATTTGATACAGACAATATTTTGCTAACAATTGATAATTGACATAAGTTTTTTTTTCAATTCAAGCATAGCGAAAAGATGCATTTTTAAATTACAATTTATTACTTTCATTGATGTTTGTGTTGAGTGACTTTTGATAGATAAATAAATGAATAACTTTTACATTCGTGGGTAGTTTTGACCAAGTTAAGCAAAGGCTTGACGATGATTTAACTACAAATTTACTCAATATGTGTTGATAATTCTAAAAAATTTTTTAAATTTGCGTTACGTAAGACAATGAAGCGGTATGGTCGTAAAATTTTATCGCGTGCGTTGCTCTTAACAATCGTCTCAAAATTATATTTAGAAATAGCTCGCCGTTCGCATATTGAATTTTTTATTCATGTTATTGTCTAGTTTTGTAATTGTGTTCTTAATTTCTCAAAACATTTTCAAAAATTTCTGGGTTGTATAATGGTGCAAACTAATATTTACTGTAAAACACCTGTTGATTGCTCAGCTGTTTCGGTCATATAGCTCTATGAACTCATAAATATGATATTCTTCTTTATTGAGTTGTTAAATTCTTTTATATTTTTACCCAATAGGGTATTGTGTACAATTATTCTGGGGAGTAATTATATGTAATCGAAACAAAATAATATGAAAAATGCTATTGAGAACTTTTTCACGCGGTTTGTATATAAAATACCCGCTTGTAGATTTGTAACAATAAATTTCACTTGAAATGCTCGAGATATTTTTTCATCCTTGTTTCTGCACCGAATGTAGGCTGCAGGGCCTCCCAGTGTGCCATGAAAGTTTTTTGTGCTCAAGCTTTTATCTGCATGCATGTAATAGCAAGATTTTACTAGATCGAAAACGACTTGGCCGCGATAAATATAATTTTTCAAAAATTTAATAAAATAAAAGTGTATGGCACTCAGTTTTTACACTCATTAAAAAAAGTTTAGCTTACTGATAAATTAAGAAATTTTCAAAAAAAGCATTAGCGTACCCATCCAAGATTTGCCCATTTTGTCGAAATCCACTTGAGAACACAACGCAAGAAAAATCACAAAATTTCACAGTCACGGTTCCCGTACACTTGATAGGGTGGGCTATACGTGAAACTTAACTCGTTTAAAACGTAACTATTGAATGTGAGCGGATCGAGCTTAAGCGCGTAGTTATATCTCACTTGAAAAGTGCCACTGCTACGCGCTCTTGCTCCCCACCTGCTATTTTGTAGCTCTCAAAGACCCTGCGGACACTCGTGTGTGTCATAATGAAAATTTTTCGTCTTCGACAATTTGACCCATAAATTGAACGATAACAGAGAGGTGGCTAAACGTTGATACTTCGATTGGAAATAATACGAATCTGTCTCAGTTTTGCGAGATCGTAAATATCTTTTTTACTCATATAAGTGAACTCTTTATGCGCATTGTAAATCAATTCATAAAGATTTACAATTATGCTTGCTTGATAACGCTGCTGCTTGCTAACTTCATTTTTTGAGAATTTTTAAACGCTATGTAATACATTTTATCGATTGCTAATATATGAATGAAAAAATGTAAATAATTTTTATTACACTACCATCTGATGCTATTTTGTATGGCGTTCATCAATTACAGCTAGAAAAAAGTCGAAGAACTCGAATTAGTTTATTTATTTACTCCCTTATTGAAATACTGCTATATTCGTTAATAAATGCTAAAAAAATGAGGCCTGTTGCTAACTTTTATAGAATTGAACACCTTTTTTTAGTTGTAAAGAATGTACAAGTCAAGCTCAGTTTAATCATGTTACTTATACTAAACAAAAAATTTGCAAATGAATTATTATTGTTGTAAAGGAAGCTACTTGCTTATGAATTGGAAAAGGTTTATTATTTTTAAATTAGTCATGAATAACCGTTCATAATGGAAATCAATTATTAATAATAGGCCGAAAATAACTTTTTTGGTGGAACAAAAAAATTCTATTTTATTCTCATTGTCGACGCTCAGAGCGTCAATAAACTATGATGTTATAATTTTCACGATAAATACAAAAATTTTTCATCGATTTTATAAAACAAAAAAGGGACGCGAATGGTGTATATCGACGTACAGCGGGTTGGTTCCAAAGCTTCAAGATTTGAAAAGTAAAATTACACGTAGGTATATAATATATATGCATGAGAATGATGAAAAGAAAAAAGGATTTCGCCTATGCGTACATATGCACTTTGCAGTTTCTATGTCTCTCTCTTTTTCTCTTGTTAAACTGGGTCATGCACCTAAGAAGAATAATGTAATATAATTTTTCATTCATTTAGCGTTGCACGTATGTACGCGCTAGAGATCGAGAAAAAAATAAACACGTGAGTCTTTTTAAAAATTTTCAGGGCGCAGCGAGCCCTACGGCACTTTTTTCGCAACTTTCTGTGTTGGTCGCGTTTGTGTGCTATAGAGTACATTAATGTATACATTCGTACATATGACCAATGCATAAGGCAGTACACTACACGTCATCGCACGTATAATTTTTCATTTACTTTTTTATTTTTATTTTTGATTAATGAACGAGATCTTAATATTACATAGCGCTCCGTTATTCATAGTGTACATCGTATAGCTGTACTGAACATCATTTTCAAGCGAGGATTTTTTTAAAATTGTTTTATAATTTTACTTGATTTTTCGAGGTGCCAAAGCAAAGTGACATATTTTTGTGACAGTCGAGCGAAGATCCTTTCATCAGTAAGTATTCAAGTGTAGAAATAGCTATTGACTTGGGTGGTACTGAGAAAAAACTTAAAATAATAACCAATTCGAAATCTCGCAGAATGTATGTGCACGTTCGAAAATCGATCTAATGTTAAAGCCCGCAGTATTCACGAATCGAACATAATTCGTTTTATTGGCGGGCATCCTATGAGTTTATACAGTACATAGGTTGAGAGACGCGTGTCGCACTCGGCTGCAATCGCGTCCCTGAGCTCTTTGACCGACTTTCCATCGTTAATTCTATAATAGATGATCAAGCTGCAAATAATTGACTCTCGATTCCGAAACTTGTGCAAAATGGATTGAACCAAAGCGATACTATGATAAAGGTGCGGGCTTCATTATGCTCACCGCGCATCGTATTATCAGTTTCAGCTGTTGTACAGACATGTACGCTAATTGTACTCTCTCGGCTACCAGTTACTATCTTCTTCTCTTTGTTCTTTTATTTCAATGAATTTTTCGTCTGTGAAATGTAATTTTCATTGTTGAACAATCGCGCAAACGAAGACATTTTTTTCAGAAGCTCATTGAAAATTTTTATTATGGACAAGATTTTTTTGCAACTCAAGGAAACGTTTCATTAAAGCTTTGGATGTTGATTTTCTTCGTGTCGTTTCACGCGCAAATAAAGTATGCCCTCGATATCTCGAGCTTCTCTTTCCGTGTTACACTCGCGTGGAGACCAGTAGGAACAAGAGATAGAGAGAGAGAGAGAGAGAGAGAGAGAGAGAGAAAATAAGCATAATACGTTTTAATTGTCCAAACATTACGTTGTAAAATCCATTCTGATGCGCGTGGGCTGCTTCTTTATCACCTGAGCGCCAGCACGTGATGCAACAAAATAATATGCGTGTGACCTATCTTGTTTTCCTTTGGGAATTTAATGCGCGTCAAACTAAGGCATTTCTTCATTATATAAAAAGAAATTTATATGTTATGATGCTTCAATAGCTATATTAATTATTTTAAATGATCATATTCATTGTTTAATCGGTAGAAAATACAAACATGGTAAAAAGTCGTTAAAAACATATTTGAGTTAGTAAATAAAAAAATCAAAATTTTGATAAGATATCAGCGAAATAAAATCTTGATGCTTACATAAGGTTATTCGCAATAACCTGTGCACAACTTTCGAAAATTACAATTTTAAATGTTTACAAATACGTTTATTCTCATTTTTACGGTATAAAACACTATTTTTTGAACCGAAAGATAATTTGTAAAAAAAATAGTTGAAAAATTCTCAGACACACTATCTCAGTTAGCCAAAAGCCTACTGATCATATCAAGCCTTAGGTGCGTCTTTTAAACGATAAATGGACTGTCAAGGTCAACATTTTTCGAGCCCACGACAAATACTTTTTTCGCGTTTCTCCATCTATTGAACTTACAGTCGGGCCTATGCTCTGAAATATCGGAGACAACAGGCTCTTCTTTAAAATAACAAATCGCTGATACATTTGGAAAAAAGAAATGTGTACCGCGATAATGGCGTTTTCATGGAAAGGATAGTACTCGCAGCCAAGCTTAAAGTTGTTTATTCAGTTTATGTGCTCAGTAATGTGAATTACAAGTTTAATATGAAATCTTGACTAAGAAAATATTTAATAATGTTCTGCCGAACTCTGATTCATATGAGCGAAGATAATACTGTAAAATACGACATGCAAGCCTTCATAATCTGAAAATTGCAAAATAAGTACAACAAATGATTTTCAAACAATCGAATGAATACTTACTGCAGCAAAATTAGCTAAACCTAGATAGTAAATTTTTCCAGCAGTTAAAATGCTTTCTTTTTGACTTCGTAACATCATGAGTTTGAGCAATTGTTTACATTTATCGGGTAGCTTTTCATCGTACCATTGACTGTCATAACTGGTATGCATTATTAGTATAAATTAACCAAACGAATGAAAAATTGTTCATGTTTATTTTACAGGCGTGGGTGTGTGTGTATATATATTGGGGCGGAACGAAAAAACACTTTTGACATCGATAGCTTTGTAATAGTAATTTATTAAAAGTATAAGATGAAAAAAGAGAAAAGCCGCGAGTTGGGCGCGAACGAAAAATGTCTTCAGGTGGCGTAGGAAGCCTGACGTTTGAAATTCTTAAAAACGATATCTTTATGCTTCAGAAAGAAATCATTGCCAAATTTCGGGATGAAAGTTTCAGGGATTGTTTTAAATGTTAACAGGAGCTTCTCTGTAAAATTTTGGCCCTCTATGGTGGATCTCTACTTCAGAGTTTCAGGAAAGAGATTTTCTTCTTTTTTGTTAATGAAATTTATTGCTGTATTGTTGCTTGTATAAAATTATATGAACAGAACAATTCTCGCATCACAAAATTCAATGTACACATGTCAACTTGACACTTGTTGTGATATTATAATAATGTGATATGAATGTATAAATATTTGCTATTTATGAATAACATCGTTTTTCAACCTTCCTATGACTATATTTTTGCTTCTAAGGCTCCTAGAGGGCCAAAATTTTACAGAGAAGCTCCTGTTAACATTTAAAACAAGCCCTGTAACTTTCATCCCAGTCGGTTAATCCGGTGCCGAGAAATTTGTCAAAGATTTCTTTCTGAAGCATAAAAATATTGTGTTTACGAATTTCAAACTTCAGGCTTCATGCGCTACCTGAAGACATCATTTGTTCGCGCCGAACTCACGGCTTTTCTCTTTTTTCATCTTATACTTTTAATAAATTACTATTACAAAGCGATCGGCGTCAAAAGTGTTTTTTCGTTCCGCCCTAAATTATATATTCACCAAGCTTCGTGAACGAGTTGACTGTGATTGCGAATTTGTTGACTGGGCCAGTTGCAATATATGAGATGTATGACTTCGCCACCACCAAACAATGAGAATCTGATCCACTCACTAATATTACTTTTACTCATAAGTACCTACAAGTTGTATGAAAAAATAAAAGTACTCGAGTCGCAGTGAATGGATAAAAACATTGGGTTTAGTACCTGTTGACCAGCGACTGTCAACGGTAATGTTGCGCACCCGATTGTTACGAGATTTAAGGTTGAAAACGCTGATTCAAGTGTCACGATGAAACTGTGTGTTGAGAAGAAATTTTTTTATAGATCTCAGAAAAAAAATCTAGCTTTTTTTACGTAACTCTAAAGTTTTGTTGTGAAGTTGCACTATTTGGGCTAACTCGTCGTAAAGAGCGTCTTGATCGTAATCTCTTTCTTTTAAAGCCTGCTCGTTCAAAGTTTCACGCAATTTCTTGCTGTTTAGTTAAAAGATTTCGATTAAAAATAATCAATTTTAATTTTTGAAACATCTGTGCGGACACTCACTGAATAATTGAAAACAGAGCGCAGACATGATGCGTAAAAGCAACAAAAAGAGTATCACATCCGATAATGATTGCTATTCCAAGAGTGTCGGTCGTGTAACCGTGAAGTATTATTAATAAATTATTGTTGTTCAGCTGCTCGACTCCATAGTCAATAAATCTTGGTTTTTCTTGCAAGCGAGTCTGATTTCTCGGAAATGCAATATCCAACAAGTGCAGCGTCAAAGGGAACGCACTAAAGACGAAAGCGGCGTTCAGCATGTAAACTGATAAATGCATTAAAATGTCAAAGTAATTTACGAAATGGGTGAATATTATAATTTTTTTTTTCATTCAATTTTATACAGTAAGTACTTACCTGTGTAAGCCATATTTATTTTGTACGCTTTGGCCGAGTAAGCTTTGATAACGGCAAGGTATTCATTTTTGTGAATTTCAAAATCTTGATGAATCTTTTCGAGTACTTTGGCTATCTGAAATTACTCCAATTTTTCCCTTTCAATTTTAAATGAAGGGGTGAGAAGTTTTTTTCATTACCTGTTTTTTGCACAAAATAGCGCAAATAAACTTTGAAACGATATGAACATAATAAAGATCCGAGCTCAGTGATAATAAAAAAACCATCAAAATGTGACGAAGTTTGTACAACTTGACGAGCTAAAATTTCACGAGTATACAAAGCAAACTTTGATAAAATGGGAGAAATTAGCGATGCTTACCTGAGGAATGAAAACGGACAGAATGGTGCACATTATCAAGGTTTTATTGAATAAACTGGTGAGAAGACTTTGGAAGGGCCATAATCCACAAAAGTATAAAAATTTGTAGCTTAGCGAGTAATACGGGATATTGAAATCTTTCATGTCGTAAAATTAAAAACGCGATCATTCATTGAATCCCTGTGGCCACGATGTTTGTCATTTGTATTTATGCGTTTAGTCTTTGTTTCTTCAAGGCATTATTTATTCATGGCCCAAGGCAAAGAAATGTGATGTACTTCGTAATTCGCTCGGTAAGTAGTAACTTGGGAGTAATTTGCATAGTTGATGAAAAATATGCACTTGCCGCACTCGAGGAACTGATGTACATTATAAAGATGTATACATTATTATGCATTTCGGGATGAATATTTTTAATCAAGGATTTTACCAAACTGTCTAAAGTTACTTTTAAATTAGTCGCAATACAAGAGCACGAGGCTCTTTATTAATTGATTCGCATTTCATAGGATTACTTAAACGATTGGGGTTTCCGAGAATATGAGCTGTAATTCGATTGTGAGACATAGGCATTAGACGTAAAAAAACAAACAATTACCGATCAATTAAACGAAGTTTAATTTATCTCGACGAAAAAGTTTATTACAATTACAGCCGCGTAATAATTGTTAGTATTTGGAATTCGCTTGCGAGTCGCTTCGAAGCATCTCATTAAATGCTCGCCAAATGTTTTTATGCAAATGTGTACCACAGCTGAGGCTACTCACGGGTTATCGTACCGGCGTTGGCTTCCTCGGGATTATCTCGATGCTCGGGACTGAGTTGGGCAGTTGGCTCGTTGTTTTCGTTAGTCGGCGGGTATTCCTCGGGATAAACCGTCGACACGTGCATGGTATTAGCAGTTAAATAGCTCGCGATTACTGCTGACGGCTGAGTCAAGCTACAGAATTCATTATTCGATGAAACGTAATATTGCAGTCTAATTGACTCGGATCAATGCATCGCGCGCAGACTCATCCTAAGTTTCAGAAGGAAATTCAATTACATCATTCATGCCGCCTAATTATACACGTGTATTTCATTTTCTTAAAATTTCAAAAGTTTTCCCGTCTCGTTGAGCTACGTGCCGTATCGTAATACGTTGAAAAGAAAAAATTTAAAACGCGCACCAAAAACACTATTTTATTTTCCTCGCGATGACTCAACTATATATGCAGAATTGGCAATTGCTGCTACGAGTGAAGAGTTTGAAGCACGAGCTGTGCGTGTCGGTAAAAATGCTTTTGCAATTACATTCTACAGCTACACGTGGAAAATATTGCTTATTATTTATATCCAGTATGACAAGCAGCGCAACAGCAGCAGAGATCGAAAAGATAATTTCAGTAGAACAAGAAAATGCCAACTATTGTTTTTTGCGCGAAAATTAGCAGCAGATGTTCAGTAGAGCTATATGTGAGGCGCAGTTGGTACGAATTATGCGTTGGTGCACTTTGAGTCGCTCAACAGACACTCGAGGAGTTGCGAAGCGCGATGTAGCCTCATCGCCAAGCACGACTGATATGGCATATCGCACCGTGGCTCGGGGCTCGAGGCACTCGCGGCTAGAGGCCGATGATTTCGAAAAGGAGTGGCGAACTGCCAGAGAGCCCTTTCCAGACCTTGACACATCGCGAGGATATGTGAAAAAGCTCGCGGGCTTACCCCCGCTGAGACGAGCGATAAGCCGCAGCGAATTAATTGACATGAACGAGTCGGATATTATTCCAACGATTTAGATGTATAGCATTTTTTTGGACAATTTTTTCTAGCTTGCTTTGCGTGTACGGCAAAGACCATCGAGACTTGCGGCAAATGTGCACTTTCGTGCATCATGTAGGAATGTAATAATATTCCAGAATGATAACGAGCCCGGGCGATATGCACAACTGCGCGCGCGGCCTTATTTCCATAATTGCCGTATAGCCGAGCTTTTGTACGGCGTATCGGCTTGCACCGCGAGAAATTCATCAAATGTATATCCATGAAACATGTGCACATACCCGATTCTTTTATGACTCCGTTTTCAAGCGCAACGCGCCCGATCGATAAAATCATACAGCAAGCCAAGCACGACTGGATAAGATAAAAACCAGTGCAGTAACGTGCAAATTCCACCTGACCTTTCATAATAAGGTCGTTGTTTTTTTGTTTTTTTTTTTTTTTTTTTGGAGCTAATACACGAATCAGAGGCAAAGATTATTATCCGCAGTGGCTAATTTTGGCCACTGTTGCCTGTTTAAGTGTTCCGAGCGCAGAGAATCGCGTGCCGCGCACGTACGGATGAGAAAGACGACAATTAGCATATCATTCGTTGATCCGATCGATGACCCTTGTGTGGCCATTCCTAGTTAAAGGATTCGAAATATCTCCGCGAGCTCGTAAGCATAAGCTTTGTGGGTCAAGGAGCAAGAAATATTCCGAGAATCCTCGATAGCTGCTCGATGCTGTAATTATAACAAAGAACATGATGTTTGTCTGGGCGCGGTTGCATCGAACTCCCCTATGCTCGCTAAATATCAAGTTGAACTTTATTTGTCTTATAAAAACGCATTCAATTAAAAACCGTTGCTTAATTCTCATATTTGTCCCATAGATACAATTAATAAAAGTATAATCTGAATTTCAGGAGGCTTTGACATCTTTTATGACACATAAACATAGAGACTTTATGCAGTTACATGGTGGTTAAATTCGTTAAATTTTTATTTACTTTAAAAAAAAAAAAGTAGGAGTTTATAAAAAATTCACACTTTTATCTGAGACACTGTAATTAATGTATTATATCTATTTACAATTAAACTTTGAACAAGTTATATGTTAATAAAATTGACGTTTTTAATAAAAGTTAGAATACTTTTTAGGTTTATCTGCCTTATTTGTTTGTAACCACTTAATCACAAAATAAGTCTTTTTACCAACTCTGATAAGAGTCACATCATTTTTTAAGCGGTGTTTACCACTTATGATTTTGTCTATATCAGTGACTCTGGTATAGTTTATATGGAAACCCCCTGCATTTATAATTCTGATAGCATCTTTCATAGTTTTAAAACATTCTGCTTTCATTGCTAGATCAAGTACCGTCATATTTTCATCGGGTACCAAATCTATAACTTTAGAACCTTCAAAAGCTTGAGTAACCTGATCTTGGGTCATTGATGAAAGAGATTCTATGGACTTATCATACAGCAACATAGAAGTAGTTTTTGCAGCTTCTAATCCTTCTTCTGCAAAAATTAATACATTTACATTTTAATGAATTTTCATTGAAAAAATTACTATTAAAATCAAACTTACCTCCATGCACTAATAATGTTACATTTTCTGCTAAAATTTTTTGAGCTTTCCGTTCTTCTGGTTTTTCTTTGTGCTCTTTAACAATATGAGCAATTTGTTTAAGAGGTAAGAAAGTGAATAATTTCAAATAATTTTCTACATCATTGTCTGTGGTTCTTACAAAAAATTGATACAAATCAAAGCTTGAAGATTTTTCTGGTGCTAACCATACTGCATTACCAAGAGATTTTCCAAACTTTTTACCACCTTCAGCAGTTATTAAAGGTAAAGTGAAACCAAAGACACTTTTTTTAGAAGTTCGACTAATCAACTCATGACCAGACATAATGTTTCCCATCTGATCATTACCTCCAATTTGAAACCTACAATTGTAATTTTCCAACAAATGCATCCAGTCATAAGCTTGAAATAATTGATATGAAAACTCAGTAAAACTCATCCCGGAATCGGATTTTAAACGTGATTGAACCGAGGTTCTTCCTAACATTGTTCCCATTCGAAAATGTTTCCCAACAGTTCTGATAAACTCTATAATATTAACATTCTTGTACCAATCTATATTATTTATTATTGTTAAAGGCTTAAGCTGAAGATTGTTATCTTTCCAAAAATATTTTTCATGATTATGAAATATATTCATGATATCGTTTTTGATTCCTTTTATATTGTAATCTATTACTGTTTGCTCCATAGCTATTCGTTCATTCAATCTATGGCTAGGATCACCTATTAAACCAGTTGCACCGCCTAACAAAGCTATAACTCTGTGACCTCCTCTTTGCCAGTGTAAAAGATTCATTAGAACTAGAAGGTTACCAATATGTAAACTATCAGCTGTTGGATCGAATCCAGCATAAACTGCTTGAGAATTTTCATTCACAAGATTTGAAACTTGATTGCTGAAATAAAATTAAAAGAAGTTATCAAAAAATAAAGTAAATAATTATTTTTGTTAGTGAATATATATTACATACGCGCTTGTATCTGGAAATATATCCTGAAACATGCCCCTTTCATGTAGTTTTAAAATATTCCTATATTTATTTTTACTTTCATTGGAATAAAAGCGATTTTGTATTTCTTTTTTATGAAAAAATAATTTGTCGCAACAACGACGTAACCTTGAAACGTTAAAGCTCTGCATTGTACTAAAGTTTCAAAAGTTATATGATTTTAAAAACAAATAATTTAGATTAGCAAAAATTTGTTTCAAGAAAAGGCACCAATAAACTAATCATTTCTCTAGTATAAATTTATAAGAAATTTCAGCCTCTTAAATCTTTGATAGCAAAGCAATACAAAAGTGTACAAATAGCAGACTATTGTCTTTGGAGTTACATTCGCTTTCGTAGTATTCGCACGTGTCGTCTGTGGCGTCTGCTAATCATGCAAACACAATCCATTTCATAGGCATGTAGTAACGTAAAACGTAAATGTCATTGTCTAATAAAAATAAAAGTTAGCAGTTACAATTGTGCTGAAATTAATAAAAGTATATTTGTCTGATAAGAGTATTTTAGGAATAAAAAGAAAAAAATTAAGTGTAAAATCAGGAATGTTTATAACATAGCTCAGTCGCAAGCTGATCTTATAATTTACTATGGACCGTTCAACAGTTTTGCAAATAAAACTAGTTTTACAAATGATTATAAAATCATAGTCAAATATAAGTATTGATATACAGTTAAGTAAAATGTATATTTTGAACAATGAAGTTTGTGAAATCAAATTGAAATTTCAATAATGAAAAAAAATGTCATTTAATAAATTCCAAAACTATATCGCCACGCATGCGTTCTGCATTATCCGCAATAAAAAAATCAGCCGCGCATAGCACAGCCGCTCAAGGCTCACCCCACCGCCACCGGCCTACTACGATGCGATTGCTGCTAACGTGTCTAAAGTGAGAATCCAAAATTTCCGGCGAACGTCCATCTTTCTCCGAGTGCGTGCGAGCCGCGAGGCACCAAAGTGCCTATACTTTAGTTTTCTCGCATCGCACAACGTGCGAAAAAACGACTCGAAATGGTAAGTCTAAATTATTCGATATTTTTATGTATAAATAATTTTTATTAATGATCAAATTGTTGCTCTGATAAATTAAAAGTTACGCAAATTTATGTTTTTTTACTGAAATGCATTATCTACTTACCGTGCCACATATGCCGTCACCCACGTGTTTTTTTAACAAAGGTTTATTTTTAATAACCGATTGCTTACAGCTCCGACAGTTCTAAAGTTTAATAATTTTCATTTCGATTTTGTATTCTTAAAATTTTAAATAAAGAATTTCACATTATTAAAGTCAATAACTATATTGACAATTTAAAAGGTTAGGTTGTGGTTTTTGAAAATTTAGCTTATATCAATTATCCCTGTAGATTTGATCATTAAAAGAATTATATTACACCAATTATTTCTCCAGAAATGGCACAATCAATTATTCAACCATTAAACTTTGAAAATTTATAAAATTTATTTAAAAATTCTTTTTTCAGTCGTTATCTACAGCCAGACCACTAGTAACTGTTCATTTTGATAAATCGGAGTCACCAAAGACTATTTCTTTGCCTGCGATTTTCAAAGCTCCCATTCGTCCAGATGTTGTAAATTTTATTCACCAGCAGGTTTCTATGAATCACAGACAGCCCTATGCTGTGTCAAAGGAAGCTGGTAAGTCAGAAAAATATGAAATACTGTTTATTTGAATGTACAATGTCTATAATTATTATCCTTTTTAACAGGACATCAGACCTCTGCTGAATCATGGGGTACTGGACGTGCTGTTGCCCGTATCCCACGTGTCCGAGGTGGTGGTACTCACCGATCTGGTCAGGGTGCTTTTGGTAACATGTGTCGGGGCGGTCGCATGTTTGCCCCAACAAAACCATGGAGAAGATGGCATAGACGCGTAAATGTAAATCAGAAACGGTTTGCTGTTGTCTCAGCCGTTGCTGCATCTGGAGTACCTGCTCTGGTTATGTCAAAAGGTATAAATCATCTTGACCTTTTTTGGAAAAATTTATAATTTTTTATAGTTTTTATGATGAGGAATATTTGGTCCGTGTTACTGATAATTCATTGATTATTACCATTTCTCTGATACAATGTAAGAAAAAGGGATTTTTATTTCTTAATGAGATTCAATTAAAATAATGAATGATCTTTTTTCAGGCCATTTAGTTCAGGAAGTTCCTGAATTCCCACTGGTCGTCAGTGACAAAGTTCAAGGATTACAGAAAACAAAGGAAGCTGTTGCATTCCTGCGACAAGTCAAAGCTTGGAGCGACATCAAAAAAGTGAGCAAAATAAAATGGCTTTTGAAGCAATAAAAATATGCACTGTCATAAATGTCCTCAATCATGTAACATTTTCTTGATTGATCCATAAGGTGCTAGAGAAATTTGATGATCAGGCGTTCTTGTTTCATGTCATACCTCATGTAATAGGGACATGGTCATTGCACATACGTATAAAATAGAAAATTACTTTTATGATACCTAAATGAAATAAAATTATTAATTTATTTTAATTTCACAGGTCGTGCAATCACAACGTCTTCGTGCCGGTGTAGGTAAAATGCGCAATCGCCGTCATGTTCAACGTCGAGGACCTCTGATTATCTACGGTAACGATGGGGTAAATATAAAATGCCTTTCATTTTGATAAAATGAAAAATAATTTAAAATGATGAGAATTATTGGTCCGTGTTTATGATATTTTATTGATTATAATTACCATTTCTGATATTATTACAACTAACTACTAGGAGTCTCAAAATTAGGATTCACAATTTAATATTTACGTTTACTTTTAGGGTATCAGCAGGGCGTTCCGCAATATACCTGGTGTTGACGTTATGAACGTGAAAAACCTTAACTTGTTGAAGTTGGCACCCGGTGGTCATGTTGGTAGATTCATCATCTGGACAGAATCAGCTTTCGAGCAGTTGGATGCTCTTTGGGGTACCTGGCGCAAAGAGAGCGAAGAAAAAAAAGGATATAATCTTCCCATGCCAAAAATGGCCAACACTGATTTGGCTAGACTTTTGAAATCGGACGAAATCCGTAAAGTCCTCAGAGCACCTAAGTACGTTCAATTCACAATTGTGTTGCTAATGTTTAAATTATATTATAATTTTTGTGATGAATTGCTTTGGTCCGTGTTTATGATTATCTTTGATTTTAAAACGAAGCTATTTTCTGAATTTGATTTTTTATAACTATTTGATTCCTCGCTAAGTTTTGAGATAACTTTCTAAATGAATTTTGTTTTTCAACAGGAGGCGAGTAATCAGGAAAGTCAAGAAGCTGAATCCTTTGAAGAACACGAGAGTTATGCTTAAGTTGAACCCATACGCTGCCGTAACCAAGCGCGCAGCTATTTTAAAAAAAAGTAAAAAGGTTGCTAAGAAATAAATTTTTATAAGCTTAATGTCGAAAAAGGAAAAATTAAACCTCTTGATTATTTTTGTTACCCAAATGAATTGAAATTTTTTAAAATTATTTCTCACCGTGAGTTTCCTTGAAAAAGTTTGTTTGAACAATCATTTGTGTAATATGAAAAGCAATGACTTTTGATTATTCTACGTGAGAGTCATGCCGAGTTACCCTTGAATGTTTGCAGTTGGTAAAGCGCTTCTCGCCAATCTCCTCATGAGATATACAAAAATATATAAGTGTGAGAATGCATCATTCAGTGGCGTGCTGGTGCGTCTGAAAGGCTCGCTTTAAAGTGCCCGCTAAAGGAGGTAGACTAAACAAATAATTATGCGGCAGAAAATATTCACGGCTCACGAAACATAATATTATGCACGTAGATATGTATAAAATAGTTAGTTTTCACGAGACAATATAGTCATCTACGGCAAGTAGTAAGGGGTAGTAAGTTTTAACGATCACATTATTCAGCTAGACGAGAAGAATGAGTTAATAAGCCAGCACGCGCGCAGAGGCTGGCCGGGCGCATCATATAGCACTGAGGATATAAGTGATCGTAAAAGTAAATCAAGTGAATTCAGAGCTCGCAGGCATCCAAAGCTAACCGAGAGAGTAAGTAAAAGCAGAGAAGGGAGAGCAAAAGGCTAAGAAGCAAGATAGAGAAAAGAACATGAGCCTGTATTATAGCGAAAATGAACTTTAAACTGCCATAAGCTGTTTAAGACGCGGACATTAAGCTCCATCTGTTGCAGTTTTGCATTCTCTCTCGCTTTCTTTGCCTCTATCTGCGCATGAAAGAGCGAGTATTAATAAAATATGGAGAGAGTAAAGAAGGAGGAGGGGAAGGAGGTCCGGCAATGAGGCTTGATGAAAATTTCATTATTATTTGCTGGAGGCGCGGGCGCTACAAGTAGCGGCTTTTTTGACGAGGCTAATAAAATATTTACCGAGATTTTAATGCTTTTATAATTGAATGATATAGCTCGACGCGTAAACACAATTGGCACGGTAAAGTCGCGAGCTTGGACTTTTTTTCTTCCAAGCAGCGCACAAGCAGCGAGAGATATCGAGTGAGTCGCAAGGAGCAGCGAGTCAAGTGCTCGCTCAAGACTCGAAAAAAATCTCAGCGAGCGAATGTGCAGGCTCTAGGTAGGCGCACGTAGGTACGGACTACGGAGGTGTACACGAGAGGAGGGAGAGAGAGAGAGAGAGCCTAGATGCGTGGGGGGCAAAGATTGTAAGCTCGTCGGAATTTGCGCTCTTAGGCTGGCGCGTTCGTAGCTGCGCTGCTCGCTCGTTTCAGTCGTCTATAGTACATACTCGGGGCGCATAGACAGAGAGCAGGAAGATAAGGTATATAAGGCGGCAGTAGCTGAGAAAGCAAGTGCGAGTACATGTATACGCGTTCTCTCGCTCGCGCAGCCAGATACTGAATATATCCCGGTATCGCAGACACCCTTCTGCCGCTGTATATTATACACTGCGCATAGGTATATACCTACGGAGGCCGTCGTGGAGAGCAAGCAAAGCTATATATACCTATAAGAGCTATATAGGAGCTTCTATAGCTTGTACGTGTAGAGCGCGCGGGAGCATGCATGCAGTTGTAATAACTTGCGGCATTTGCCTCCAACTAAATTATTTATTGCATTCTGGGCTCCCCTCGGCAAGATATAACCAGCCGACTACTACCCGCAAGCCAAGGACGGCTACGAGTCAACGGATCTCGTGCTACGTATATGTGTAGGCTTCACCTTGTAGCACGATGCAGCCAACGAGATATTACCGCTAGAGACTCGACTCGAGGCCCTTTTTTCAGCCCCTCCCGATCCCTCTCAAACGTCTTCTGAATATGTTATATTTGGATTATATTTACGAGTTCACGGCTTGTTGCAACTGTTGCGCGACTGCTCTAAAGCGATATTTTAATTAAGCCACGGCACACGAGCGAGCTTTTTTCTCTCTTATATCCCGTGAATCCTTTTGCCACGGACAAAAACAAGCGCGGCTGCTTACGGGCAAATTTCAGCATGGAAAAATGTCGAATTTGCAATTGCTCTCCATACGTATTATTACGAGGAAAAGTGAGGGGCCTCGAACTTCAAGAGGCTGTGCTGCGCAGGGTACTTTATTTTATTCGGGCTATGATCCGATGAATGAAATTTTCCTATCTATACACATAGCGGCGCGCAATGTAATTCGAACGAGAGTAAGGGAGAGAGAAAATCAAATGGGCACTCAGGGAAAAATGTTGTACGCGGAGAGAGAAGCATCAGTGGTAAAAAAGGGAAAAAATTGAAGAGAATACGAATCCTCTTTGGTAAAAAGGAAGCATAAGCTTTTGCACCGACGTTTCTTCTTCTTCTTCGTCTTCTCCTTTTCAACATTCATATCGGACTTAACTTTTATTACATATTTCATCGTATACGAATCGGCTCTCGAAAGATTCTTATAGGATTCTCCTTCATACACACACGCACACCCACGCACACACACCACCCCCTCCTATACACATACACCTTTTGATGTTTTCTATATATGTATATATGTATTTATTTTCCATGTAGAGGTATAGATATTTTCAACGATTACCTTACAGATGTATGTACGTGTGCGTGTGCTTGTCGCTTTAAAAGCGGAAATTTCGCATTTTTAATATTATTTTTGCAGTGCCAGATGCAACATATTATATTTCCCCCGAACGTATTTGTATAATACATCGTGGACCGAGCAAACTTTTGCGCACGTCTATGTAAAAATGTTGCTTCGCTCGGGCTACGCTCGCGCGCGAATATTGCGCATGAATATGTCATGAGGATAAGAAAAAAATATATATCTTGCGTCATCCCTCGCACGCGCGTCCATCTTGGAAAAATAAATAGCGGTTCACCGCGAAAATCCACATGCGCACACGTATACAGCTGCTAGGCGCGCGATGCAGGCCACATATGAACGAGCCCGAGCTATATAGTCCGATAAATTATGCATAGAGATTCGATGAGATAGACAGGGCCTGCGTGCATCGCAGGGGCTGGCGCATATTTCACGCGGCTATATTCCGGAGATGGCAGTTTTTCGATCGTCGGAGTGGGCGTCCCTGCCACCCGCCCGCGCGCCCCGACTTGTGCACGGATTTTTGTTCTGATCTAGTGGCGGAAGGGAACGAATATAATGCACCGACCGGCGCATCCAATTTCACATCCAGTAGCTTGAATTCCTTTACGATCGATATAATTTCAGCGATTTGCCAGCTTTAAAACCTAACGTCTTATAGTTTCGATCATACTTTCAAATCATTTTAAACTTCTCGGAATATTCGACGCATATTTACTGGGATATGTACTCCATCGGATAAGTATCAAATCGAACTATTGAACGGCCCATGAAACTGCCATATTGTCATTGTGCACACAAATTTCCAAAATTGTTATTGCTTTGGTAATGTTCTCGAGTGAATGGTCGAAAATCAAAAGAAAAGCGACCGCATAAGCAAGTTGGCGCATATTCTTACGACTGTCTATAAAGACCGACCTTTTTTACTGCAGAAATGTTTTTTTCTTTCCTTACACGACTTTGATTTTGTTTGTTCATCCATGGAGTTGCTAATTAGACTTTTTTTCGGCTAAACCGACAAAGCAGTTAATGAAAATATTTGGATTCTATGGAAAATACTTTTATTTCGTTGACATAAATAAACCTGCAAACTGATGTATTCGGTCGGCTATTTAAAAAATGAGCCAATGCAAATACGAAAATATTCCAAGAAGATACAAATGAGCAGCAACTAACTAGGCGCGATCTCTTGTTGACTTTCAGCCAGCTCTGGAAATCCGATAATCAACGCCGCCAAACGCATTGCGGGAGTTATGAGAATAATCGCGGAAAATAAAAAAATATAGGCTCTTGTAGAAGAGGACGATGCTGAAGTTGTCGATCGCATTTGATATTTCGACAAAATTACTATAGGAAATATACCGGAATAAAAAAAAACGAAGAGCCGTGGAGGAAATGAGAGTTCACGAAAAGTAAAGGGACCTTCTGTAGGTGCAAAACAACTAATTGCGAACGAAATATTTTCACCTTCAATCTGGTCAGTGCACGCCCCGCATTATTAAGTGAAAAGCAGGTAGAAAAAAGATATTTTATTCAACACGTCATAAAAAACACACTGAATATATGTACGAAAAAACAAACAAATAGTTTTTTAATTCGTGTAGTAAATTATATTTATAAATTTCACGCATGGAGAAACATTCGGGATGATTATTAAATAGCAGCTATTAAAATCATTCCAATTTCCATATCAAACTTTTGACATACTCGAGATTGTTCGAACATATACGCGAATATCACATTCTCCCACTGAAAGTTAATCCAGCGGGTAACATTCAATTAGAAAAACAAAAATTTACGAATGCTTTTGTGCCAGGGAACAATAAAGAGACTACAGAAATAAATATTCGCCTAAATATTCGTGCACGGTATGTAACATGCGTAAAGCAATAGTCTTGTACATGGTGATATGCGCGGGTGATCAATAAATCTCGTGACATTTTAAGAATATTGATTTTCGATGCTGTTTCTGCAGATGAAAAATTAAAATAATCATTCACGTTTATTGCTGCGAAATTTCCATTGCAAATAAAATATTTAAAGCTTGTAAATTTGAACAAATGCTTCAAAGCAGTTTATATTTATTTATTTATTCATTTTAAAATTCCAACCAGGCGCATCTATTTAAACATTAACGCAGGCGAGTTGAAATCAGGATTATATAAGCGGCTAAAAAGTTAGTTTACAAGCATTACATATTTCTCTGCCCCTTTTCCAAATGCATAAGCTTAGGAGATTTGCGTGGCAATGTTTTCGCTCGCTCGTGCGATACCATACAGCGAGGGAAAATTTTGCCACTTACAGCCTCGCGCGCGCGCGTATAATACAAGTTTGCTTGTTTGCACTACGTGCGATCCAAGCTGGCATTACTACTATTGGCATTATTGTTATTG